GAGCTTAAGGGCCACACAGAGAAATCTCATCCTCCTTTGGTTTTGGGGGATGGTGAGGAGGGAATTAAAGAGAGAGTCTGACAGCTTTTTTATTTTGTTTGTTTTTAAGGCAACCTCTGAAAAAAGTGAGCAGCACAAACTGTTTTTATCTGACACATTTCCAAATGGTGCTGCATAATTTCAATACAAAATTCATCATATTTATGCATCTATATAAAAAGTTGTCAAAAGAGGAATTTGGTATCACACATCCAGTTGCTGTGAAGCCTTCAGCAAATGATATCAGTGGTGTGAGAGCGCCTCATCTGGTGGTTATAGTGAGTAATAGTTTTTGTATAGCTCTACATATACTTAATGTGACTGTGGTGCTCTGGCACAGTAGTACACTGCAGTGTCTCCAGGCTGCATGTTCTGTCCATTCAGAGTTACTGTGTTACTGGAGGGATGAGCTACACACAGGAGCACAGCAGTAGTTCGTATTCACACTAATAGGGAGGAGCATTAGAGGGAGACTAATTATAGAACATGTGTTTGTGCATGTGTGTGATAACAATAAAGTTCACAATTTATCAGCAGTTTAGTTTTTCTTACTCACTGTATTGAGATGTTTCCAGTGATTAATTTTCCCCCCTTCTCCTCCTGTTTGGTGTAGTATGTGACTGAAACCTTCTCCACAGCTATGGTTTTAGGCAGGTTTACTCTCCCAGAACTGGGAGACTAAGTAGACTAAGAGACTAATACTTGTTTTACTTCATTCACTTGAGGCATTAATAATTTGTCTAATGTAGCTGCATGTCCTGATAAGGAGTGTGTGTCTGCTGCAGAGTCATTATTCTCTGTTTAATTAAGGTATTAATAAATGTAAACAGGTGTCAGCAGAAACTGAATAACCATGGACTTGAATCACATGTAGTATGTACTGTACAGACCAAGAGAAGAGTCTAGGAAAACACCGAAAGATGATCCATGAGTGCCTATTTAAAATGAATACTAAGAGCGTACAATACACCCAAAAGGTTCATTGTATTATGATTGAAAACTCACTTTTATTATTCAAGTTTTCTATAAACATCAGTGAGACATGTTAAGTACCACCGAACAGACTCCTTCCTTTTGACACTAGCACAAGGCATTTCAGGTTCTCATCAAAGTCACATTCACAAGTGATCTGTGACTGTGGGAGACAACATCATCAGTGTGGAGTGCACTGTCACACTCTCACATGGACCTTATATAAACACACAGGGACACAGCAGTAGTTTGTATTCAAACTAAAGGGGAGTGGCATTTCTTAGAAAAAAACGGGCTGAGAGTAAAACTCAGTTGTGGAAATAGGCAGTGAGAATTTGTGTATGCAAGTGTTGCATGTTTTTGTCTAATTTGGGATGAACTTCTTACTTAATGACAAAGTTCATTGTATTCTTGAGATCACATAACCTTTTTTAATCATTCATCAAGAATATCTGAATAAAATGACAGTGAAAAGAGGAAGGTAAAAGCACAAGACCAACTCACTACACATGTGTAGAACAAATGTTTCCCATCATCTACTGCCCCCTGGAGTTTGTGCTGGTTTTTGTACAGACTCATAATAAAGTTAAACCACAGTGTGTCGGGCACAGTAGTACACAGCAGAGTCCTCAGGCTGCAGGTTGGACAGTGTGAGAAACGTCAAGCTTCTGCCATTGTCTCTGCTGATTTCTATCCTCCCTTGAACACTGTCTGCGTAATACGTCTTACTTGCATCGTAATAAATGAGCCCCAGCCATTCCAGCCCTTTTCCTTCAGCTTGTCTGATCCAGTTCATCCCGTAGCCACCAAAGTTAAACCCAGATCCACTGCAGGAAAGACTGACAGACTCCTGAGGGGTTTTGAGCACTGGAGAAGAGGGAATGGACTGGAGGATCTGGCAACTCACACCTGACAAATAAAAACGAGTTAAACACATGCACGATCCAAACATACTGAACATGTTTGTGGAGAAGTGAACTCACAGGGCAGGGAGAGCGCCCCCATCAGGAGGACCAGTGTGTTCATCATGGTCAGACTGTGTTAGAAAGGATGTGTCTGTCACTTTATAACAGTAGACTCCAAGGATACAATATTTACATGGGCTGTGGAGAGGAGGGGTTTGTGAGGAGATTTAAAGTTATGGAGCATGTTCCCTAAGCAGAGCATATATGAGACTCACCCTGTCACTACTGGGCAAAACCAGGTTAAATTTGAATTACAAAAAAAGTTTGGTATTCAGTGAAATATATTTGTAGAATTACGTACAATGGTAAAGGTTATATTTTTCATACAAAAATAAAATAACGGTCTAGTAATTTACTGAACCAAGTTTTTTTATGTGACTTGGCTGTGTCTTGAGAAATATAAACTTCATCACAAGTGTAATTTGTCCAAATGCCCCAAAGCAACAGTTCAGTGTTTCAAATGTGTGTTATTTAGTTACTGTAGCCATTCTGTAAATGTGTAGTTATATAAAGTGACTGTATAAAAGCTTTTAACAGACATTTTGTGATTCATTTGCACATGACATAATTTTGCACATTTTAAATAAAACAATATGTCAATAATATCTCAAAATAAAACACAAAGTATTATGCAAGTCTTCATTTAAAACAAATGAACTCAGTGATATGAGAGCTCCTCTTCTGGTGACTACAGTGAATAACAGTCTGATGCATTTTTATACATTTCTACATATACTTTGTGTGACTGTGGTGCTCTGGCACAGTAGTACACTGCAGTGTCTCCAGGCTGCATGTTTTGTCCATTCAGAGTCACTGTGTTACTGGAGGGATGAGCTATACTGAACTTGTTCTTCAGTGAATCATTTATTGTAGCTGTACACCCTGCACAATTTTGTCCAATCCACTCTAGACCTTTCCCAGCAGGCTGTCTGATCCATGCTGTGTAGTGGTCAGTATAAGAGAGAGTACAGAAGCAGCAGCAGAAGAGCTACAGACAACATCATCAGTGTGGAGTGCACTGTCACACTCTCACATGGGCCTTATATAAACACACAGGAACACAGCAGTAGTTTACATTCACACTAACAGGGAGGGGCATCAGTCAGAAACCATAAAACTATGAGGATGTTGGACAGAATTTAGTTATCTTATGTATTTTATCATTTTGCAAACTATTATGAAAGTTTGCTCAAAATGTACTTAATGACTCATAAGATTTGGCACCAGTTTATTTTGGGTGAGTGGCAGTGGACACCAGGGCAAATTAAAGGCTTGTCATGTATAAAGAGACTAAAGAGCAAAGGCCCCAGTATGGATGTATGCTCTCATGGATTTTTGTGAAGCTACTGTACATAGCATCCTGTCTGACCCAGTTTGTAGTATAACTAACATAACACAATATGACACAGTACAGAGGACGGAGAGATTGTCCTGGCCACACAGTCAGAGTCAAAGTTTTCATAGGAGGTTTTTATTTTTTATATATTTTTTGAAAACCCCTCAAATCCCTTTAGTCCACACTTACTACAATTTAATTTTGTGTGACAGTTAACATAGTCCAAGGTGGCTTTCCATTTTTTCATAGGCTAATGTCCAATCTGACATATTAAAAGACATCCGTTCATAAGAGGCCACTTTATTCAGTTCTGTGAACCACTCATGGAACGCTGGTTCCTCCAGGTCCTTCCACTGTCTCAATGTTTTGTTTTTTTTCCAATCATAATACTGGTTTGACTAAACTCTGATGATGAACACTGAGCGGCCATTTTTTTATCATTCAGAACATAGAGTTGAGGGATGAATTTAAAGGTGTTTTGAATATATATATATATATATGTTTTTGTCGGACACCCGTGAATCTTCCTCCAGGAGTTTTGAATTAAAGGACATTCCCAGTGATGTGTCAGAGTTCCTTTCAGCATTTCTAGCAGTTGTCTGAGTCCACAAGCTTCAGTCTAAAGAACCGTGATGGAGTCCAGTAGAAATGATTCAAATTTTTTAATGAATTTGCTTGATTTTTACATCACTTAACATCTTATTTGTGTTTTTACATATTTTATTCCAATCAATGTCAGATTAATGTTAAACTCTGACCAGATTGAATTCAATGTAGAGCATTAGTGATTTATTTTGAAAAATCAGACCCCAATAAAAAGATGCCTCATGTCCCAATCATATTTTTAAAATGATTTCTGACAGAAGAGTTGCCTGTTGTGGGGAAGAGTCTTTACCAGTAACTGTACTCGAGCTAATTATATTCAAGTGTCAGTTTTTCAAATGATTTCAATACATTTCCCTCATACAAATCTGCAAATTAAACAATTCCCCCTAGTAAGCCAATCATTCCACACAACACACTGTTTATCTCTTAGGAGCTTTGGATTGTTCTGGATACAGGAGTCTGTATTAAGATGCACATTTAAATTAAGTATGTGAGATCTTTCTCCATGTATTAAGGAGATTGGCTATAATGGGATGGGAACAAATCTGAGAGGTAATTTTAGTTACTATAGTACTTTGTTACTATAATTTGATAAATTTATATAAATGTATATAAATTGATGTTAAATATTATATTATGTCTTCTATTATGTATTGTATGCTGCCTGAAATAAGAATTTCCTTCAGGATAATAAAGTATCTATCTATCTAGTTCCCAGAGCATCTATTGGGCTGAGTAAAGAGAACAGTTTGGCCTCTTTTTCCATCCACGGAGGGGCTCGTTCAGGTGCCAGTTCCCATTAATGATAAAGAATTAGGGAGACCCAGCCTCCTTTCTTGACTGGCATTTACATGTATATCAGTTTTATTCTGGGATGTTTTCTGTTCCAAAAAATTACTTGCAAATGCAGTGAAATTTATTTTTGGGGTGTAATGATTGGTAAACATTAATATAGAGTTTTATTTTGGTACACAGTTTATCTTTCAAATGTTAACTTTACCACACAGTTATAGGGTTAATGATGACCATCTTTGTGTGTCTAAGGGTTGTTGTTTTTTTTTTTTTTTTTTTTTTTCCATGTGTGTTTATTGGACTGAAAAACATAGAAATGCATCCTTACAATGAGTGGGCTTGGATTTCCACAAAATAGCCTGGAAAGAGGAAGATGATATCACAAATCATGCTACAGTTGAATAAATCAACACACAAAATTGTCTCAGTGGTGTCAGAGCTCCCCCTCTGGGGACTACAGTCTGATGTGTTTTTGTACAGCTCTACATATACTTTCTGTGACTGTGACTGTCTGGCACAGTAGTACACTGCAGTGTCTCCAGACTGCATGTTTTGTCCATTCAGAGTTACAGTTTTGGTTGAAGAATCCACATTTACACTGAACTGGCTCTTCAGTGAATCTTTGAGGTACATAGTGTATCCTGCACGGTGACCTCCAATCCACTCCAGGCCTTTCCCAGAAGGCTGTCTGATCCAGTGTGTGTGGTGGCTACCAACATCATATGAGACAGTACAGGGGATGGTGAGAGTGTGTCCTGGCTGCACAGTCACAGAGGCTGGCTGTGTCAGTGTCTCACACTTCACACCTGTGGAGGACAGAGCACAATATTGAGGATCAAACTGTACTGTTTAGTTGTACCAGAGTTTACTGATGTGAACAGAGACTTACAGAATCCAGCTGCCAGCAGCAGCAGAAGAGCTACAGACAACATCATCAGTGTGGAGTGCACTGTCACACTCTCACATGGGCCTTATATAAACACACAGGAGGACGGCAGTAATTTGCATTCAAACTAATAGGGAGGGGCATTTCTTGAAAAAAATAGGCTGAGAGTAAGAATCAATTGAGGAATTAGGCCGTGACAATTTGTGTATGCAAGTGTTGCACATTTTTGTTTAACTTGGGATGAGCTTCCAGCCCTTTTCCTTCAACTTGTCTGAGCCAGTTCATCACGTAGTCACCAAAGTTAAACCCAGATCCACTGCAGGAAAGACTGAGAGACTCCTGAGGTGTTTTGAGCACCAGAGAAGAGAGAATGGACTTGAGGCAACTCACAACTGACAAATAAAAACAAGTTAAACACAAGTACGATTCAAACGTATTGAACATGTTTGTGGAGAAGTGAACTCACAGGGTAGGGAGAGCACCCCCATCAGGAGGACCAGTGTGTTCATCATGGTCAGACTGTGTTAGAAAGGATGTGTCTGTCACTTTATAACAGTAAACTCCAAGGATACAATATTTACATGGGACTGTGGAGAGGAGGGGTTTGTGAGGAGATTTAAAGTTATGGAGCATGTTCCCTAAGCAGAGCATATATGAGACTCACCCTGTCACTACTGGTCAACAACAGGTTAAATGTTATTTACAAGAAAAAATGGTTTGATGTTTAGTATTGTATATTTCTAGCATTAAACACAAAAATAATGCAGCTTTGAATGTCCAGTTAAATTGTTTTGAAAGCGGATGAAAAAACTAGAAATAGAACTCATGTGGTTATAACTACCTGACCTGTTCTGACCTGTGATATAGTGTTATAGATTCATATTTGCTGAAAGGAATCAGAAAGGCATCTGGTGATATGGGGCTGTCTCATTTCAATACAAAAACAATCTTATTTACAGATCTATGTACACGAAAAAGAGGAAGTTGATACAACACATCCAGTTGTGGTTACAAAATTTAGCAAATAATGTCAATGGTGTGAGAGCGCCTCCTCTGGTGGTTATAGTGAATAACAGTCTGATGTGTTTTTGTACAGCTCTACATATACTTTCTGTGACTGTGCTGCGTTCGTCTTGCACAACAGTAGTACACTGCAGTGTCTCCAGGCTGCATGTTCTGTCCATTCAGAGTCACTGTGCTAGAGCCAACATTTATACTGAACTTGTTCTTCAGTGAATCTTTGATGAGCATGGTACATCCAGATCCACAGTGTTCTCCAATCCACTCCAGGCCTTTCCCAGCAGGCTGTCTCACCCAGTTCGTAGCATAACTACTGTGAGAATATGAGACAGTACAGGGGATAGTGAGAGTGTGTCCTGGCTGCACAGTCACAGAGGCTGGCTGTGTCAGTGTCTCACACTTTACACCTGTGGAGGAAACAGAGTGAGTGTGACCCAGTCAACAGTCGACCATATTCTGTCAATCAAACTCACTGTGTCCAACAGCCAGCAGCAGCAGCACACACACACTCCTCATGGCTGGACTCATGCTGTTCTCATGGAGACACCTCCCTATTTCTGCTTTTATATCTTTGATTCATTTGAATGAGGATCACATTATGACCATTATATCTCCACCCATTACTGGCATCACTGGAAACATTCAAGTTTGCTAAAATCATCAAAGAGACAAGTTCAGTGAAGCAGACTCCTTCCCTTTTACACAGGCCATCACAGAAGATATTTCAGTCTCTTGTCAAAACCACATGTACAAGTGATTTCTGACTTTGGGAGAAGAGCAGGGGGAAGTACAGCCTGACAAAGTTAGACATAGAGAAAGATCAACGCAATATGAAACATTATTATCATTATTATTATTATTTATTTATTTATTTATTTATGATTTTTTTTTTCATAATTTGTCTTCACCTGTGGGATTGTATTATTGAGTCAGATCATAGAACTATAATAAAACTATAATAATATGACTCCAAGATGGAGTCATATTGTTTTCAATGGCCTGTGCTCAATGGGCCCAAAAATTTTTTTTCTGCATTTACTTCCTTAATATGGGTGAGCTCCTCCCACTCATGTGACATCTGTAACGTGCACGGCATGGAGCGTTTGGACCAATCAGAGCGAGAGCTGCTAAAGTGGAGCTACCGCGGGCTCACAGCAGGGCTAGGTTAAATCTTACAAAACTTACTTTTAGGCGCTTTGAGGATTTACTTTTTTTTTTTTTTAAGTTTATATTGTGAGAATAAATAGATAATAAATAGTACTTACAATATCTGACATTTGTGAAAGTTGTCGATGCCCTGTCAGGCAAACACAGGTAGTTTGACTTCCCAAAAAATGCATTGTGAGATGGGAGAATTCTGCAGTACCTGGAGTGGCCACTAGTCGCTCTTGAGCCAGGACAGGGGAGTGCTTTAGCCAGTTTTTACTACAGAGCCATGAGTCAGATTTGCTGAGAAAATGTATCAAAAAAGTATCTGATACCATGAGAGTTTCTGAATATCTGACAGATTTAAGTAAGAGTAACATTATGTCAAAATAATATTACTCTATATAAAAGTAAATGTACTTAAGTAAACAATGTATGTGGGAAAAGTAGTACTCAAGCAAGAGTAACATAAACTTAACTGATAACATCTGATTTATAACTTGAAGGACTTAATTTTAAATAATGCTCAAAATTTGTTATTTTCAAAGGACGAACACAAAAATTAGACAAACACAAATCATATCTGAAAGAGTGCTGCAAAAAACTGAAATGTTCAAATCATTTCATATTGTCCACAAACAGCTTTTGTCACTTGTAGACTTACTCACAGTGGGAAGAGGAACCACAACTTTTACTCTAGTAAGATCACTGTATTTTACTTAAATAATACCCAAGTAGTAGTAAAAGTATGTTGCTAGAAAAGTACTATGAAAAGTACTTGTGAATATAACTGATTACTATCCACCTCTGGCCTTTGCATAGTGTAAATCATCTGAGAATACAGATACATAAATTAGTTTCTAATATAGGACAAAAATGAGGAAGTCATGACCATAAGTCCAGCTGCAGTTTATACACCTGGGAAATTCTATCATCTTTTTGCATTTTTCACTTTCGCAGTTTCAAATGATTTAACTGCCCCCTGGAGGCTGAAGTAGGTTTAGAGCATGGCAAAAGGAGAAATTCAATTTGTCAACCAGACAAAAGTTTATTTGGTCGAATACGTTTCACAGCTCACCTGCAGCTTCTTCAGTTCTGGTCAAAATGTTGGTGAACATTTCCTTATATCTGCCTGAAGGGAGGAGCTAACTTCAAAGAAACTACTCTGAAATGAACACACCTACTTGTTTACAGTTTCTGTTAGTTCGGCGCACACACACACACACACAACATTTAAAAACCAGTAAAAGAACTTTAAAAACGATTATGAAACTCACAGGGAGCCAATTCAGTGATTTTAAAACTGGTGTAATGTGGTCACGCCCTCTGGTTCTAGTCAGGACCAATAAATAATACACTTGAAAACTACCGCTTCATGACATCACAAGGTGGAACAGAGCATACTGAGCTTTGAGATGTAGACAGACTAATGATGCAGGATTACTCAAACATGTGTGAATTAAACAAAGCTCAACTCCAGGTCTGTTTTTGAGGAGGTAACAGCAGTCTAACATGACTTAAAGCTCAATTTAAAGTCTATTTTGCGTAATATTGGAGCTTTTAATTATGAAATTGTTTGCATGCACACATTTTGATACCAGTCTTGTGCAAGGACAAAGGCAGCAGCTACGATCAGATGTCACCATTGCATGTTATTCTGCGCGTGGTCTTATCCTGTAGGTTTCATAATGCCACCACGGTTATGCAATTAAATTATAATCTTGATTGGACGTTTTATCTTATTTCGTTGCACATGCAATGAGAATTAAGCACGCAATATGTCTACATTTTGTTACGCTCTGTTCTGTTTGTGCTGATAAAATTGAATATGGAAATTAAATGAATAAAGAGATTTACAAAACGTTAAATTAAGGGTCCGTATTACGCCATTTTCTGATCTATGTTACAATTTTGTTTCTTCGTCTCAAACGTACTGTACCTGGAGTTGCATTTTGTTTCATTCACACATTTAACTCACAAACCCTACATATTTAGACTAGAGTTCTTTTATTCCTTTCTTTTATTATTAGACCAAACATACTGCCATTTTTATGCATCATTTACAAGTACACTGGGAAAAAAAAGCAATATCTAGCTAAGTTAACATGACTTAAATTAAGAATGATTTACTTAGTCTTGTTCCACTGGCAGATCATTTTACTTGTCAAGTGAAATTTATTCAAATCATCATAAAACTTTCTTAATTCAAGTCATCTTAACTTGGCTAGATTTAGTTTTTTGCAGTGTAGATTTTTTTTAAAGCCATAGTCAAAGGTTTGTTGTAACTAAAAACTGTATTTAAGTAAGAGTAACATTACCTGTGTGTGTGGTTGTAAAATCCAGCTTTACGAATGTTTCTAATCATTTTTGTAGTTTTGTAGTTGGAATGTAAAAACTTTTCTAATTGTTACTTTTAATGTAATGTTCAAGTAATGTTCCATTTCAAAAAATATATATATTTCAAGAACAATATTTTGAGAACATCTGGAGACTAGAAAGTTCAATTTGTAAATTCAAAATCGGGAATTACACACATTAATCTTGTGAGCTGATGTTGTACTATACCATACTACATGGACATAGTATAACATAGTCCGTGCTAAGCCTCCGCTATCTCTCTACCAGATTTATCTTGCTTTTCTGGACCAAAGCTGTCGAGATAATCCACATCACGACGCACTTGACTGCTGTCCACTCATGAACCAAAAAGGAGAAAGGAAATAAGAAGAAAAAGAAGAGTTTCGATTTTTCTTTTATGCTTTAATTTTTTACCAATTTGCAAATAAAACGATTCTGCGATCATGAGTTTAAAACAGCCGTGCATTTTTCTCAAAGGAGCCGCCAAGAGACATGTGAGTCACTGTTGTATGAGTGTGATTCTTTATTATTCAAATTATATTGAAACTGTAAATGTTTTATGCAAATAAAATAAAAAAAAGTTTAATACTTGAAACTTTTTTCTTTGCAGAGAAGACTTACGAATGATGAAATTGATGGTAAATATGATTATGGATTTCATATTTTCTTTAGAATAGTTGTTTGTGGTGATGTGATGTGTGTTCATGGCACGAGTCAGTCTTGTATTCCAATCGCAATTTTGAGCTGGTTGTAGTTGTGATTATTTTGTAGTATATTTATTCAACTTTCAGATTGCATCTTAGATAAAAAAATAATAATAATAATAATTCAATTTTAAAAAATCTAAAATCTGTCTATGTCATTACATAATTTTACGGCTTAAACTAAAAGGACGCAGGAGATACTTTGCAGAGAGATGAAAGCTTAAGCACTTTTTTTCTTTTTTTCTTTTTTCTTATTCCAGTTTTTGCACTAACTCACAGGCATTTTGACTGTGAGCAGGGCAGATCTGACCTGTAACTTGGATTGGTTTGGTCTCCATGAATGTAGAAAGGTATTAAACCTTTTAATCTAAGATCTCCATGGAGAAAAGCATTTGGTGGTCCATTGTGGAAAAGTTACACAATGCACCTTTTAAGTTATATTGTTGTATTTTTTCTCTAAGTTTATTTATTTATTTATGCCCATATTTGTCCAATATTTCACTTCAGTCCATTTGATTGTCAGTCTTTGAAAGAGTCTTTTTGATCTCCTAAGTTTTTGTTATGATTTTGTCTTGTCTCGTTCAGAATTGCGTGAGGCATTTGTGGAGTTTGACAAAGACAAGGATGGCTACATCAGCTGTAAAGATCTGGGGAACCTGATGAGGACCATGGGCTACATGCCCACAGAGATGGAGCTCATCGAACTGAGCCAGAACATCAACATGAACTGTGAGAGGCACACACTACACTTCACACACATTATACAGATTATTATCACCTCATCTTTATGCTCTGTTTCAACTCTCTGTATATAAAACTGAAAACAGAAAGTGCTTTCATGTTTCAAATCCATTCTCCTTCACCAAACTCATCATCGGGACTCTTCAAAAGTGTTCAATATCCACTTTTGAAGCTGTCAGCAGTCAAAAGAAAGGAACTGGGGATTGTCTTGAGAACACTCCCATATTTATCATGAATACGGTTTGGCCCTTTTCCTTTTTAGAGTCAAACTCACTACTGTAAAAAGCAACTCTGAAAAAAAATCATGATTAATGCTGTCCCTACTACTTTTATTGATGGTGAACCAGCAGTAGGAGTGGTGGGTGAGTTGGCATTTCTGTCACAAGTTCTGTCTGGTTCCCTAAAAGTTGTAAAACATGCTCAAAAACTCCTAAATTAGTTTACGTAATCTAAGTCAAATGAAAGTAAAGAACAACAATCAAGTCCAGTCAACTTAAAGCTCCTGATATTTGGAGTCAAGAGTGAAAGAAAAGAGTTTGTACTGTGGCTTTAACTAGACACAATAATGCAGAGGTTTCCAAAGTCATATATTTTACAATTATGACACTGTATTTAAAGCTGAATTATGCAGCCTTTTCAAGAGAAGGTCTGAAGATTTCTCCATGGAACCCCTATTGTGTTCCCTGGAATGATCCATGGTATAATCAATAAACCGAGAACATGTCAGATCTGTAGACAACATTTAATCATTTAATAAAGGAAAGATGGCTGAGTTCAATGCCATACATAGAGGCAAAACAATGAAATCTACATGAACATGAACCACTAGAAGTTACACCATGCCCCTTTAATCTATTCTCTTTTATTTAAAGATCACATATTACGCTATTTTCTGATCTGTTATAATGTTGTTTCCTCATCACAAACAGACCTGGAGTTGTGTTTTGTTTCATTCACTCATGTTTTATACACAAACCTGCATATTTAGCTTGAGTTTTTCTCTCAAACTCCACTGTGTTTTTAAACCCTATACACTTTCACTAGAATAATTTGGATGATTTCAGCCCTGGAACTGCCAATCTCTCCAGAACAAAAATTAAAATGTAGCTGTTAACATCACAAGGTGGAACAGAGCATTTTGAGCTTTGGAGATGTAGATAGACAGATAATAAAGGATTACTGAATCATGTGTGAATGAAACAAAACACAACTCCAGGTCTGTTTTGATCAAGTAACATTATAGAGTCCATTTTGTGTAATACAGGACCATTAAAACTGAAATTAGGTAATTAATACACTAAACTATTCTGATAAACAGTGAAATAACTACTTGAAAATACTTGTAATAAATACTAGAGTCGACAAAGTGGATCACAAGTCGAATAACTTGTGAAAACTATTATCTGTATATACTCAATTTTGTGCAGTTATAGTTAGCAAAGTTATCGCCACAATCACAACAAGACACAAATTACACTCTCCTTTGCCTGAATAAGTAAACCAAGGTAGGGCATCAGAGATAAATCCTAAATAAGAGCAAATAAGATGGCAGTAGTGTATCACATAGGCCTGGCTTGTATCAATTTTCTTTCTCTCATTACAGATACAAACTAAGGACTTTTTTATCATGAGTTTTAAGTCATGTTATAATGTTATTACCTCTTGAAAAACAGATCTGGAGTTGTGTTTTGTTTCTTTCACACATGTTTGAGGAACCCATTATTATTATTATTATTATTATTATTATTATTATTATTGTTATTATTATTATTATTATTATTTCTTCATCTCCAAAGTTCAAAATGCTCTTATGATGTCATGAAGCGGTAGTTTTCAACTTTTCACCTACCTTTTACCTGTTGTTCCAAGGCTGAAATTATCCAAATGACTCTACGATTCCATGATTTGACAGATAAATGATAAATGTATATTTACTTCAGCCACATATTGTACTAAACGTTGTTTTGTTATCATGGCAGGCCTATAGTATCATGTATATCTGGCATGTATATCTGTACTACTTTCCAGTCCATGTCTAGACTCGATACTGATTCTGATTCTAATCCGCATTACTTTTCTTCGGTTGCAGTAGGCGGCCGGGTGGATTTCGAAGACTTTGTAGAGTTAATGACTCCAAAGCTCCTGGCTGAGACTGCTGGGATGATTGGCCTAAAGGAGCTCAAGGATGCGTTTAAAGAGGTGAGCAAAGATTTTCTATAAGGATATATCTGTGGTGGAAAGAAACAAAGTACAGGTGGTAAAATACTGTACTTAAGTAGAGTTTTTTGGTATCTGTACTTTACTGAGGGCGCTTTCACACTGCTAGTTCGATTATTTGGTCCACACCAGGCAATAAAATTGTTATTATATAGCATATGGACTCCAGTGTGGTCTGCCATCACACCTGCAAATCAACCAAAGTCGGTCCGATTGACGTATATTCAAGGGTCCTTCACACAGGAGGTTCAACTACACGTGGCTCGGGGACACCAAGGCTTTCCCACATACCAGACCTCTGGCGTTTCCCTATTCCTTCTCCTCCAGCAGACACGGCAGACCCTGCCTAAGAGCCTTCCTGACCCAAGAATCTCGGACTCACAAACCTACAGACCACCAGCTACGGGGCAGGCATTCAGACCCAACCCCAGCCCCCGGGAGTTGGCGCGATCAGTTCGGGAGTCCAAACACTCCCATGATCCGTGACGCATTTCGAATTGTTTGTTTGGACCTACTGTTTATTGTTTGGACCCGAGTTTACGTTCTCACCAAAGAGACTGCACCAGAGTTTAGCATTTGGTGCAGAGTCGAGTGGACGGAGACCACCTCTTTTTTGAGGTCTCAGTCCACTTGATTTAGTGCGGGTCCAAGTGCGACTGAAGCTTTCACACCAATGAAAACAAACCAAAATAAGAGCTTTTGGTAAGAATGGAACGTTTGATTCGCACAAACTGCTGTCTGTGTAAAAGCACCCTTAAAAGGCTTATTTTCTGATCTATGTTATAATGTTCTTTCCTCATCAAAAACATACATGGCGTTGTGTTTTGTTTCAAACTTGCTCCTATAACCGCCAGCTTTGATGAGCTTCATTTGACTGGACTTGGTTGCAGTGGGTGAAGTCGCACTAATTTAGTCCACCTTTTTATACAACCTAATTTTTGGAAGAAATAGACACGCCAACAAAACGTGCTAGTCTGTGGTGGAAATTTATGGCATTTTGTCCAGGGGCAGGGCCGAGCGTACCATGTCAATCAGAGCTAATCAACTGCTGCGTACTGTGGTTTCCATTCAGTTTCAGTTCATTATATAATCTGCAGATGTAATTACAGTAAACATTATGGTTCACTGACATGGACAGTATTTTTGTGATCCAATAAATACAGCTGAGTAATAATTTTTTTTTTTATATATAATTTTCTTTTGTCTATAAAACTATAGCTCAGTTTGAATAGACCCGGTTAGAGGACCAAACCAAAAACCCTACACTTACCTATTCCTAAACCTAACCCTGAAACTTATCCTAAACTTAACATGATGTGGACTAAAAGTGGATATGTTTTTAGTATGGTTTTGGTTAAATTCAGCTTCATCGTGTCAAAAAGCCTGTTTTGTAGACCTGGCAGCACAGGTGAATGGGAAAACACTGTTTAAAAGCGGGTTGCTATGATTATAATAAAACGTTGAGTCTCGCTCTGGACGAAATGCAGAGTTTTAAGGGAGTCCCGTCCAAACAAATGTCCAGTAATTTCCTTTGTGGATCAATAACATTTGTCTAAGCCTATGTCCATGTCTAATATTTTCCTGCCTGCTTTTTACCCCTTGCAGCTGAATGCCTCTCTTAGTTTGTGGCTAATGTAAATCAGACTGTGCATGGTGTTATATGTAGCAGGTATCCAAGTACGTGTACCGGACTCTCCAGATGTGTTATTAGGATCTGGGAGATTTGAATCTCAATTAAGGGCTGCGTCCGAATGTCCACCCTAATCCCTAAACCCTCATTCACTCGGGATGAAAAAAAAAATCTAAAGGCTAAACTAAAATCTTGATTTCTGTCTTAAATAAAGATCAGATCAATTCAAGTTTTAGTCAAGATGGATTTCACGCAAACTTCCTGGATTATGTGCCTTTTGATTTTGAAAAATTATAAATGATCAGGATCAGCAATGCCATACACCAGCACTTATCTGTGTCCTTCAGTAGCGTTCTGTCTAGTTAAAGACTGCTGTTGTTGTTCCGACTTTCACAATGCATCGTAGTCTATATTGACTTAGTGTAGTGACAAACAATGCCCACTAATCTTTGGATGCATTGTGGGAAATTTTGAGTACACTACATTTTCACAGCTAAAAAATGGCAGGAATAGTGCGTACATTCAGAAGCAGCCATGGTTACAAGGTTTATATGCATTTAGAAAAATTGGTTTAAACTGGACTAGGCCAGTTATCCAGTTTTCCTGACGTGCACTTAAATGTAGTGAAAGCCAATAAACCCGAGCAAACAGATTAAGCAAAGAAAGATCATGGCTTGCTGGCAGTGTCTCTTTCAGTCTTTCAGTGTCTTAATCTGCAATTAAACACTATGAAACTATTTGCAAACTCTATTTAACTTGACCAGAAAACCTAAAAAAGACATATTGTGCTTGTGTCTACTATATAGTTATAATTTATGACATCCATGGATCATTTTGTTATGATTTGTACATTTTAAATTGCAATGATCATCTAAAAGGACTTGGCCTAAACGTCATCAGAACAAAGAGCCACGCAGCTGTTGGCACCTCTTATGAATATCTGCAGATCACCCTAGCAAACACCAAATTTAAAAAAAAAAAAGTTACACTACCCCACACTGCCAAATCCTACACCGATTACGAAAAAAGACCAAAGAACGAAATATGTACAGAGCAGTGGGCGTGTACATGTGGATTTAATCAGAGCAGTGATGTCCAGGAGTATAAAGATTGCTCAATTCACTCTAAATACAGCTTTGAGAGGGTAAACAATTTTGCATAATAGGTGAGCTTTAAAGGTGCATTGCGTAACTTTTCTGGTAGAGGGTCCATCAAATAGTCTCTTAAAAACATCTCTATGGAGATGTCACGGCTTTCTCTGGAGTGTTTCACAGTAGGGGATTCCAGCTTTCTATCTTCATGGAGACCAAACTAGTTAACGGTCAGATCTGTGGAGAGGCAATTCCGCTCACTAGATATTTTTGAGCAGTAAAACTTCTTGTAGTTGAAGAAATGTAAGGTTGAAATGTTTAAAGTCACACGGTGAGTCCTGCACGGGTCAATTTTTGAAGACCCTCACCCGCCCACAACCGCACAGTACAGCACCACACCCGCCCGTTAACCTGCGATTATATCAAAATTAAATCCACACTCGCTCGGACCTGTTAACATTCCGACCGTTACCCACCCGTGCCCATGATAAATCGGGGTCAGCTCATTCGTCTGACAGCCCAGTAGTCCAGGACTAAACCAGGACTGAATCAGGATTTAACATACACCGTGTCATTAGCGGATTATAAATACATACACGCCGTAAACCGCAGAGCTGATCACCAGGACTACACCAGGACTGGACCAGGACTAAACCAGGACTAAACCAGAAGCGCAGCCACTGAGCCGATCACCTCCGCTGATGGTTTTATGTAATAAATACACTAAAGTCACTCTCTCAACCTGGTCTCCCATCGTTCTAGAACCGGGAAATGGCTCTTGTTTACAGGGCAACTGACATCCTGGATACACGTGAAGTATTTTTCTCCCGTTCGTCGTTAATTTGATCCACTTGACCCGCCCGTGTGTAATCACTACCCACCCGCATACCCGCTCATAAAATTCCTGAATGTTAAAACCTGCCTGTTTCAGCAACTATTTGCGAGTACCCGACTCGGTGCAGGTCTCTGCTGTGACACAGTGCTGTGACAAAATCTATAGAAACAAGAGGGTGACAAACACCAAAGTTACATATTGGATCTTTACTCCAAACTGATATAACTTTACTATAACTACCATGATTTTGGTGAAGGACTCAGCACCAACTAATCATACTTTCACCTACCTTTTTTTGTCTTTTTAGTTTGATATTGATGGAGACGGCTCAATCACCATAGATGAGTTGAGGCACGCCATGGTGAAGCTGTTGGGCGAGCACACCAATCGCAAGGAGATCGAGGCGGTGGTGAGGGAGGCGGACAACAACGGAGATGGGACAGTGGACTTTGAAGGTAAGTTGTGCGTGTAGAACATTAAAAGAGACATATTACGTAAAATTTACCTTGTGTGTTTTTAACGTTATTCTGTTCTTCGCGTATCTAGTTTCATTCTGAAAAGTTTTGAGTATTTCCTTTGTGGAGATGTGGTGTTCTTTCTAAATAAAAATACTCGGTTTCAAATCTTAATGATGTGCCATGTAACTTCGAAGGTGGAGGGTCCGCTATTTGCTTGTCTTCCTGGAGCCTGTAATGTTCCACAGTAGGGCATTAAACATATTTCCCTCACGTTTATGTTTTATAGCTCAAAATCAACTTAAAAAAAATATGAATTCTTACCATCTATGGGTTTGCCTCTCCATAGATTTGACCATTAACCTGTCTCTATTGTGATTACCCTGTTTATTTCCGTACTGTGGAATAATCAAGGCAAAACAGTAACATCGCCATGGAGACAAGCAAGTGGCGGATCCTCCTGCAGAAAAGTTACACAAAGTGGCTGTACACAGATTAAATAAAAAATAAATAAATAAAATCCAGCACAGATATAGTGTAGAATTAGTTTGGACCTAAGTTTAGTCTGGATCTAATAGTGTCTTGTCTGCCTCTGTGAACCAGTCAGTAGTGCAGTTAGCATGCTAGTTGTTGTTAGTACAGGAATGGCAAAACTAGACTCTTGCCTCTAAAAGTGAGTGGGAAAAAAAAGAGTGAAAGTGAGTGTATATTTAGGATGTGGATATTTTATCTTGTGCAGCGCCTTTAAGAAATTTTAATCAGGAATTGTTTTAAAAGGTACACATATGTTCATTGAAAGTTTTTAATATTTTGAGATAATTTATGTGTTAGTGTCACGATGTTGCTCTGAAAACCAGTCCGTTCAGAATGCTTTGCTCCTCATAACGAAAGTGAAACTGAAACACATTTTACATTTACTATTTATCAACATCATTTTTTGACCAAGCCCGCAAACCTGTCTTGTGGCCTATCAGTGGAGGACCGCTTTTCTACAAAAGGTGCACTGTGTAACTTTTCTGGCAGGGGGGGTCTGTCAAATGCTTTTCAAATGTTATTGTTTTGTCTGGAAGGTTTCACAGTTTGGTATTAAACCTTTCTATCTTTCAAAACTAGACCAAGTTACAGGTCAGATCTGTGGAGAGACGACCCCACTCACTGTTAGAATGCCTATTTTTTTCTGTAATTGAACAAATGTTAGGTAGATCTGTTTATTGTCATACTGTGGAACATTGCGGACAGAGTAATGACACATCCACAGAAACAAGAAACTGACTGCCCCCCTACCGAAAAGTTACACAGTGCAGCTTTAAAGTGACATTACACTATTTTGGGTTATAAAATGACATATGTTGAGACATTATATTACTTATTTCTATTCTATTTTATTTTATTTGACATATACATTTATATAATTATGCCTTATTTGACACCAGTCTTTTGATATTTTTGCAACTTCTTTAGAATTTATTATTACCATTTGTATTTTCACTCTTTGTTATTATATTATATCCCCTTAACGCCTGAATTTATATAGATGTATGTAACAAAATGTTTGCGTTTTTGCCTTTAAGTAGATAGTAAATTAAGTTGAGAATATAAATTTGACCATAGCAAAAAAAACAAACAAAAAAAAAAAAAAAAAGGCTCCTCAGAAGATTCTGCATATGCACGAACCAGCATTAGGAGAATGCGGTTTGTTGCATATTTGTGACAGTCGGCGTTAAGAGGATATTGTGATGTGTGAGCTACTGTGTCCAAATAATTTCCCTTGTAGATCAATAAAGTTTGTCTAAGTATAAGGGTAACACAATAATTATAACGCAAAAATGTGGTCAAAAGTACTTTGAAACGCTAGAATGGAGCATAATATTTCAGACAAACTAAAATTATAGAGACAGATAATGATGACGTATTCTTGTCTTTGCAGAGTTTGTGAGGATGATGTCACAAAAATAAACAAGGATCACGTGGATAACGGTTCTGTATCTACTACAATTGGAATTCATACGAGGAATATTTATTTTATAGTTTAATTTTGAGAGAGGATATACGTACATTTACCACAGCTATTCCATTTCATGTCAATTGAATGTTATTGACTAGATTAACCTAAAACATGCTTCTTTAACCAGCCTAGTTAGATTTTAACTGAGAAAATTGCATTAATGAATGTTTATGATTGTTCTGTTAAAGGTGCACTGCGTAACTTTTTGTTGGGGGGGGGGGTCCACCACTTGCTTGTTGCTATGGAGATGTCATCGCTCTTCCTGGAATGTCCCACAGTATGACAACAGTTAAACAGTTCTACCTCACATTTATTCAATTACAGGTGGTTTTATAGCTCAAAAATACCAAGAAAAACTGGGATTCTGATAGATCTGATGTGTAACTTAGTCTTGTTTGGTCTCCATGGAGATAGAAAGGTTTAATGCCATACTGTGAAACATTCCAGACAAAGCAATAACGTCACCCTGGAGAAAAGCATTTGATGGACCCTCCTCGGAAAAGTTACACAATGCATCCTAAAATTTGATCATGTATCACTTATTTTCTCATTGTTTAAGATACTGTATTTATAAAGTAATAGCCAAAAACACATTTGGTAAACAAAATATTTAATAGCTGGATATTATTGTTGTTTTGTGCCTTTTGTTTGGTATGTACGTTTGGGGGTAATATTGATGTAAATAATGAGAAATACTCATTAATATTAAAATAAGCAAAGGATAAAAGTGTTTGGTTTGAATTAGCTACTCATTGCTTCTTATTATAATCATATAACATGTTTGTATCCTTAATTTTGTGTTATTTTATGTAAATTATATTAAAATTATATTAAAACGTACACTTGTTGGCTTATTAATTGACAAAATATGTAAGTAAACACAGTGAAAGGAATTGATCGGCAACACAAAATATGCGATTAAAAATGGCTTAAACATGCACAAATCACTCCAAACGCAACTTCAACTTTTGTTTCATTCACACATGTTTGAGTAACCTTTCATTATTAGTCTGTCTACACCTCCCAAACTGAAAATGCTCTGTTCCACCTTGTGATGTCACGAAGCAGTAGTTTTTAAATGAACAGCGAGTTACGTTTTACCGTAAATATGCAGGATTTGTGCGAAATAAAGCACAACTCCAGGTCTGTTTGTGATGAGGAAACAACATTATAACATAGGTCAGATCTACTTCACAGTAGATCATGTACGCACCAAAAATATTATTAGTAGTAGTATCCTGAAGTTATGTCATGTTTCATCTGATGTGGCTAATCCGATTTCCAGTTGATGACAAATTTAAACACAGATCTAATTATTGTGTTATCTGATTTATACTATGTAAATGTCACACTGTCTCATACCTTGTCATGTATATATAAAACATGAATACTGTGAGGATGCCCCCAACAGCATATATGACAAGAACTCACACCATAATCTATGCGTGTGCCTGTCTGAGCGGGATTAGTCCACTCGTCTGTAATCCTCATCATGGGACCCTCACAGAGCAGATGGCCGAGCAGGCGAATCACCCATAATTCCTGTCTGCAAACTCCAGCTCAAATGTCAACCAAAAGAGCCATAGCAGATTAAAACAGCACACATGGCTCGCTATGTTCTGAACTCAAAGTCAAAGAGCAGGTTTTTAGGGCAAAGAATGGTGTTTGATAGTCTTAGAATCAAGATTTAATGTGAGTATTCTATCAGTTTTGCCACGTGCTGCTTGTTGGTTCTAGTTGCTAATGTAAAGAAATGTAAACTTCTTTAACTGCAGATTATGATGGATCATTTTTATAGAGCACTTTTCTGGACATTCAGTGATGCTTTACAGAGCAATATTCATCCACTCCACACTTAGGGTGATAAGCTACTATTGGAGCCACAGCTGCCGTGTGGCAGACTGATGGAAGCAAGGCTGCCAATCTGTGCCATTGGCCACTCCGACCACCACCAACACTCACTAAAACACCACTTTCACCACTTTTAGACAATGTGGGTGAAGTGCTTTGCCTAAGATTTTGCCAGTGACAGTGTGGCACCTGGAATTCCCAGCTGTCTCCCATCCAAGTACAACCAGGCCCAGCCCTGCATAGCTTCTGAGATCTGATGAGATCAGGATTTAGCCACAACATTATAAGTGTTGAATCAGTTTTGTTGTATGTATTTGTGTGATTTTGACAGTGTTGGGAAGGTTACTTTTAAAATGTATTCCCTTACAGATTACAGATTACATACCCCAAAATGTAGTTTGTAACGTAATCCATTAAATTACTTAAAGTGAGTAACGTAATCTGATTACTTTGGATTACTTGATATTGTCATGCTTTTTAAAACAACGTGAATGTAGCAACCACATCCTGAAAATTCTTGTTTGTTCTCTTCAAATTGTCTTTTGAGCCCAAGTCTCTATGAATAAGCAACTGTTTGCTGTAGAGAAGCAAAGACAAGGATATTTTAACATAAGATGTTTTGTCTGCTAAAAGACAATAACAAGATCAGTCTTTCCTTAACCATATTAAAAAATATTATTGATAGAGAAATTATGTTTATAACAGATCACCTTAAATTATTAAAGTCTAACCTACTGTTAGGTGTCATATTGTTTAGACCTGGTTTAGTCCTGGTTTTAGTCCTGGTTTAGTCCTGATTTTAGTCCTGGTTTAGTCCTGATTTTAGACCTGGTTTAGTTCTGGTTTAGTCCTGGTTTAGTCTAGTCCTGATTTTAGACCTGGTTAGTTCTGGTTTAGTCCTAGTTTAGACTTGCTTTAGTCCTGGTTTAGTCCTAGTTTAGACCTGGTTCAGTTCTGGTTTAGTCCTAGTTTAGTCCTGGACTGGTTTAGTCCTGGTTTTAGAGGCTCACAGGAGGGAGCGCGATCTACGCAGCGTACGCGAGAAAACACGGTCCACACGCGGCACACGGGAGGACGTCGGTGTCCGCGCAGTGTCTACATGGAAGGAGACGTGACCCGCACGTTCTCAGGTTGATGACGACGATGAAGGTGTTTGTGTGTGTTTGTGTGTGTGTGTGTGTGTGTGTGTGTGTGTGTGTGTGTGTGTGTGTGTGTGTGTGTGTGTGTGTGTGTGTGTGTGTGTGTGTGTGTGTGTGTGTGTGTGTGTGTGTGTTTGTGTGCATGTCCCCTCGTGTGGCAGGTCACTATAGGACAGTAGTGCAGACATCATGAGTCTATGCAATTTGTTTTCACCAGTGCCAGTAGCTCCGGTTTGACATTTAACTTGTAGGCGATTTTATATTTGTTTTTTTGTTTTATATATATATATATATATATATATATATATATATACACAAATGTGTTTTTACCTGTGCACTGCTGACTCTGTTCTACTGGCTCTTCGACCTCGTCCATTGTGTGACTGACGCCGCCAACATTAACATGACGTTTACATCGCTCTTATTGCCGCGTTCTGTTTGGGTTTCCGGCAATGAGTAGAATTACCGAAACAAAAAAGAAATAAATGGGAGGTAGCACAGAATGTGAAAACAGGAAAATACCGCCTTGTAATCCACTTATTTCAGCAAAGTAACGGTAATCCAATTACCACTCATAATTTGTACTCTGATTACGTAACGGCGGTACATGTAATCCGTTACTCCCCAACACTGGATTTTGAGCTTTCATTTCTTAATAATCTTAATTAATAACCATAAGAAATGTAGGATATGTTTGAGGTCTATATGATCAAATGGACATACATAATAAAACCTCTGGAGATTATTTAAAAACTGAAAATATTTAAACTGACATTTTACATGATGTAATGAGACAAAAGTGACACATTTTAAACTGCAACTTCTGAATTTGCAAAGCAATTTTATTCTTGAGTTTACAAAACAGAATAAAAACAACATTTGAACTGCTTATTAAGTATTTAAAAAATGGGATCAATCAAGCCAACTAACTTTATATGTAATGTAAGTGAATAAAGTCAGTCAAGTGATGAAGTTGACATGAATTCAAACAAACTTCAAGTTAAAAGGTAGGGCATGGAGCTTTTTAATGTACAACAATCACAACTGAACCTGGGTGTGGAGAAGTAACTGAATAATACAATACATTCTGAATATTAATTTTGAGTAACTGTATTCTGGTACAGTTACTTTTTCATTTGGTGGCATTCAGAATACAGTTACTTTCCTAAAAATCATAGGAAAACATTGAGTACTTAATCACACAATTTAGGTTTCTAATTGCACAGAATTAGTGAGAAAAACTGAGAACTTTATCGCGTCTTATAGCGTGTGCATGTGCAGTTTTTCCTTCCCCAGTTAGTGATAGGAAATGCACCGAAACAAATACAAAAATATATCCATGTAAAAGTATTATAAGTATTCAGAATTCAGTACTTTAATTGGTAGGTTGGTGATGCTCCCCCAACCAAAAAGTTACATATTGCACCTTTAAGTGATTTAATCTTGATTTTAGAAAGTAATCCTATGCAATAATTTGTGATTGGGATGTTTTTGATGAATATAAACAGTGTATATTGTGTTTATTTAAAGGTATACTATGTAACTTTTCAGTAGTGGCCTCTTGTTTCTATGAAAATGTCATTGCTCTAACCTGGAATGTTCCACAGTATGACATTAAACAACTCTACTTAACATTTATTCAGCTACGGGTGGTTTTATAACTCAAAAATACCTAGAAAAATGTGAGTGGGGTCACCTCTCCACAGATCTAGCCTGTAACTTTGTCTGGCTTGGTCTACATGACAATAGAAAGGTTTAATGTCATACCAATGCCATGGAGAAAAGAATATGACAGACTCTCCAACAGAAAAGTTACACAATGCACCACGTTGAGGCTTAATTAAACATGATCTCACACTCTCACAGTTTGTTGGTTTATACGTAAACTCCATTGCTTTTTCATTGTAAACATTTTTTTTTCTGCATGCAACACTTCTGGTAATAAATTCGTTAGCTAGAATCGCATGCAGATAGTAACCTTTGTGTGCAGTAAATACGCTGATGTTACATGTAACCGTCACGGTCCTGCGTTACATGATTGGTTACAACATGCTAATGCTAACAGAACGTGGCACTTCCTGGTTTAAGCTTGTAAAAACACAGTGACGACCCAGCACAGCAGATAGAGGCACTCCAAATAAAATAAAAATAAATAAAAATAAATGAAATGTTGGCTGCAAATACATGTATAGTACAGTCTTTTTCCATTTAAATATATTATGGAAAATCTACCCATACGCTGCCCGGGCCGCACCTCCTCCCCCGTGGACCATGTCTCTAAAACAGAACTAAAACCAGGACTAAACCAGGTCTAAACCAGAACTAAAACAGGTCGAAACCATGTCTAAACTAGGTCTAAACGAGGCCTAAACCAGGTCTAAACCAGGGCTAAAACCAGGACTAAACCAGGAATAAACCAGGTCTAAACCAGAACTAAAACCAGAGCTAAATCAGAAATAAAACCAGGAATAACCATGTTTAAACCAGGACTAAACCAGGTCTAAAACAGGTCTAAACCATGTCTAAACTAGGTCTAAACCAGGTCTAAAGCAGGGCTAAACTAGGTCTAAACTAGGCCTAAACCAGGTCTTAACCAGGGCTAAAACCAGGACTAAACTAGGTCTAAACCAGAATTAAAACTATAACTAAATCAGAAATAAAACCAGGAATAACCATGTTTAAACCTGGACTAAACCATGTCTAAACAAGGTCTAAACCAGGTCTGAACCAGGACTAAATCAGGACTAAAACAGGATTTAACACAATCTCAAGTGTTTTGCCCAAGGACACAAAGTCAGCATTCATCTGTAGGAGCTGGAATCCCACCGCCTACTGATGCTCAACCAGTGTCGGGATTCGATCTGCCAACCTTCGAATCATTTCGACCATACAGGCCAAGTTCATGACCTATAAGCCACGGGCAGCCATATATTTTAGCTCTAATGTAAACAAACTCCAAATCCATAAAATGCTCTAATGTCAGAACAGTCCTAATCTTTACTGTCAGCATTTATATAACTACACTAAATACTGCATTAAACATGAACTACAGTATAAGTGGTTTTGAGCTTTTAGTGTTTATTCATAACTCTCTCTGCCTTTTATAAGTCCACACTGAATGCCCTGATATCTGCTCCGTCTGACGTTAGTTGGCCAAAACTAAAATTAAAGGTCGTATATTACCCAAAAGTGCCTTTCGTGAGCTTTACAATGTTTTTACCTCGTTAAAACATCACCCAGAGTTATGTTTTGTTTCATTTGCACATGTTTGAGTAATACTTTATTATTAGTCTGTTTACATCTCCAAAGCTTAAAATGCTCTGCTCCACTTTGATATGTCATGTAGTGGTAGTAATTTTCAAGTTAACATCTACTTTTTACCTTTAATTTGGCAATTCCAGGGCTAAAATGATCCAAATGATTCTAGTGAGGGTGCATGAAGTTTAAATATACTGTGGAGCACTGTATGCCACATGACATCACAATGTAGAACAGAGAGTTTTCTGTTTGAAAGAGAGCTCAGCCTAAATATGCAGGATTTGTGTGTTAAACATGTGTGAATGAAAGAAAACACAACTCCGGGTCAACAACATTGATCAGAAAACTGTGTAATATGAGCCCTTAGGCTACGTTTACATTAAAACAAATCACCGTATCACCGTATCGGAAACGATTTGCATACAGACATGTCGTTTCTGTGTCCGCAAGCCTTCCCTATCCACACAGCTTTGAGCATATTTGTTTACATTTTACAGAAACAAAACTTAAAACCGCATAATTTGCATAAACTGAGTGCTCAAAAAACAGCTCGCATCTTGTGCGCTGATGCGGTTCATCTTCGGTCGGACTAAAGGACACGATTCAGTGGATTATATGCATTCTTTCTGAGACAGAGGGGTGTTCTGCTGATGGTGAGTCTGTTCTGTGCTTCTATCATGTTGGAGATGGTTCATGTTAAACTTTTCAGATATTATACGTCTGCAGGTCATACACATAGACCGTATATATGAATGGACATATATTATAGCCTCTTAGCGTTTTGGCGGTGAATTACTTCACGGCACATAGACTTACATCAGTGTATCAGCGTTTTCAGGCGTCTACATGGTGCTGGATCAGATCTGTACTCAGATGAATTCGTCTCAGCTGGCGGCATCAGATTGTTCCGTCTCTGGAGCCGTTTTCCATCGGAGTAGTGCGGATGAACACTGCATCCACAACAAAAACGACTCGACTACGTACTAGTGTGGACGGGGCCTTTAAAATATGAGTACTTATGATGTCAGCCTTTTAAACTAACAAAAAATTTACTTTGAATCAAAATGAAATAAAGGAAAAAAAGATGACATAACGTGTTTGAAGCCAACATTTCTTATCTTTTGTTGGAGTGTACAGTGTCCATGTTGCATTGCCCTGCTATAGCACAGTTGGGTTACTTCAGGGCTCAGGGCTAAACATGAAGTCCAGGGCCTGTCTCTCCGCTGCAGCCACGTTGGGATGCCACAGGTCCACACTGAGAATGACGCGGGGGCCGGCCTCCTGGGGACCTGCACAATCAAAATATGGAAAAGAATGTCGTACTCGATGTTAATTTCTTTTGGTTTAGATCATTAGTCCTCAAAGACTGGGTCGCGAGAGATGTTGTTTGGGTCGCCTTGTCACGATCTGCATGTAGGTCTGCAATATACAGTTCTGACACATGACACATCTGTGCTCACAAAAATGAAGACAAAGCACAGAAACAGACTGAATCCTGCACCTGATCTGCTGCTGTGCTCTCCTCCTTCAGCCCAAACTGGAACATGTGACAAAAACGCAGACAGATCCACCTACCTCATTAGAAAGGTTGAAATCGTAAGACATGTTTTGTATAATTTCTTTTTTCTTTTCTTTCTTTTTGTAATTATTTTATTGACTCTTTTGTTCCAATATTGCTGGTTCAACTGAATGTTCAAAAGAAAAAGAAATGGGCTACATTTTATGCCCAAATAGGCGACTTATGGATCCTTTTATTGTTGGTTCAGTAATTGTTTTTCATTGTTTAAAACTTGAGTACTACTAATTGTTCAGAGAAGGTTGTGTTGTGGTCCCCAACCCCCAGGCCATGGACCAGTACCTGGGCCATGGGTCGTTTGGTACTGGGCCATGAAAGTGTGGACCTCCCCCCCCTTTTTTGACTGAAAGACTTAACGTAGAGGGAAAGAGGAGCTGACTCTCCAACAGGCTCCTACAGCTCCGCTCAAACAGTGAGAGACACAGGACTACATTCAAACAACTGTACAACAACTCACCCTTATGTAACAGATAACCCTATGTCCTGTCAATCATTATTTCATTTTTGCACTGTTTTGCCTTACGACCTCTTGTATATAGCTGAGGTATATTTGTATTACTTTATTTTGACTTGTACATATACATTTATATAATTATGCCGTATTTGACACCAGTCTCTTGCTGTGTTTGCTGTGAATGTATTATTATCATTTATATTTTATTCTTTATTATATTATATTGTGATGTGTGAGCTACTGTGTACAAATAATTTCTCTTTTGGATCAATAAAGTTGTCTAAGTCTAAGTAATCTTTGGATTTTGTTGGGTAATAATTAACAGTGAAGCTGGTCACCTATCATTGAACATTGCAAAGAGTTCTGTTACAGCTTTACTTTTATGCACAACAGAATTTAAGCTTTGCACATGCATCGGGAAGAGGTGAAGCAACTTCTTTCCCTGGTCCACATTAACCAGGCCTCAAACTACGCAGCCAGTCTCCTCTGTACGCATGGAGCGACTGGGAGAGGAGGGGGAGCGAACAGGAGAGGAGGGGGAGTCGTGTCTTTCCTCTCGCTCCTCAGATCCTCCATGACCAGAAAAGTTTCATGGCCCATATCAAACTCTTGTCCGTGTGCACTGTGGCTCCTCTCTCGTCAGATCATTTTAAAAAGTTACACTTTGAGCCCATTTTCCGTGATGTCCTTGCTCCATTGCCCTGGCCTTCTCAGCGTCACCGCGAGCGAGCACAAAGCAGCTTAAACTTCAGGTCTGAGTTAGTTTGGCCAGACTCAGGCTTATTTCTGTCATGGAACGAGTTGTGGATGGAGCTAGTTTCAGGATAAGCCTGGATTTGTTAAGCCACTTTGATGAAATACCCCCCTAGTATTGAATGTACAATAACAAGAGTAGCTATATTTATACATGACTCTAGGCCCACTTTAATATAAAACACAATTGTATGCCATATATATAGTAGGGGGGTCCCTGCTCCAGCTCTCCATCAGTTTGGGGGTCCCTGGCCTGAAAAACCAAAACGTTGACAAACCCTGCATTAGAGCTTTAGGCCATGTGAATGCTTAGCTGATAGATCTTTGCACTCATTGTGAACACGATTTGACCACAAGTTCAGTGATAGTTTATGGTCTTAAAACATGCACAGGAAAAGTCAACATTTTTACTTGTGACTAGGAATGTAACAGTAGCCAAAATATCGTGATATCGTATCGTCAAAGTTCTCACGATAATATAGTGGACCATCACAATACATCGAATTACTGAATTACTCTTTGCTTAAATTAAGAGTTATAGCCAAAAAAAAAAAAAAAAAAGACAGAGAGAACTACATAGACCATGATCTTTTGTAGACTACATGAAGAAATAACAGTTCTAAGCATTTAGTTCTTTGGATTAAATCTTGTCAAGGCATTTTAAGAGGAAAAAGTTGCATATTGGCAGTTTTGTTAGCCTTCACAAAATATCGCAGTAAATATCGTACCGTATGTAGATCTTGAAAATATCGTACCGAGTGATTTGGATATTGTTACACCCCTAATCATATCGTGATCGACTTTCACACGATATCGTAACAAAAGCCGTTCCATGAGGTTCTTACCATGACAATATCATATCGTGAGACTTGGACATCGTTACACCACTACTTGTGACTCAACAATCCAGACTAAATGAGCAAAAGAGCCTTTTTGAGAGCTCAAAGAAGTACACTTTGGATTTATTGATTAATGAAACAAGTGAACGTAGCAAAGTTTCTCATGAGGGAACAGCGTTATAGCCAAAAAGTCCATTATGCATATGTGTCCTTTAAACTAGAACTGAGCTGTTCAACCGTAAAACAACATTCAATCCAACCTCTGTTTTATCCGGGACATTGCTTCAGATTTGTGCTATTTTCTTTTATAATCCCATTGTTCATTTTTGACATTCATCCGCAGTCTAACCTTTAACCAACCTTTATGCGAGACCGTGTGGAGGAAGGAGTCATCCACCAGGAGGCAGTGTCCTTCTGACCAGCACTGCGGCTCTCCCCCCACCACCAGCTCGCACTCCGGGGGGGTCTGCAGCCCTGTGAGGCAAAGCACAGGGGTTAGCTAGAGTTTAGGGTTTACTACTGTATCGTTAGGAGGAAGCACGCACTCTTAGCCTGCACTATCCAAAAAGAAAGGATTACAGAATCAGATTAGACAGGGTACAAAACAGGATGAGTAACAAATCTTCAAACTAACTCAGTCTTATGTAATACGCTGGCGTGTGTTAAGCAGGGATGACGGATTTGGGAAACTATTTAATTGTGCCGTTTCTTACCAGTAAAGAGATTGTGTTTAGATTTGTGTTTAGATCAAGCCGGAAGTCCACAACATTTTAGTGGTGCTGCCAAAAATGACGTAGGAGGCACAGTTTTGTTATAATGATATCGCAATAATGACTATATTGTTATTAATCTGTGCAGTCCTTCATTCATCCTGGAGTGGTCTACAGTATTCTAAAATTATAGCTTCTCAGACCAGTGCCTTCAGACTGAAAATTATTTCTGAGTGGAAGTTGAAAGTTCAGATGTCTATACCTTTTAAATGCTGGTCAAAAGTTTTAAAACACCACACTTTTTCTAGTGAATTTACTGTTTACTGTTGACAAAACGTTTTCTAAACTTTTGATTCATGAACGTGTCCAGCTTTGGCAGATATAACAGCTGAACACACTCGTGGCTTGTTCTTTTTACAATAGAAATCAAATATTCTTCAGAAAGTTTTTCCCAATCTGTTGCAGAAGTTTCCATAAATGTGTGGCACTTGTAGGTTGCTTGGCTTTCACTCTTCTGTCCTGTTCATCCCAAAACCAGCTCGATGGGGCTTAAGTCTAGGTTAGGTTAGGTTAGGTCACTTTATTCATACTCGTAGGTAAATTTGTTTTGCAGATTTGAGAGGCAGGTCCCACATTTCACATTTCATTCATCCACATTATGTACAATAAACACGTCTAAAAACAGAAATACAAAATAAAGTGTTACAGTGCTCTAGTGCAGAATGGTTTGCCACATAAACAATTAGTTAAATTCATCCATCACACTTGGCAAAAAAAACACAATAAATATAAAATATATAAAAAGACACAATTTTTCCAAGACAAATGTACTAAAATTGATAGATAAATAGATTACAGTTTATTCATAAGCATGATAGCAGCTGGAATGAAGCTCCTTTTAAAATGGTTCGTTCTAGATCTCGGGACTAAAAGCTTCTGACCAAAGGGAAGCAGCTGAAACTCTGAGTTTAGTCGCTGTTGCATATCTTTTAGAATACTCTGGGACATCCTCTGGAGACTCTGGAGACTGTGCTGCCCGCTCCATGTTTTCAAGCTCACCATCTTGTTCTTTTTTTCCTGAGGTAGTTTTGGCAGAGCTTGGACTTGTATTTTGTTCTTTTATCTTTTTTTTAACCTCTGCCTGTTCAGTACTTACCTTTGTACCATTTCAAACTGTTCATGGGACTTGCACGACTTGAATTGCAACAAATAACTGGAAAAATTAGGGTGTTCTAAAACTTTTGAACAGTAGTGTAAGTTTGTCGTATTACTTTTTAGCAAACTGGTCTACTCACATATTAAAGGGACAATATTACGCTATTTTCTGATCTATGTTCTGAAGTTGTTTCCTCATCGCACCTCACCTGGAGTTGTGTTTTGTTTCATTCACACATGTAATACAGAAAGTGATCCGCTGTGTTTTTAAACTCTATACACCTTCACTAGAATCATTTTGATGCTTTCACCCATGGAATTACCAGTCTCTACTGAACTAAAGATAAAAAAGATAGCTGATAACTTGAAAAACTGCTGCTTCATTTTGAGCTTTGGATATGTAGACAGACTAATAATAAAGGATTACTCAAACATGTGAATTAAAACATAACTCCACATATGTTTGTAATGAAGTAACAGCATTATAACATGACCTAAAACTAATAAGAGTCAATTTTGTGCAATATAGGACCTGTAAGTTTAATATTATGACCAGTCAGCAGAAAGTGAATATTGAATTCTCAAAATCGATTTAGTTATCACCAGTATTTATTACAAACAGTGAAAAGTGATGTTAGCCCTGGACCCTGACATCCATGTGTAACACAGGGGTGGTATAATGTATTGATTTCATTGTCCCAAGAGACATTTGTCCTTCACATCTTTTGACCTGTCCTTCAGTGCAGCTGGAGTGACCTATCAGAGGAGCATGTGAAGGTTCGCCAGGTTGTAAGGACCTAGTTATTCTTGCATTGGCCTATTAGATTAGACCAAAACTGAAGCTGGGTTCTTATTATTGTAGAGTCAAGTTTAAAAAAAATATATATATATACACTAATGTAAACAAATGAGCAAAGACGAAATGTAAAAGTTCGAAACCTAAAAATTCTAAATGTTGGTGTGTGTTTGGGTTGACCTACTCCATTTAGGTGTGTATGTCTCACCCAGATGGCAGCGCAGGCGAGTGTTGGTGGGGCCGTAGGAACTGCCCAGAGTGGCCCCGGGCCCCAAGAGCCAAAAGCCGGCCGATCCTAAAGAGTTACTGTTGATGAAGGTGCGCAGAGAGAGAAGGGTCCTGTATGTGCACGGACACGAGCGGCAGTTTCCAGCCACACACACTCCCGCGCTGTACAGAGGGAAGACGGCCTGGCCCTGGGAGAGATCGTGCAAATCCATGTTACCAATGATGAGATGTTAAGAGTAGAGTGAGATTTCTACACTCAAAAAATGTTTCAGCACTATCACAACAAATATACTGTGCTTTTTAATGAAACAACTGCACATCGCGTCAGTTTTGTCAAGTGCCGTGTACAGTTTTGTCTCACGTTTTGTGTATTTATGAAGAATTGTCGTGTGTCTCTTAATTGGGTTCAAATATTGTAATGTATGTAATTAGCATTTGTAAAATTCAAATTTCCATGTACTTAAAATAAAACAGTCTGCAATTTCATTCAATTTCTGGTCATTTTTTAAATGCCTTGGCATCTTTGGTCATCAAATGAAATTCACAATAAAACAATTCAAACATGTCGTAGGAAATTTACATTATTTTACAATGGAACATATAACATTAATTAAATTATAGCAGAAATAAACAAAACAAAAAAAACACATTTAAAAAACCCTCCCCCTTCTTCTAATCTAACACAATGAGCTTTCTTTAAAAATTTTCAGACATTTTACATTAAACTATATGAACTATTTACAAGTGCGGACAAGGAGTCACTGTTATAGTTTGGTAACATAACTGTATTGCAATAATACATAAGAATACCAACAATTATAAGGAAAATATAGGATACTAACAATGGTAACAGACAGCAGAACAAGTAATGGTAAGGAACAAACATAAACCAGCCCTACAGAAGGCAGTACTGTTCTAATATTAAGACTCACTCTCTATATACTGTCACCAGATCATATTTTTTCATAACAACTTGAATTTATGGATATTTTGGCACTGCTTGAGATGTGTATCCAGGCTGTTCCAGAGTTTTACACCACACACAGAAACTTTTATGGGTAGTTCGAACATCGTGGGACTAATAAAAGTTTATCTTGGCTTATATTTGTTCTCAGTTAAAAAAAAAAAAAAAAAAATCTCAAAGCAAGAAATTGAGTAGCATTTAAAATTCTAAATCTGATGAACCAAATGAGCTTGCACGGAGGTTGTTTTGTACCTTGGGTCCCATAGAGGTCCAGCCGTGTTTGGAGTCGATTCCTCTCTGATACACGGCCTGGAACTCAGACAGGATGACGGGGTAGTGGGCCTCCAGCACCTCGATGTCGTGTCTGTGTGCGTCCCGTGGGAAGAAGGGAACACTGGGTACGTCTGGCAGGTAGAACAGGTGAGGCTTCTGGATGGTGCAGTGACTGGCCAGCCTCTCCTGAACAAATACAGACATCACATCACAAGAAACATGTGAATAAATATATATCAGAGGTGGGTAGTTACAGTTACTTGAGTAATTTCTTGGACCACTACTTGGTACTTCTACTTGAGTAATATTATTTTGAAGTAACGCTACTCTAGTACAATTTTTGTCTACTCTACCCACCTCTGATATGTATATGGATATGTTTTTTTTAAAAACATTATTCAGACAATATTTGAGCAATGCATCAAGAATATTTGCCACTGTAAATGTTTTTGAGGTTCAAGTCTAGTACAATACATGAACTGATCACATATTTAATCATAAAAATACATATTTATTCAAATTATATTATATTCTAAAACAACAATTGCTGAATTATAAAGGTTTCTATATATCTCCAATGTTTAAGTATGACTACAATTTTACATCACCCATTCAAACTCAGAGGGATTCATTAGGACAGTGGAGGTGAGATGGGGGACTAACCCAGGTCTAAACCAGAACTGAACTAGGATTGAACTAGGACTAAACCAGGTCAAACCAGGTCTAAACCAAAACTGAAGCAGGACTAAACCAAGACTAAACAGTTCTGCCCTGGTCTCAGTCCCAGTCTCAGTCCTGGTCCTGGTCTGGTCCCGGTCTCAGTCCCGATCTGGTTCCGGTCTCAGTCCCGGTCTGGTCCCGGTCTGGTCCCGGTCTGGTCCCGGTCTGGTCCCGGTCTGGTCCTGGTCTCACTCCTGATCACCCGACAATCTACGCGAGAACACCTCCGGGCCCGTCCCAACACTCCTGGTTTAGCCCTGGTGCAGTCCTGGTTCAGTCCGTATGCGGTGCAAAAGTCCGGCATTGCAGTTGAAGTTAACGGGAAACAGCCATTATCCAATTTTTCCATGATTCATTTAAACACAAAATCAAAAACTGAAAAAACAAATCTTTATCCATTTTTTTCATTTTGGTTTTGGAGACAAATAATGAAGAAAATACTTGTTTTTTTTTTCATTTTCTTATTTTTGGTTTTATTTTGAAAAACGAATGAACAAATGATACACAGATTCTTAACATTTTAAAAAGTGTCTCTATACGTTTCGAACACTATAACTAGGAAATCCTAGGTCGAATATTCCGGACGGTCCCTTTAAGTAGTAGCCGTATTAGAAACAGTCGTGGGAGTACTGGCAGTACCAGTCAAAGTATATAAGTAGCGGTAATGAGACCTGTTCTCGTAGGCCCTTGTGGATCCGTCCCATGCCCACCCAGCTGTAGCGCTTGGCATATTCCTGCAGGGCTGCGTACAGTTTCTTGGCCTGGGCGGAGGCTTGGGTCGGGAACAAGGCGTGACTCAGCACGGGGGTGAGGTATCCCTGTCCCCTCTCCTCCTCGTCATCCTCCTCCTCCGTCGTTCCCATGGAGATGAAGCTGCTCCTGTGATCACCTCTGCTCCCGCCACAGCTCTTCAGGGCTCGGCGCGAGTTGAGTTTGGAGCTGTGCGGGTGTGCGGGTGAGTCTGTGCCCATCCTGTAGCAGTGCCAGAGGAAGAGGAGGAGGAAGGTCCACAGGAGGCCGCTCAGAGACTGTACACCAAGGTCACTGCAGAGGGGGAGGGGCAGTGTGCTCAGGGGCCACTGCATTTTGACCCCCAGGAACCTGAAAAAGAGGAGAAAAGGTTAAATATTGCACTCAAAAATAATTATAACGAAGATTCAGCATCATATTTTGAAGAGCTGTAATCATTTAGTTGGTCAACGGTGTTTTGTCGACCAAAGTTTGTATAAATCAAGTAATTATTTTATTGTATTTTAAAGTGCCTATGACCTATAAACTACTAATTTTACTAAAACAGCATTCAATGTTCAATATATTTAAGATTTTACAAAAAAATGTCAAAATGCATCACTCACCAAGCAAACCAAATTGTACACTGGGCCAAAACTTCTCTAATGTACACAGAAATGATCATTTGACAAATAAAAATATAAGAAAACAACTTTATTTTGTTTAAATACTCATGTAATTACCATTAAAATGTGTTTCTTGTGTAAATTGTGAATGTTTGAATAGAATTGTCCCAAATATAGTGTCATCAATATGGGACTCTCCACTCTCTTCTCAGTTTTCAACTTTTCTTCACAAATAGCTTCTTCATTTGTGTAAAAGTGTAATTTATATTTACAACAGGTATTACCCCAACAAAGAAAGTAAAAAAAAAAGAAGAAAAGTCATATGCACTTTAATTACTATAGTATAAGGATTTATGTGGGCCAACAGCAGAAATCTGTGAGTGAGTGCGTGAGTTAACTCATAATTCACAAGTTGAATCTGTCTTTCCATAAATACATTGTTTCCTAGTACTTTCTTCTGCATAAATAGTTGTTTTTGCATGAGCTCCCCCTGCAGGTGTAGTCTTGTAAGTGCAGTTTGGGTCAGATACATAGAGATCAGATATGTAATAGTTTTAAGAGCTTTCGCCACGCCCCCTTTTTAGTCGACTAACCGGTAAATGGTCTCACTTTTATATAAGCTCAGTGCTTTTCCACCTTTAAGGCACTCAAAGCTCTTTACATCAAGGAACCACTCAAGCATTCACACACACATTTACACACCAATATACGCAGACACTGGGGGCCAGATGGTTTAAGTGTTTTGCCCAAGGACACAATGAAAGCAATCATCTGTGGGAGCTGCATTTTTTTTTTACTACAAATGGTAATAAACTAACCTAACCAACCAATACCAACTAAGCTTCTATCGCCCCAGTTGATTTGCCTGACCAGCCTGTCCCTTCTACATTCTGTCTGAATCCGGAGGGGACTGAAATTGAACCACTCATTTCCTCTCCAAAATTCTTATATTCATTCAGAACAAAATATATAACGTCTTTAACCTGAGATAAGTAATAGTTTGGTGGTTCGATTATTGATTCTGCAAAAAATCCATGTAGTAAAACTCTTGGTCTGTAAAAAGAACCTAATAACATAAATGACGGTACTTGAATCGCACAATTTCGGCTTCAAACTGCACAATAACAGTGTGATGAGTGAGAGATATGGGAATGCGTAACACACTGTGAAACTGACAAAGCTGTTTTTAATTCTGTTATGTCTTTACACTATAATTTAAATGAAACTTGGTGTGAAAGTATTCAGAATACAGTACTCTGATTGGACCATGTATCAATATACAAAATACATTTTATTTCAGGTATTCAGTATTCTGTAACTAAATATTTTTTTAAAAACATTTTAAAAGTATTTTTCCATCACTTTTTTAGCACTGCAGTTAAATTTGTTTGATATTGGATATTCAACACATTCAAAGACATTTAACTTGTGATACATATGACAATTTTTTTTTCAAACAACTTGTGACGTCTTCATAATCATCCAGGGTATATATCACAAGACAGTAATTATTTTAAAAATCTTACTATGAGCTGATTTAGTGCATATTTATGAATTGATTTAACTTGTGATGTACAGACGTGGACAAACTTGTTGGTACCCCTCTGGTAAGGAAAGAAAAATCAACAATGGTCAATGGTCAATGTTTTTTTTTTTTAATAGTTACTGTCTTGTGATAAATACCCTGGGTGATTATGAAGACATCACAAGTTGTTTGAAAAAAAAACTGATATGTATCACAAGTTAAATGACTGCCTTTGAGTGCGACGAATATCCAGTATCCAATATCAAACCAATTCAACTGTGGTGCTTCTAACCCAGTAACAAACTTTATGCAGTGGGCCTATTACAAATCTGACCTGAACCCTTGTTGACAATGTAAACAAATCAACTTCAAGCATGTTTTTGTATTTTAGACAGAAAACTGACCTTGCTAGTGACCAGAGCCACTCAAATGCACCATATGTTTAATCTGAATATTGATGACAGAAATATCGTGCGCGGCATATTTCGTTGAGCTCGAATTAGTTGTAATGTTATTAAGATTATAACCACGGAAACACATTACGCAACGGCATGGGACGAGCAACCAGCAGATGCGTGCAGGTCACCGCGAGACAGATTGAGCGGACAGACGCAGCAAGGGAACTGGCATCTGATGGTTTATTACATCATGAGAGGAACATATCGTCCAGAGTTGATTGGTTGATGAATTAACAGGCAAACTGCGTGCGTGCGTGCCTCGAGCGTGCACGGGTGAGTGTCTGCCTGAGTGCCTGCACGGTGATGGCTGATAGGGTGGGAGGGTTCATTCCTAATCGGTTTATTTCTGATGGTTTATTTCCTGCTGGCATCAATGACACGCTCATGATACGGTCCAATGACAGCGCCAGCACCCATGGGCCACGCCAGGGACATGCATCGACACCCTTCCTTCCCCGAGCTTTTTATATTTTCGCAGTAGCACCAACCCCAGCATCCATTCTATACTGCTTTCTTCAATAAAATATGCGAAATCAAATTCTTAATCCGTTCTCCGAGCAAAACGAGTGGTGCATGCAGGGTTTTACGCACGCATGCATGACAAAACACGTCCAAGCATTTCCTTTTTTTCGCTTTAACTTTACCTTCCTAAAACCGTAGCGTTGTCTTGTTTTGTGGACGCCAGCCTCTGAGAAGCAACGCAGCTCCAGAGCCGCTCGTGTGCAATGTCAGGCTGCGTCCGCTAGAGCGCGCTTGGAGCATCAATACAAATGCCCTCACATCATCGCTGGCTGAATGCGTCAAGCGCACCGTAAGCAGCGAAAAAAGGGGGGCATCTTATCGGTACAGAGACCCCAAGAGCGCCGTGTGTTCCCGGGGCCTAACCACAGCCGCAACAGGGTCTTGGGGGACATTGATACGCACCTCGACGTCCAGGAAAAGCGAGGTAATACGCGCTCCAAATTCGCCTTGATGATTCGCCAGATGCTAAAAAAGCCAGTATCATCCGCTGGTGCACAAAAAGGGCCAGGGGGTTTGAAAATGCGAGCTTACTGACAGGGGTTCGTGGTGTTTTAGCGTCTTCAGCGAGGGAACGCCTAAAAAAAAGCAACATTACGCATATGTAAAGCGTTCGGGGTGCACCTGTGAAAAGATGGAGACGTTGCATTTCGGGTTGTAGCGGATTTTGTGGATCTTGAAGCGGTAGGATTGGGTGCAGAAAAAATGCATGAATATGTTAGCTTGTCTCGGGGGTAGGCCTGTTCAAAACATAGCCTTGCATTATGCTTTTCTGTGTGAAATTGGATTATCTTTCCAATTTTTCATCGACAATGCTAAAAAAAAGGGGGGGCTAAGGTACCAAAAACAAAACAGTGTCCAGATTAGCTATGCAGTGCTGCTTGTTGCTAGTATTTGACCAGCTATGTAAGCAATCTCAGCTGTACATTTTGTAACAAAGCCAGTTATTCAAAATTAATCATATATTTTTGCATGTTTATTCTTCTCAGTGCGTTCTCATCCAAAAACATGGGGGCCACACAGCTTCTGGTGCTGCTGTCAGTCACCATGCTCCACTTGGTGTCAGGTAACTGTCTTTTGTATATTGTGCTTGGTGTCATTTGCCCCATGTATTTATGTATGTGCATTATACGTAATAGGTAATATGTAAGAGGTTGTGTTTGTGTAAAAGAATTTGACATTATTAAAGGTCCTATATTATGGAAAATGTACTCTGGTGAGCTTTAAGTCATGTTAGAGAATGTTGTTATCTGGCGTTGTGTTTTGTTTCATTTAGACTTGTTTGAGTAATCCTGCGTTAGTCAAGTGAAGTCATTTTATTTACATAGCACATTTAAAACAACCATAACAATTTGCAACATAGTGAAACAATAACACAAATATAAAATATGTAAAATATTAGGGATGTAACAATAACCGAAATATCATGATATTGTACCGTTAAAGTTTTCACAATAATATTGTGGACTGTCACAATATATCGAATCACAAATCTCTTTGCTGAAATTAAGAGTTATGGTGCAGCAATAGCTAAAAAAAAGACAGAGGGAACTACATAGACCATGATCCTTTGCTCCATTTCAGTGTAGACTACAAGAAGAAATAACAGTTCTAAGCACTTTTAAGTCTTAGTTCTTTGGATTAAGTCTTGTCGAGGCATTTTAAGAAGAAAAAGTAGCATAATAACAGTTTTGTTAGCCACCACAAAATATCGCAGTAAATATCGTACTGTGACATGTACATCTTGAAAATATTGTACCAAGAGATTTGGATATTCTTACACCCCTAATCATGAGCTTTCCCACGATAACGCATAACATAACGCATAACATAAAAGATACACAAAGATAATAGTCTAAAGTAGAGCTCATGGGCTGTTGAAAGCCATCTTGAAAAAAAAATTGTTTTAGGAGGGTATTAAAGTGAGACAGGAAGGATCAAGATCTCAGATGAAGAGGGAAGGCATTCCAAAGCTTAGGTAGCACGATTCATCAGACGGCTTCACTTCATAGAAACCGTCTGAACTCGTGTTGTTAGAATTTGTTCGCTCAACGGTAGGCGGGTACTTTTTTCATTTAACCAATCGCTGCTATTTGGTCGTGACATATGTAATGCACCACTAACGGGGCTGGTCTATTAAACTTTTCCCAAATCCAGTAGGAAAAAGGGCAATAACATCTTTTCCCTTGATAAAATTCACCAAACATTCTCTTTATTCCGTCTTTAAATCCTTGATCTAGGGAATTGTTGCCAACACAAAATCTATGGCTCTTCGCCTGAACGCGCACTTCTGGGATTTTTGCGAACCATCTAGTGTATTCCGATTCCTGACCTAGTCGCTGGAGAGAAATGAAATTGAGCGGAGGCACTAGGTGGCGTCAGCTTGGCTTAAGCTTAGGGGCCACAACAGAGAAAGCTCGGCCTCTCCTGGTTTTGAGGCGGGATGGTGGGACGGACAGTAGGTTGAGAGAGCTTGACCTGAGAGACCGAGGGGCAGAGTGTGGGGTTAAAAGATCAGTATTTAACAGGTGGAGTTAGGCTAGGATGGGTGTAATATGGTCGCTCTTTTTTTTTGTTTTAATAGATTGGTCCACCTTGTGATATCAATAAGGGGTAGTTTACAAGTTAGCAGCTACCGTTAACCTTTAGTTCAGTAGACATTGGCGATTACAGGGCTAAAATCATCCAAATGTTTCTAGTGGAGTGTCTGGAGTTTAAAAACACACTGGAGAACTTCAGCATCACAGGGTGGGACAGTGTGTTTTTATGTTTGAGAGAAGAACACAGTCAAAATATGCAGGGTTTGTGTGTTAAACATGTGCGAAAGAAGCAAAACACAACTTTGGGTATGTTTTTGATGAGCAAACAAACCTATAACATAGATCAGAAAATATTATAAATAATATGGACCCTTTAAATTCAATTGGAGGGGTCCATAAATGAATGAGGGAGTATTTCTGAATGAGGCAGTCTAAAAGAAAATGTCAAAGTTGAAATAGAGCTGCTAGGTTAGAGCAATAAACATCTCAATTAATGTGGCTGCAGTTAGTAAAAAATGCTTAGACCTATAAAATGAAGTTACTCTGATAATGGGAGTAATAGTGAGTACTCTCCAAGGTATTTACAGTACACTGAAAACTTGAATTAAAATGTATTTTGTATCATTTTCCCATACACGGCCCAATCAGAGTACTGCTTTCTGACTACTTACAGTACTTTCACGTTGAGTTGCATTATATTACAGTGTTAAAACAAAGCAGACAAATTAAGCAGTTGTGTTCCTTTGATTTTAGGAAAACACTGTGTAACTTTTCTGGTAGGGGGTCTGCCACAAACTTGTTTCCATGGAGATATTATTGCTTTGCCTGAAAGGTTTCACAGTATGGCATTAAACACTAATCCATGTCATATTTATTTAATTACTGGTGTTTTACTGCTCAAAAATACTTCGAAAAACCGCTATTCCTACAGTGAATGAGCTCACCTCTCCATAGATCTGACCTGTAACTTGGCCTGGAGGCTTTGTGGGCTTGTCTCCATGGATATAGATGAGTTAAATGCCATACAGTGGGACATTCTAGATAAAGCAATTACATTTCCAATATAGTAGGGTGGCAACTAATGATTATATTTAGTAGTTGACTAGTCAGCGATTATTTTTTGATTAGTTGTCTAGTCAAATGATTATTTCTATTTACACTGAGACTTTTGAAGTACATTATCAGTTAAATAAAGGCTCAAATATGATGACTAAAGGCGAATAAACGAATAAAGTTTATTTAGTGATTTTTTTATTTATTTTAATTTTTTTACATAATGCTGCTGTCTTTGATATAAAAGGTCTAAGCATGTCTGTGTAGTCCAGAGAACATTTATTATCAGTAAAATACGCTTGCGATTTTATTTGCTTGCGACGATATCGTATCGTGAGACTTGGATACCAACAATCCACAAAAAACGCCTGACTTTGTGTTGAAATTGAAGATATTAAAAGTCCACTATGTAACTTTTCTGATAGAGGATCCACCTCCTGCTTGACTCGTTGTAGATGTAGATGTTTTTTTGTTTGTTTGTTTCCTGGAATGCTTTACAATATGGCATTTGACTTAACTATCTCCATGGAGACAAGCAGGCTATATCACCAGGCCAAGTTACAGATCAGATCTGTGGAGATGTGTGCCACACTCATAGTGAGAATGCATGTTTTTGTGGCAGTTTTGAGAAATAAAAACACCTGTGAATGAATAAAAACAAGATATATTTGTATTATTTTATGCCATACTGTGGAACATCCCAGGCAGAGCAATGACATCACCACGAGACTAGCAGATCCACCAGAAAAGTTACACAGTGTACCTTTAAACTTTGCATAGACCCAGTAATTACAGAGGTATTAACCATAAACCAGGTCAGAATTTATAGCAGCAGCAACTTACCATGCGTCCTAACTCTGCTCCTTCTTCATTTTTAAACCTTGAACTCATTAAAATTGCATGCCGTCTTGTGAACACTACCTATTACACACCAATACAAAGTGCACGTTGTCCTTTGTGTAACTCAACCCGTGCTAATGACTCACAGTAATGAGCTATGGCCTTTTTAGGTATGAGCTTCATGACTCCAGAACCTGATACACCTCCGACCTCCAGCCCGGACGCCTATCCCCCCCGGTGAGCTACTCCACGCCGCCCTGCAAAGTAAAGAGTACCTTGGACAACCCGCCACAGGTGCTCCGAGCTGTGTCAGACGTGGCTAGTATGGTTTAAAGGGGACATGTTTTGCTTTATACTGCCTTTTTGATTGATTTTATTTATTTTATTATCATTTTTTAAGCCAAGTTTGGACAATTTACAGCAATGTGTCTTTCGCTTTCCATTTAAGTCAATCAATCAATCAAACTTTATTTATAGAATGCTTTTCATACAAAAAAATGTAACACAAAGCACTTTCGAGTGATTATGATCGATTAGTGAAAACAATCCCACATTTCATCCTACCCCCGCCCACAAAGCTAAGCTAAACAGTTTGGTCTTGAGAGATCTGTGACATAATGAATGTGACATAATATTTTTTTTTTTACAACTTACTATCTGGAATCTGGAAACTTATACTAACTTTGTGGAATCTGGGACACTCTCTCTGGAACCAGTACATAAAGAAAAAAGAAACCCCTCTGCAACATCAGCACATACAACAAAACACAGTACAGACATAATCGACAAGACTAGCAACCAGGGAGGAGAGGGAATTGGAGTCAAAAGGCAGCCTCTAGATCCTGCAGCCAGGGGGCGCTGATACAATATACGCACCCGCCAATTCTGGGTGGGGCAAAAGCTGCCAATTTCAAGGTCCTGTATTACACAAAATGGATTCCTGTGAGTTTTAAGCCATGTTATAATGTTGTTAGTAATGTTAGTTTATTGATCCACAAGGGAAATTATTTGGACACAGTAGCTCACACGTCACAATATAATATAATAACAAAGAGTAAATTAATTCAATGATAAGAAGGAAAAATAACACTGACTAAGACTGGTGTCAAAAACATACCTCATCAAAAACATGCCTGGAGTTGTGTTTTGTTTTATTTACACATGTTTGAGGAATCCTTTATCTGTCTACGGCTCCAAAGCTTGAGAAAGTTTTCTGCTTGAAAAAAGAACTGAAGCTTAAATATGCAGGGTTTGCATGTTAAGCATGTGTGAATAAAACAAAACACAACTCCAGGTCTGTTTGTGATGAGGAAACATTATAACAGAGATAAGACTAGAAAAGCACTCAGAGAGCGCAGACCTCCGCCAAGGACTACCCCCATTTTTTATATAAATTGCGATAAAATCAGTCTTCTGGATCAGATCCGGATCAGCCTTTGGAATATGAAAGAGGATCCCATTGTCCATCCCTGAGTCAAATTTCATGGGGTTTGGTCAATAATTAACCGAGATATTGAGAAACAAAATTTTTGGCCCCATTTACCACAATGTTAACTAAAATTTCAAAGTGATCCAGAATCCAGGATTTCTTCCGGATCAACCCCAAAATGAAATCAGTTCTTCCTTTTCACATTTCCAACAAATCCTGAAAATTTCATCAAAATCGGTCCATAACTTTTTGAGTTATGTTGCTAACAGACAAACAAACAGACAAACGCCGGCAAAAACATAACCTCCTTGGCGGAGGTAAAAATAGCGTAATGAGGGCCCTTTAAACTCTTGGAATGGGTGTCTGATGCTTTCTTCTGACAGTAATAGAGAGTGAACTGTTTTGAATTGACCATGACCCCAAACAATGACAATCAAGGTTAACTTTGTGATGGGGCACGTTCCTAATAATATAATAATGCATTAAGCTTACGTAACGTTTTTCCATATGCTCAAAATCGCTTTAAAATTCCGTGCATTATTCATTCACTGGTGCTTAAGTGACTATATTGAGACTTTACAGCGACATCAATCTTGGGGAGTTTCTACATGTATCTCTGTTGGCAGAATGTTTATCAGTTACTATGGTTAACAAAGCAATAACTACCAAAAGGTTTTAAGACCCTAGAAAACATACACATTGGATTTAAACAACACATTTTCAGGAGCCTGTGAGCAATGTGACTGTAAGTTTTTTGCAAGAGAGACTCATTTAACAGCACAAATCATCTCACCTGTTGTGGTTCCAACCAAGTGAGATAGTCACTTTCTGGTGAGATAGTGTTAAAATAAAGCCCAGATTAAGACTAACTTGAGTAACAGAGCCTCTAACAGAGTAATGCTTTCAGTTAGCTTCACCCCCCTCCCAGGGAATGTTGATGACATCCGCTGCAAATTATGAATTATAGCCACAGATCCCCTGGGGCAGACTGATGAAACATAGGCTGCCAATTTGCACAGCCGACCATCAGCAACACTCACATTAGGGTCCTGCACGGGTCCATTTTTGGAGACCCGCGCAGTATGGCACCGCACCCGCCAGTTAACCTGTGATTTTATCAAAGTTAAACCCACACCCGCCACGACCCATTAACATTCCACCCGTTACCCGCCCGTGCCCGCGATAAATCACGCACAAAATAAAAACATTCTAATGGAAGCATTCATGATGAATACGAATTGAAAAGTTATGACTTCAAGAATTACAATCATGAAATGAAATGAAACGGTTAGGCTTTTCTACGCTTTTCTGTTGGACTCGACTGTCATCACTTCACAGGCATTACTTACTGAGCCGAAGAAACATTGATCGAGATACCGGACTTTTGCGCCGCACACACCACGGACTGCACCAGGACTGAACCAGGACTAATCCAGGACTGAACCAGGACTAACATAGGACTAACCTAGGACTGATTCCAGGACTTAACCAGGCGGACTGAACCAGGACTGAACTAGGACTAAAACAAGACTAAACCTGGACTAAACCTGAACGGAAACAGGACTGTCGGGATGGGCTTGGAGGTGCGCCCGGGTAAACCATCAGGTGACCGCAGGCGAAAGGACCGGCACCGCACTCTGCGCCGCACAGAGGTAAGCGCAGCCGTCACCCGATTGCGCTTTACGGACACCTTGCTCCACGGGCTCGGTGTTCTCTCTTTCTTAAGACCAAGATTAGTCCTGGTTTATTCCTGACCCGCTCGTGTGTAATTACTACCCGCCCATAAAATTCCAGAACGTTAAGACCTGCCCGTTTCAGCAACCATTTGGGCCCCGGTGCAGGACTCACATACACCACATTCGTACCAAACAATGTGTGTGAAGTGTCTTGCCTAAGAACACAATGACAGTCTGCGCTAGAGACACTGCTGCCCTATTGCGGCATCAGGTTTTCCCAACGGTCTCTCATCCAAATTCTAACCTGGCCCGGCCTTGCTTATCTTACAAGATTAAACGAGATCGCTTGTTGGTGCCACCTGCGTAGTTTAATGCCATACTGTGTGATAGTAATGGCAAAGCAATAACATCTCCACAGAGTTTTCCACCTTTAAACATGCATAAATGGAACAAAAAAACTACAAACACAAGGAAATAGTGTTTTCACAATACCAAAATTTTAAACTCGAAATTGAGACTAAGAAATTGACTCGATACTCAGTAGACCTACCGATTCATTAATGATACAACAATTATAATTTTAAAAAGTTAGTTTGACAATAGAGTGTAATTTTCAACATTAAATCATAGTACTGTTATATTACTATGAGGCCCTTAATCTGCGTTGTCCAGGTAGAATATAGTATCTAAAGTAGTGGCTTTTAGAGTACTGATACCTACTCAAATGAGTATCTAGTCTAGTTGGTATCTGATTTTCTATGCTTTTGACAACTCTACAAGGAAAAACTAATGTCATTTAAAATATCTCTGGCATAACATGTCCTTTTTAACATACTGTAATCACACTATTGAAATGTCTCTTGACTAAACATTTTGGGACTTCCAGGTACGACCACCAACCCCACCCAGGCTGTGCCCAGGCTGAGGCAGAGCGAGGCCACCGCAGCGGGTCTCTCTCCGGGTATGCTGACCACAAGTCCCTCCAGGCAGTCTGGGCTGAGGAGCTCCATGTCCTCCCTGCCTGTGGAGGAGGAGACCACTACCACTCTGATCACGACTACTACCATCACCACCATGCACGCTCCAGGTAGGCTGCTTGGATTAGGTTACTGTATTTTTCACATTATAAATGGCTCCAGGGTATAAGTCGCACCAGCCAAAAAATGCATAATGAAGAAGAAAAAAACATATAAGTCGCATTTTTGGGGGGTAAATTTATTTTATAAAATCGGACAGGAACTGACATTTCATCTTGAAAGGCAAGTTATAATAACAACAACAGAACAAGAACAGGCTGTTAGCGTCACGTACGAACAGTTCTTCAGATAACTATAGCATAAACAACAGAACAGAATAAGTTTACCAAACTCTCCATCTCACTCCAAATCAGTAAATCCATTGAATTCTTCATCCTCTGTGTCATTTCAAGCAACTCAGTGACCTCTAGAGGTAAATGGAGCGCTGCTTCCTCTTCCGCGTAGCTGTCATCAGACTCAGCATCAGTTCCAGTTAGAATTATTCCTGCCTTTCTGAATCCTGACAGGATGGTTTCGGTGTCACTGAAGTCCAGGCTTTGTCGATCCATCCAGTAACTTCCACTAAAATTACATACATGGAGCTCTCTCCTGGTTGCCGTGAAGCTGTCTTCTCCATCCCTGCTTTCCGCCAGACCCTCACAAGTTTCTCACTCACTCTAGACTTTCTTTCTGCTGCTCGATTACAGTTTTCGGCTGAATATTTCACTACTTGCAGCAGGACAGCAGCTTTTTCTGCAGGACACATGCACAGAGTGAAGTGACAGTGGTACAGGAGTAATAGGAGCAACAGATACTGGCACACAAGCCTAGAGCGCCTTCTCGCGGCTGTCAGTGTGAAAATTTTAATATATGTTGCACCGAAGTATAAGTCACTGAAAACACCCAAACCATGAAAAAAAGTGTGATGTAGAAAAATACGGTAATAGTTTTGCGAGCTTTTGCCATACCTCCTTTTTTAGTAAATCAGTTGATCAGCAGGATGTATCTTTAGTCGGCCAAGAACTTCTTTAGTCGATTACAGCCTTACTGATTTTTTAAATCATGATAGTTTTAGTTTTGGGACTACAATTCTGTTATAAAGTTTGAATAATGATGATAATGAAGATTACATTGTGTAATTTAATTAAGTGAATGAATAGCCTATACTGTCTATCCTAGTTCATATTTAGATATATTAATGTTGTATTTAATATTATTTTCCTCCTCTTAAGAAAGCTCACAGTGTCTGTACACGTATCGCACTGTACCTGACCTCTTTTTGAGTACATAATGCTCTCCATACGCCCGCAGTACAATGCAACGCAACCTTGTCCGCTATGGAAGATGTGGTTGAGTCACCAGACCCGAGCACCGTGTCCCCCCTGGAGTGTACCTATAGCATCACCGTCTACTCGGGCTATGGAGTGGAGATTCAGGTATGGGAGACACTTCAGAATTGTATGTAATTGATAATTGAATTTTTTTCCCTCCCTGATACTGATTAATTAAGATTTTTGGTTAGACTATTAAAGGGCACTTATTACGTTATTTTCTGATATATGTTATAATGTTGTTTCCTCATATAAGTTGTTGTGTTTTGCTTCTTTGACACATGTTTAACACACAAACCCTTCATAATTAGGCTAAATTCTTCTCTTATAATGTAATGTGGCAATACAGGAAGTGCTCCACTGTGTTTTTAAACTCCATACACCTTTGCTAGAATCATTTGGATAATGTCAGACCCAGAATTTCCAATCTCTACTGAACAAAATGTGTAAAAATGGAGCCATATGTTAAAAAGTAGCTGCTAAAAATATTGCTACCTAACGTCACAAGGTGGAACAGAGGATTTTGAGCTTTGGAGATGTAGACAAACTAATAAAAAAGGATTGCTGAAACGAAACACTACTCCAGGTATGTCTTTAGCTCACAAGTTAATTCCATATTTGTTTCTGTTCCAGGTAAAGAAGGTTGACCTGTCCCGAGATGAGTCCCTGACCATTCTGACCTACGGGAGTCAGGGCCTGAAGTTTTTAGCCGACAAAGCGGTGATGAGCGAGGGCCAGGTCATCCGCAGTCCCACCAACCAGGTCTTCATCCACTACAAGAGCCGTCGCCAGAGCAATCACGGGGTGTTCAGCCTGCACTATCAAGGTATATTTCTTATGATTGCTAAACAGATATTATAATCAATATTTCTAGCCTTTATGGTCTTATTTAATTACCATTAGCTCCATGACTGTTGAATGTGAAGGAATTTTTTTCACAATGCCACTGGAAATGTGTTGTTAGTTTACCATTTCATTATTTATTTTCATTTTAGATTTTTAGATTATGTAATTTATTTATTTATTTCTTCATTCTTTATATTTTATTACCTCCGCCAAGGAGGTTATGTTTTTGCCGGCGTTTGTCTGTTTGTTTGTTTGTCTGTTAGCAACATAACTCAAAAAGTTATGGACCGATTTTGATGAAATTTTCAGGATTTGTTGGAAATATGAAAAGGAAGAACTGATTTCATTTTGGGGGTGATCCGGAATAAATCCTGGATTCTGGATCACTTTGAAATTTTAGTTAACATTGTGGTAAATGGGGCCAAAAATTTTGTTTCTCAATATCTCGATTAATTATTGACCAAACCCCATGAAATTTGACTCAGGGATGGACAATCGGATCCTCTTTCATATTCCAAATTGAAAGATAGGAGACAAATATTTATGGAAAACACAATTAATATGAGGGGGACTGTAGTCCTTGGCGGAGGTCTGCGCTCTCTGAGTGCTTTTCTAGTTATAAATATGACTTGTATTTTTAACAACATCTGTACCTATACAAGTGTTGTCATGATATTAAAACTTTACTTGGTCTTTCTTTTATCTGGGTACTTTATTTCATATTACCATGAAGCCTTATATCTGAGTAATCCCCCAGTCAGTCCAGGTAGGTTCCACAGTGGTCTATGTGCATATACTAGTCTATGTGCTCTTATAGTTGTTCAAATGAGAATCTAGTTTCGATACTAGTTTTAGTATTGAATAATATCTGATTTTTAAAATAATTTTTATAACCCTAACCTGTACCCTCTTTGCCCTCTAGCCTATGTGCTGTCCTGCCCGTTCCCTCGCTCCCCTGAGAACGGAGGAGTGACCGTGACGGACATCCACCCCGGAGGTCAGGCTCATTTCCACTGTGACCCCGGCTTCCAGGTCAGAGGTCATGAAGTCGCGTCTTGCATCAATGCCACCGAGCCGCGCTGGAGTACGCCGGAACCGCAGTGTGTTGGTCAGTCCGCTCACATCAGTGGCAAATACTCAAACTTGCTGATACTCCTCATTTTACAATAAAGATGAGGAGTAAATGCAACTAGGAAGATTATGCATTGCAAAAAATACATGTGGAGTTAAAATAGCTTAAAGGGGGGATATTTTACTTTTGTGGGGTATTAACTGCTAACACTTAACATATTTAGGTCACCATGTTACCTTTTATTGTTTTGAAAATTTTCCCAAAAAAACATGGTAACATGTTTAATAAGTTTCACTTTAGTTTTTGAGCTCTGAGTACCCAATCCCATTGCTCCCCACACAAACTCACTCCCCCTTCAGAGCGTTATCACAACACAATCAGCGTGCATCCCGCAAATTACACTACTGCACATCGCATCAGGTTTGTCAAGTTGTCAAGTTCACTTTTGTATCATGTTTTTATGGAGAAAAGGGCCCGGGAGTGATCACTAAAATACTCAAAGAGGGAGGGAACAGTGTTACTGTTTTACTTCTCAACTAATAAGTCAAGAAATCAGCTAGAAACACGAAAAAAAAATTAATAAAACAAGTAAAAAATAACTTGAAACTCAAACATTTACTCCTACAAGCGAGATATTAACTTTTCACTCTAATCAAGATCATAATCTGAATTCAAGTGATTTTAACCCTTTCATTTTTTTTTTTTTTCATTGAAATTCCTACTTTGTGCTATAGTGACCCAAAAAAACATCTTGAATTTGTTATGGAGTATCCTGATTACAAAATTAAAATGTTATTACTCCTAGTGTTAAAGATACACTGTGTAACTTTTTGATTGGGGGTCCGTCACCTGCTTGTTTCTATGCAGATGTTACTGCTCTGCTTGGAATAAAACCTCAGAAACTGAATAACAGGCATTCTGACTGTGAGCAGGGTTGCCTCTCCACAGATCTGGCCTGTAACTTGATTTGGTGACAAAGCAATAAAATCTCCATGGAGAAAAGCATTTGATGGACCCTCCACCAGAAAAGTTACACAATGCGCTTTTAAAACATGTCTTAAGTTGAGATCAGACTCAAAATACTCTATTACTCTAACAATATACTCAACATTCAAATGGTCATGTCTTCAAAACAACTTTAATGATGTTTTGATATTCTGCCCGCCTCTACTCCAACACCATCAACTTTACTAACCATCACTTTTCTGTCACTGTCAGCCAATCACAGCCTGCTACTGTTGCCTCTTAACCAATCACCTTCAAAGGTATTCATTCATGTACAGTAAAAGCCCTCCCTCATTTTTTTTCTACTTTTCCTACCATATTCAGCACAACCATCAATGTCCTCAGCCTCTTAATTTCCTCCTCTTAAAGGCCCTATATTACGCTATTTCCTGATCTGTGTTATAATGTTGTTTCTTCATCAAAAACATACCTGGAGTTTTGCTTTGTTTTGTTTCATTCACACATGTTTAACACACACGTTGCCCCAATTCTTCAGTTCTAATTTGTTTTGTGTGTTTTAATTTATTTTGCTCACTGTCCTGATTCCTGCTGTGGGAGTCCTGGTCCGTGATTGGTGGAGTACTTCTACACCTGGCCAATCCTGCCTCACCTTCAGCCTCCTACACCTATTTTAGGAAATTGCCAGCACCTATTTTGGTGTTCATGTGTGTCTCTTTTGTGTCACTCACTTGTTTTGCACTAGTACGCGTCTGACTTTGTTTTGTTGAGACACTAGTTTAGTTCTGTTTTGTGCCTTTTTAATTTGTCACTCGATTCTGTTTGTGGGTTTATGTGTTTTTTCTTTGGGGCACTTGTGTTTTAGTTTTGTTGTGTGTCCCTTAGTTTAATCACTCATTTTTGTGTAAGCCTGCATGACCTGTTTTTTTGGCACAACGCGTATGTTAATCCTGTTTTGTTTCTTTGTTTAAGGTTTTTTTCTGTATATATTTTAGTCTGTTTTGTTCATTTATCTTGTACATTCCTGTAAATTAAACATTATTTAATTTATTTTATTACCGTATTTTCCACACTATAGGGCACGCTCTTAAGCCTCCAACCTCGCACCCCACAATCCAGAGCGCCCTATACACGAATCCACGCGGGTGTCCCAGCACGACTTCAGTAAACTTCAAAGCCTGCGCACGCAAACACACACAGAGCAGACAGGGACCTCACAGCGAAACACACCCGCAGCCACACTCATCACTCCACGCGGACGAGGAATGGAATGGAGGAACGAACCGAAAAAGCGAGTCCAATGTGCCTTTCTGAGCCACAACTGAACAACTGAGTCACTGCGAACACGCCAACAATCCAGCTGTACCAAACAGCACCCGCCCTACACGCCACGATCGAACAAAGGCCAGAGTCACCGAGAACGCGCCAAACAAAGTCCGACTGACCCATCTAACTGTTGTGTTTCGTTTAAAGTCTAGTGCGGTTTATTTGTGAAAAAAGTTTGAAAATAGACCATTCAATGACAGTACGCCTTATAATCCAGAGCGCCCTATAGTGCGGAAAATTTGGTATCCATCTTGGTTCTTTTGCTTCTTCCCCTGTCCCTAGCAGAGCTGGTTCACAACACATGTTCTACCTGGTGATTTCATGTGGTAATACAGGAGGTGCTTTTAACTCCAAACACCTTCTTTGGAATCATTTGGCTCTATAATTGCCAGTCGCTACGTAACTAAAGGTGAAAAGGTAGCTTTTAACTTGAAAACTAAAAAAAAAAAAAAATCTAATGCTAATCATGCAGGATTACTGAAACATGTGTAAATGAAACAAAACACAACTCCAGGTCTGTTTTTGAGGAGGTAACAACATTATTACATGTCTTAAAGCTCACAAGAGTCAATTTTGTGTAATACAGGACCTTTAACTCTCGCTTTATTTTTCCCAACTTTCCATTTTCTCGCATTTCTTCCCATTGCCATTGTCTCTACATAAAGGTCTATGCATTTCTGACATAGTTGTTTGTTCCGTAGCCGTTTCGTGTGGAGGTTGGGTTCGTAATGCCACAGTGGGTCGTATCCTGTCCCCTCCGCCTCCCACCGTCAGTAACCACAGCTCTGGGAACAACTTGAGCTGTCACTGGCTCATAGAGGCCAAGGAGGGCCACCGGCTGCACCTGCACTTTGAGAGGATCGCACTCGACGAAGATGAAGACAGGTAATTGTCTGTGTATCTAACTGAATGCCTTTTTTTTTTTTCCCAAATGGTACACTGGATTAATGAATGAATATAGGTGCCCAGCCTGTATAAGATTTTATGACATTTTCATCAATATAAGGACATAAGAACATGTTTCTCATCATAACTACATAACACAGAATTCAATAGTCACACAAAGTCATGTCCTTTCAGGATGCAGCGTCTTTTGTTTCAGTGTCCAGGCGTTCTCCACAAAGGCTGCCACACAAGATATTTCATTTTCAAATAATCAATAGGACATTTGGCCTTCAGGCAGCCAAAACAAATAAGGGTTCTTCTGTTACACAAATCAGTTCTTAAATCATGATACAGTGGATAATAAAACATGAAATGAAATTCATCCTCCACCACAGATAAATCACACACAGAGCATAACCTGTTTTCCTCTGGGGCTCCTTTAAACTGTCCCACTTCCACCTCTAGGGGCAGCACTCCTGAGTTGAGCACATAGAGACTTCTGTATTCTTCTTAAGTTATATTTGACATAGGGCTCATTAAAGAACCTTTTTTTAAGTGTACTTCAAGTTCTTAGTTTTGGCTTCTGTGATGTTTGTAATTTCCACTGCTCTTGGTAGGTGTCAAATATTTGCCTGAGATTAGTGAACAAAGATTTACTACATTTACTGCTGCAAAGATCTCCAGGACCCCTGGAATATCTGTGAGCTCTGTCCCAGTTGGACATGTTGTTGGGATTTTCAAAATAAAACTGAAAATTTGGAAAAACATTCAACATTTGTTCCCTTTGTGTCCCTGTGTTTCCAGACTGATCGTGCGCAGCGGGAACAGCTCGTCGTCTCCGTCTCTGTTTGACTCAGATGCAGACGATGTACCAGAGCGCGGCCTCCTCAGTGAGAGCTCTGCCCTCTACCTGGAGCTGACCGCAGACTCCTCCTCCATCCCTCTGCTCCTGGCCCTGCGCTACGAAGGTACACCTATACTGTTTACAATCCTACAGTCAAAGATGTTACTATCAAATAGTGCAGTGTAATAGAACATTTACTTAGTTAATTTAAAAGTAGAACTGATCTGATTTTCTGCTGTTTCTCTTTTTTTCATAACATGTTTCTTTTGAACACCACAGGGCTTTAGTATAGATAAGGTAAAAATATCTGCTCTAATACAAACACTGGGCACTGAGATATTTATTCAACAAAACGACATTTACATTTACATCTTATTCTTATGTTATGCAAATGTAATTTTGTAATATATATTTCATATTTATTTTATGATTACACGTAAAAGTGTATTGTAAAAAGCATAAGTTTGCGACCAAATCAGACATTGTACACTTTTATAGGTCTATTGAACTGCACTTTTCCGCCATAATAAAAGGTTCTCTATTACGTGAAATTGACTCTTATGAGCTTTAACCCTTGTTATAATGTTGTTCTGTCATCAAAAATAGACCCAGAGTTGTGTTTTGGTTCATTCACACATTTGAGTAATCCTTTATTATGAATCTGCTCCACCTTTTGATGTCATGAAGCAGTCGTTTTTAAGTTAACCGTTACATTTTTACCTTTTGTAGAGATTGGGACTTGGGAAACACATTTGAGCACTCTCTGCATTACCACATGACATCACAAGGTAGAATTCTATTTGAGGGAAGAACAAAACACAACTCGGGATATGTTTTTGAAGAGGAAACAACATTATAACATAGATCAGAATATGATTTAAAATGTACTATTCCATATTCCCTGACATTGTTATATTCCTTCTTACCAGCCTTTGATGATGAGCACTGCTGGGAGCCGTACATGCCCCACGGGAACTTCACCAGCAGTGACCTGAGCTTCCAGCTGGGCACCACGGTCAGCTTCACCTGCTCCCCGGGCTTCGTCATGGAGCAGGGGTCATCGGCCATAGAGTGTGTAGACCCCAGCAACCCACACTGGAACGATACTGAGCCCGTGTGCAAAGGTAAGGCTCCTGTCACATGCGTGGGGTAAAAATAGAAGCTGTGAGCCTGCGTCATGTGTTAGTCTGTGAAGGAGATGTGAGAATCAGAGCTCTAAGGGGGTGAAGTGTTGGAAGGATAGAAAGGTGTGAGAATAAACTTATTATTATGATGGTATTATGATTCAGTTTGAAAAGGTCTTGTGAGCTTTATTGTCATGTATAATGTTGTTACCTCATCAGAAACACACTTGGAGTTGTGTTTTGTTTCATTCACACATTTGAGTAACCCTTTATTATTAGTGTTTCTACACGAAGCAGTAGTTTTCAAGTTAACAACTACCTTTTACTTTATGTTCAGTATAGGCAAAGCAAGGCTAGGCAAGTTTATTTGTATAGCAAAATTCATACACAAAGTAATTCAAAGTGCTTTATAGAATAAGAAATACATTAAAATCACAATAAAAAAATATGAAAACATAAATATCCATCATAAAATTAAAAAGAGAGACACATTAAATGAGAGAGAAGAGTGCAGAATGAAAACCTTTCATTCATATGCAGCTAAACAGCCTTCTTTTAAACCGCATCAAAGTATAGTCTGTCTCACATCTTCAGGAAGACTGTTCCAGATTTTAGCTGCATGAATCTGAAACGCTGACTCCCCGTGTTTAGTCCTGACTCTGGGCACCAACAGGAGGACGGTCCCTGAGCTCCTCGGAGTATGAGATGGTTCTTATGGCACTAACATGTCACAGATGTACTTTGGTGCTCGGCCATGGAGAGACTTGTACACAAGCAGAGCTGCTATAAAGTCTCTGAGCCACAGGGGCCAGTGCAGAGACCTTAGCACAGGACTTATGTGCTCGTTCTTCCGAGTTTGAGTTAGGACCCGAGCTGCAGTGTTGTGGATGTTCTGCAGCGTCTCACAGCTCGTTTGGAGAGCTGTGAGACGATCATCAGTGAGCAGATCATTATAGTAGTATAACCTACTGGAGACAAACGCATGGACAAGTCTCTCCAAGTCTGCTTTAGACAATAAGCCTTTGATTTTTGCTATGTTTTTTAGATGGTAAAAGACTGCAGATGTTATTGATTTGATGCGAGTCCATTATTACCCCTAGATTTCTTGCCTGATTTGAAGGTTTTAGAGAGAGAGACTGGAGGTGAGTATAGAGTATTGACATTATCGAAATTATTCTAGTGAAAGTGTGTGGAGTTTAAAAACACAGTGGAATGTGTGTGTCTCAGTTTGAGAGAAGAACTCAGCCTAAATATGCAGGATATGCGTGTTAAACATGTGTGAATGAAACAAGTTTTTTAGGCACACCAGCTGTGTAGAGAATCATTACTCTCTTTGCTCCTCGGATCTGATTCTCTCTTATTGTCTTTGATCTATTGAAGGCATTTTGGATATCCAGAGTCAGAGAAAATTTTATAAAGATCTCATTAGATTACTGCGTTTGTATATTCCTGGTGAACTTCAATCTGGTCAAGCTGGCCTCACTTAAATGCTCTCGAGTGAATAATAATTTAAGAATACATCATTTTTCTCGCAGTAACAGACAAGAGAAGACTAAAATAGGAACTGCTAAAATGAAAATCTTTCTCAGTCATAAGGGTAGTTTGGTTGCTGCTTTTTGTAACGCTGAAGAGAACATTACTTCTCTTAAATAACTGCATTTTGTTCATTGCAATTCAAATAGTAATTTTGATTTAACTTTATTGATTGTTAAGCGTAGATTTTTTTTAAATCAAGGACAATGCACAAAAACAATAATGGTAAAAAGAAATAAAAAAAAGGTACGGTAAATGTTAAAAATACATGAATCTTTTAAAGTGCTGATTTTGCCTGTGTTTGGTCTCAGCTCTGTGCGGAGGTGACCTGACGGAGCCCTCTGGGACCATCCTGTCTCCTGATTGGCCGCAGAGTTACTCCAAAGGTCTGGACTGTGTGTGGCAGATCCACGGCAGCGAGGACAAGCGCATCGAGCTGGATATCCACATGTGAGTGCTTCAGGTTTTGCTTCTATAATAACAACATGATATACAAAAATTAAACCATATAAAACTAAAAAACAAGAACAGAACAGTCAGCACTATTGTGGTTACATCATTTATTGTGCATCATGGTTAAGGTCTACTACAGAACTGTTATATAACAATGCTGCAGTCCTACAGTAATTCTTTTGAGGTTTTGTTAAATGGATTCTTAGAAGTATTATGGTTTATGTTGTTCATTGTGGTACTGCTATAACAATTAAGTAGGAGTGTCCAATATGAAAAGCTTGGTGCATTAGAAGATATTGTGGACTTTCTGTTGCAATCTCATGGGCTAAAACAAAGTGTATTTTTTGTATTATAGAGTAAAGCAGTTTGATTGAGGCTAAAAAATTGTGTTTTTCAGGAGGTAACAACATTCGAATATGACTAAAAGCTTGCATGAGTGATTTTTGTGCAATTTAGGGACTTTAATCAAATCTGTGGCATGATTAAAAAAATGCCTTTAGGAAACAGCTGAGGATCAAATGCAAATGTTGGAAAATATGTTCCATCTGCCCTCACAGCCTGAACATCCGGCACATGGATGTACTCACAGTGTTCGACGGGCGGGACCTGATGTCTCATGTGATTGGACAGTACCTGGGCTCTAAAGAGCGCTTCCAGGTGGTGTCCGGGGGGTCAGAGATCACCATCCAGTTCCAGAGTGACCCGGATGATTCCAGTTTCATCCTGAGCCAGGGTTTCCTCATCCACTACAGAGGTATATCCAGTAGATTACATTTCAATGTCTCCATTTTACTATGGAACTCAACAGTGACCGCCTGTTCCAATTAAAAAGTATGTTTTCTAACCGGCCATGTCGTAACTAATATTCAACACAGTTGTTTTAAGTCCAAAAAGCACATTTAAAAAGCAAGTTTCAGCAAAATGTTTTTATAACTTAAGAAATAGTGTTTAAATAAAGTTATAGGTCTTGTGGCCATTAGTTACCACATAGCTGATTAGCTTTGAGCAAGCTTTGAATATAACTTTGAATATAATATTTTTTTTATGTTTCACAAGAGTAAAACCAGTGGGCCTTCTTTGATTTACGCTGTTAACATTGCAGAGGTGGAGCCCAACGACACGTGCCCCACCCTCCCTCAGATTGAGTTTGGTTGGATCAGCTCGTCTCACCCTTCACACGTCAGGGGCAGCGTGCTCACCTACACCTGTCTGCCAGGGTACGACATCAGCGGCACTGACATCATCACCTGCCAATGGGATCTCTCCTGGAGCAGCAGCCCACCCACTTGTGTCAAAGGTAACCAATGAACACACACTGTAGAAATCTTACTCAGATTTGAACTTAAGAGGTGTTATAGTGGGAATAAAAGGGACATAACCAGGACTAAACATTGCCTCGCTGTCCACCCAAGACTGACGTAACTATGCTTTAAAGGGATTGAAACAGGGATGAACCAGCTCTAAATAACAACTGATTTATGACAAAACTGGGTCTAAACAATGGCTTAAAGCAGACCTATTAAGCAAAATCGACTCTTGAGAGATGTTATAGATGTTTTTCCTTCTCATTAACCTTTCGAAGTTGTATTTGGAGTGATTTGTGCATGTTTGAGGAATATTTAATCACCTACTTTCAAGATGCCATTTGCAGATCAAACCCCATTTTCACTGCCATCAGTACATGGCCACTGCTGTGTACTTACTTTGTTCTCAAATTTGATTTTCTTAATCTGTGATATACATAGGACTCTGCAGCGTCATGTAGTAATTTTAGTAACTTCACCACTAGTGTTGACATTTATGCGTCTGCTTTCATTGGGCACCTGAGTTTTCTAACGTGGAACTCAGGAGTCTTGTTTCTTTTATTAAGTCATTTTAGATGAATATTGCAAATTAAAATGTGCAAATTATAAGATAATGATCCACGGGTATCATAGATTTTAAATATATAGCAGACACAAGCACAATATGTCTCCTTTAAAACCAAACAAAAATTCTAACAAAACTGGTAGGACTAAATAAATAGACTGTATGTGTCAGCACCCATACTTGTACAACAAAGGACACTACTCCACTGTTTCACTCTTATCTGCCCATACAGTTCAGCAGTGCCCAGACCCGGGGGAGGTAGTGAACGGAGCACGGTCAGTCCGTCCTGAAGCTGGCTTCGCTGTCGGGACAGTGGTGCGTTTCTCCTGTAACCAAGGATATCAACTGGAAGGGCCCAGTCAGATCTCCTGCCACGGCCGCGATACGGGGACCCCCAAGTGGAGCGACCGTGGCCCAAAATGTGTCTGTGAGTCTAGTTTTGCTTCAGTAAAAACTACATAATATGATTTGCTTTTTAAAAAACTTATGTAAGGCTTTGAATTTTATTTTTTTTTTTCACAAGTAGGGTTATGATTCATCACTGACATTGAGTACAGTATATGAAAGTATTTAGACTTAACATTAGCAGACCATATAAGATCATATGTTCTAGAGTTTAAACCAACCAATAAAAATCTATTTCTGTGACCCATTTCTGTGACAATTTGCTATTTTGTTGATATTGTTATTCACTATGTTTGTTTAATTCAGCCCAAATGAAGGCTATTTCTCTCCCCTGTTAGTCTCTTTATAGCTCTGACTGAGTGACAGCTGGTTTTAACCAATCAAAGTGAAATGTGAACGTCCAGAAGAAGCAGGAAGCAGATGACTTTATTTATTATTTAAGTTTACCTGAATCGTGATTAAAATCATTCTCTGGTTCCAAGAATATGATGACATGACTGTATTTTTCGGACCATAAGGCGCACTAAAAATCCTTAAATTTTCTCAAAAATCGACAGTCTGGTGTGCCTTATAGTCCAAAAACAATTGTAATTTTTTGTGATATCGCCCACTCCTAAACCAAGTTTATATATGTTTAGAAAAACCTTAGTTCACAGGTGCAAACAAAAATATTACGATCATAATATAAGATAAAAAAAAACAATTTAGCATCACGTCTTTTTAAATCATAGTGTTCAGTATGAAAACTACAAAGCTGCTGGCTCTAACTGTACCAACACATTAGTGGTAGCGTTAGTGCTGTATCATCATTACACAGACTACCTTTTTATTAGCGAATATTAGATTATGATCCACTTAATTGAATCTATTTTGCTGCGTTTAGCTTTCACATCTAATTACTGCAAATATAATTACAGTAAATTATCTTCTCTCGTGGTCTACTTATTTGTGTCACAGTGAAGTACGACCCCTGCCCAAACCCCGGCGTCCCTGACAACGGTTACCAGACGCTGTACAAGCACAGCTACCAGGCGGGGGAGACACTGCGCTTCTTCTGCTACGACGGCTACGAGCTGATCGGAGAGGTCATCATCACCTGTGTGCCCGGGCATCCGTCACAGTGGAACAGCCCGCCACCATTTTGCAAAGGTTCTGCGCTACGGCTTTATCAGTACAAGTGGTAATGGGTGTGTGAATGCAATTTTAATGCTCTTTTTATTCTAGTGGCCTACGAGGAGCTGTTGGAGGATCACAAATTAGAAGGTGAGTCATTTTAATTTATCAAATTTAATTGAAAAGGTGTTTTTTTATATATATATTTTAGACATTTTAAGGGATAACATTAGTGATTGAAAGTGAAATAAGATCAAAAACAGTCTAAAATAGGACTATTGTAACTGGGTTTACAGTTACAGTAGTTCTAATTTAGTTTAGTTTTTAGTTGTTGTTCATTCATTATAAAGAAAACAACTTGGAAAATCAGAACTTGTTGGTTGGATGGTTCTACCCCAGCTTATTTTTTGGCAACACACTATGTATGAATGTGGTTAGGGATGCACCGATATAGTGATTGAACATTTTCAACAGCTAAAAAAAAATCATAATTTTTATTATTAAAGAAAGGGATTTACTTTTTAGTTTAGCTTTGATTTAAATTCATGTTGAAATGTTCTGTTAAGGTAGTGTTTGTATATTTACTACGTTGTGGTTATGTTAAGCTGTTGTTTAAGTATTTGCTAAATCCTGTTCATCCTTTCACAGTCTCTCAGTCGTTTGAGCCATCTCACCAGATCCTGGGCGAGAACATTGCTCTGGCCATCATCCTGCCCATCATCCTCGTCATTCTGTTGATCGGAGGAATTTACATGTACTACACAAAGTATGCATTTTCATTTCTTATGTGCTGATCCTTTTCTCTCGCTGTAGTTAGATCTAAAGCACGTCTTGTCTCTAACAGCATCTGCAGATTAGAATGGAAGCCTCTGTTCTGGAAGTCCCTCTCCCACACACACTCCTACAGCCCCATCACGGTGGAGTCGGACTTCAACAACCCACTCTACGAAGCAGGGGTGAGTACGGAGCAATTGGCAGATCATTATTGATACTTTGCAGTGACATCACGCTGGGGGGGTTCTGCATATATTAGTTTGGAAGAATGTTCTTCAGTTCTCATGGTGACACGATGCACACAAAGCAAACACTGTCGTACAAAATTTAAACAACACATTTTCAGGAGCCTGTGATCAATACAAGTTTGATTTTCAACAAAAAGGTGAGTGGGACTGACTGAAAAACTGTTGGCTCACCTGTTATAGTTCCAGCTAAGTCAGCTCTGGTCAGATTGTGTTAAAACAAAGCTCAAATTAAGGTCTAACTTGTAGGGATGTAGCAATAACCAAAATATTGTGATATCGTATCGTAAAAGTCTCACAACAATATCGTGGACTGTCACAATATATCGAATTACAAGTTCTTTTGCTTAAATCAGGGGTGGGCAAACTACGGCCTGGGATGTCATATGCAGCCCTGTAATCTTTTTAATACGACCCGCCAAACTTGGAATAATAAGAATAAGAATTTTCAGTGTTTTAAAAGTCATTTCAATAAATAGTAAATACCGTAGGGCTTGAAAGACACATTTTGTTGTAATGCTTTGTAATGATTTTCAATTATGGGATATATATATATATATATATATATATATATATATATATATATATATATATATATATATATATATATATATATATATATATATATTATTTTTTTTTTTTTTTTTTTTTTTTTTTTTTTCAATATTTTACCAGGTAAGTCAACTGAGAACACCTTCCCATTTGCAATGATGACCTGGATATTTCAGTAGCATGGGATATGTTTTCTAAATATCCCATATAATTTTTTTCTCTTATGAGGTGGATTACCAAAAAACTCCATCCATTTGCTCCTGGTCAAATTTTGGAACCCTTTGTGGCCCATGAGTCAAAAAGTTTGCCCACCCCTGGCTTAAATGCATGGTTTTATAGTAGCAACAGCTTATAAGCATCGAGAATTACATATCCCATGATTCATTTCAGTGCAGACAACATGAAGAAATATGTTTTTTACTTGAATTCTTGGGATTATAATGGTAATAATTCACACCAAAATCTTGTCAAGGTATTTTAAAAGCAAAAAAGTGTCCCATCTACAATTATATCAGTGTCTTCAAAATATCACAATGAATATCGTAACATGAGATGCATATCATGATAGTATCGTACTGTGAGATTTGGATATCGTTACATCCCTACTAACTTGAGTAACAGAGCTTCAGACAGAGAAGTGTCTACAGTTAGCATCACACCCCCAGGGAATATTGATGCCATTAGCTGCAAAGTATCAATTTACAGTAAAATCCAGTATATTTTCTTATATTTTTGCTTTTCTCTCAACAGGATACACGAGAATATGAAGTTTCCATTTAAAAGTTCGTGGGTACTACCAAAATTACACAAAGAAAGATACATTTTAATGCATTTTTTAAGAGATAATGTTTATATTATTTACAATGCCTTTCTTTGCTTTTTTTATTTATGTATTTATTTATTTATTTTGAAAACTCTGTGACATAAAAGTGCTTTTCTTTTTTATATTGGCCCAATCATGGATTCTATTTTGCGATTCGTCAAGACTGGTGCCTTATCAAGGGTATGGAAATTCCAACAACAAAAAAGGCCAGCGTGTTGTTTATTTATTGAATTCATTTATAATTTTTGTATTTATTTATTTATGTATTTATTTATATGTATTTATTTATAGGCCAAACGTAAACGGCAACTTGGCAATATGTGGTTTGAGATGATTTTTACGTCGACGCATCGAGTGCACACGAAACAGTTGAATGTTTTCTTTTCAAGTGGCTCTTGTTACCGTGGGGTTTAAGCGGTTAGAGAAGGGGGGTGCAATTGTGTATTCGAAAATATTCTTCACTTTGTGTGTAAACTAATTGCGCGCACAAACTGAATGTAAATATGTGACTTATCGACGAGGTTGTTACAAAATATACAAAATACACACACACGCGCACACACACACAGACATAATGTATTTAAACCTCGTCCGTATATACGCTTCTACGGTGGTGGGAGGCTATCTATTTTCATTACCAGTATAATGGAAATCCAGTGCCAAATTATAACGTGTAATATGTTAATGTCTCTGTGTTTCATCCGTTGTTAAAATAGTGTTTACAAAGGCGGTGTTTCTTTTATTCTTTGCTCTTTTCGGAAGCACGCCATCGATCATGCGCTGTCACATGACCCCTGCGGAGAGGAGGAGGGAACATGAATGTCATTATGCTCCAAAGCATGCACTGATTGTAAATTATATTGCTTCAGCTCAACCATGACATTATTGATTAGCGTTACTCACAGATTTCATTGTTATCAGATTCGATGTTGTATGCGCTATGTTGATGACAAACGACAAACTTGGCTGCTTGCTGTATTGCATTATGTATTTATTTACACCTGATTGTTTGGACAGTGGATCTAGTCTCATCCGCTGTTTTAAAGGAACAATCTTGGAGACTGTTGCTTTGTAGATTTCTCTTTTCACCTGTAGCATTTTTGGCTTCATATACAAATACTCACTTTTGAAGGCAGTAATCTATTTGCTGAACAGGAAATAAAGTCATTGTTGAATGGTGTAAAATGGGGTCATGTTTCTTTTTTTCCACTGCTCCAGACAAAGTAGGGCTGAGCAATTACTGTGAAGCTCTTGTGTAAGTAGAACTATTGTGACAATCAATTACAAAAATGTCTAAGGTTGTCTCAGTGATATGGTGCTCATTTTGACCCGTAAAATTTTGAGCAAGACACTGATCCATCTACTGTGCTTTGAATATATGAGTTACATAGCATTATTACTAATAATATTAACACTTTTGACAGTTAATTGTGACCAATATAGTTTTTTTTTTTAGGTGTTACATTTTTTATTTGATTACTTCTGTCTAATTGTTGCTGATCCGTGGTTGTTAAGTCTGGTGAGTACAGCTGCACAGATTCCTTTTGGTTATATTCCATATGGGGACTGACATACTGCTTAATTCTTGACAAAATGTAAAAGCAGTAAAAATAATGAGTATTTTAAGCTTTACATTGTTTATTTTTGAATACTGTTTTTATCAGCTGCTTATAGATTAGGTTAAATGAAACATTATTTCCCAAGGCAAGTTCATCAAAAGCACCCCATATGAAATAAGAAATACATAGGCTATTTCTTATTTGTATCTATCAAATTTCAGTATTAGAACCATTTTAGTTAAGGAGCTCTGTCAGATTCACTTCTCAACTGTGGAGACAGTAGAGCAGAGCAATTACTGAAGTTTTAAGTAGAACTATTGTGACAATCGATAACAAAAATGTCTAAGGCTGTCTGAATGATATGGTGCTCATTTTGACTCATAAAACTTTGAGCAAGACACTGATCCATCTACTGTGCTTTGAATATGTGCGTTACGTAACATTATTACTAATAATATTAACACTTTTAACCAGAGGTGAGGACTTGCAAGTCGTGAGTTAGACTCAAGTCAGACTTGAGTCACTATTTTTAGGACTTGAGACTTGACTTGACAGACTAAGACTTGGGATTCGACTTGAACTTGAAGGTCAGTGATCTGAGAAGACTTGGAAAGCACTAAATCTGAATTCTTTCTATTCTGACCATAATGATTCACATTAAGATCTTGTCAAGACATTTAAAAAGAAAAAAATAACTAAATTACATTCTACAACTCTTACATACTCTATAAATACTCATATATCAATATACCTTGACTTTTTAAGTACAATTTAGTTTAAAATTCATATAAATTGCAAAAAACAATGACAAAAACAAAAAGCGAAACAATGACTTGGTCCCACCTTTGCTTTTGACAGTCAATTATGACCAATAATTGTACAAAAAAGTTAAGTCTGTTCAGGCATTTATTATCATATTATTAGGCATTTTTACCATAGTCACTACTAAAACATAAGCTCAACATATTTAAACCCATATTTTGTTGTTGATTCAGTAATTAAGGACATTGTGGGATGCATACTGACTCTAGTCCCTACTCTTCACAGTTTGAATAAAAATAATATCGCACACACATTTGGAGTTTTTGTTTATTTAGATTTATCAATAAAAAATTCTGTGATACAGTGCACACAATGGCCACGAGAGGGCGTGTTCTCTGACTCTTGTAGCAGGACGTCAGAAGAAGACGAAGATCGAGCTGCACTGACCTACTTAGCACTAGCATGTTTCAATAGCAACGTCAAAATATCAGCACAATCTGTAGTTATTTGTTAGTCAGACCGTTTCGTAGATGTTTTAAGGATCACTTCGCGTAGTATTCATCTCAAAACGTGACCCTCGCTAAAGGAGATTCTTAGATTGATCTTTTGTTTTTAGCTGTTTTGATTAGCTAGCCTGCTAACTCCTGAGCGACTGCGTATAAAATGAGTTGTCAGATCGCAAAGGTTTAAGCTGCCGAAAATAGGGTCGATTTTTACATTTTATTTTAGCTGTTACATTTTTGATCGCTAAGACACATTTGATTACTTCTGTCTAATTGTTGCTGATCCGTGGATGTTAAGTCTGGTGAGTACAGCTGCACAGACTCCTTTTGTTTATATTCCAGATGGGGACTGACGTACTGCTTAATTCTTGACAAAATGTAAAAGCAGTAAAAATGATGAGCGTTTTAAGCCTTACACGGTTTATTTTTGGATACGGTCTTTATTAGGTTCCTATAGGTTAGGTTAAATTAAAAATTATTCCCAAGGTAAGTTCATCAAAAGCACCCCGGATGAGATAAGATATACATAGGCTATTTCTTATTTATATTAATCAAATTTAAGTATTAGAACAGTTTTAGTTGAGGAGCTTTGTCAGATTCACCTCTAAGCTGTGGAGACACTGGCAATCGTGTCTGTATACATTATAACATGCACTGTATATTTAAATTTTGTATTCTTCTTATTTTTCTATACTATGAACCAGATAATATTTTTCTTAATAAAGATTTAATTAAACTGAATTCAAAGAAGCATCAAAAATACTGAATGAATGAGGAGCAAATAAGCTTATTTTGGGGGAAAAATACATAATATATTTACCATAATATATCACTAAGTAGGGGTGTGCAAAAATATTGAAATATGAATATATTGCATCGCCTAATGGGATGATACTGTATTGATATTGTGAGTATTTTTTAAATATATTTTACGATTTTTAAAAAAAAAAATTTTAACAGCGGTACAGTTTTGTTGCTTGCTTAGAGAAAGGAAACTTGTTTATTTGACATTTTCACTGTTTTGATTATTTAAATGTTTGTGTTTCAAATTAACTTTGCACAAGAAGTGGTTTAACAAAGACTTTTAGTTATTAATTAGTTATTTTTTTATTGAACTGTATCAAATCGATTTGAAATATATTGTATTGAATCGAAAGGTCACTGTATCGAGGTATATATCATATCGGCAACTTCTTAATGATACTCAGCCCTATGACTAAGGCTTAGCAGGATAGGAACCCATTAATTGTATCTGAAATACTAATGTGTATTAATGCATAATTTGTACGTACAGTTTTACTTTTTTATTAAATCGTATCATTCAGAAGTTGCCAATACAGTACATACCTCGATGCATAAGCCAGGATACAATACATATCTTGATACAGTGCACTTTCGATTCGATGATTCAATACGATATATTTCAAATTGATACAGTTCAATAAAAAATCACTAAAAGTCTTTGTTAAACCACTTCTTGTGCAAAGTTCATATGAAACCCACCCATTTTAATCATCAGAACAGCGAAAATGTCAAATATGTCACATAAACGAGTTTCCTTCCTCTGAACAAACCACAAAACTGTAGCTGTAATAAAGTAATTTAGTAAAATATACAAAATATATCGATACATCAGCCCACTATATCGATATCCTATCATCACATTAAACAATACAATATATCGATATTTCTATATTTTTGCAGACCCTTAGTGGACATAATTCTCTCACATGTTCTGTTGTTATTAAAAGCATCACATTTTTTAATACAGAGTTGTGTTTTCAGAAGGCAACCCTGCCTCCTCATGTCTGCTGAGGCTTCAGCTGGCAGTCATGCTGCTGTCTCTGCTGCGTGTGTGTGCTCGAGCACAGACGACTGCACAAACAGGGGTCTGCTGGGGAGTAAATATGTCAAGTTAAATGTAGGAGGCTCTTTGCATTACACCACAGTCCAGACTTTGAGCAAGGAGGACAGTCTGCTGAGGAGCATCTGTAATGGAGAAACTGACGCAACAATAGACGCTGAGGGTTGGTATCTTCTTTTGTCAGTAGTCTGTAAGGATGGGCTGACAGACAGATTTTTTTGAGTTGATACCGATATCTGATATTTAAAATCCATACCAAGGCCCACAAATGTATCTTGAAGTTGAAGTAAAGATCACATATTAACTTTTCAGTTATGTAAAATAAATAACAAAATGTTTTATTTTTTTATCTAGGATATAAATATTAGGCCTACAGCATTGTGTAAACATACAGTCATATAACACTCTTCTTTTTCCGCATTTTTACTCATGAGTTTGTTCACAAAGACAAATCTGATGCAGTGAGGACAATCACAGAGAATAGGACAGCACCAAAAAATATCAGTATCAAATATGAAATGACCCAGTACAGTACTGGAATTGATATTGTTTTTAATGCATCTGTTCAGACCTCAATCAATAACATATACTTCTTATAATGTCTTTATGTTCTTCCTTTGTGTTTTCAGGTTGGGTGGTTTTGGACAGATGTGGTCGACATTTCGGGATCGTGTTGAACTTTCTCAGAGATGGGTCAGTTCCACTTCCAGATGACCACAGAGAGCTGGAGGAGATCTTAAAGGACGCTCAGTACTATAGAGTTCAGGGTCTGATTCAGCATTGCCTCGGTGCCATGCAGGTATATTATTGTTGGACTTAGTCTGTTAAAGAGAGGTCAAATAAAAAAGAAACAATGTAAACAATAAAATACAAGATACAAAGCAGATCTACAAAGTTACACATTCTCTCACCACCTTGGCACGTTTAGGAACAGAGAATTTTTTTCTACCCCACCTATGCTGGTAAAAAAAAAAAGGCCCCTTATTATAAAATCCACCCATTCTGTCTAAATTTTTGTATGAAACTGAAATGTGGAAATGTTTTGTTGTCCCAAGCAACATGTATAAGAGAAAAACTCTGGCTGGCATACCACAGAATTTTACTCAAACAATCCCAGCTATTTCATTTTAGAGCAGCCAGGTTTACTATGGTTTATATAAATTTGTGAAAATCCAAAAATGTGTTGTTTTTTTAAATAATCTAACCCGATAATCTCATTTTCAGAAACAAAAAGATGTGTTGGAAACTGTGTGTCGCATCCCAATGATCACATCTGTTAAGGAAGAACAGAGGATGATCGCCACCTGTAGGAAGGTTAGTAACTTTGAAAATGTAATTAAAATGTTTAATAGTATAAACACATACACTGAAATGAGTACAGGAAAAAGGATCTAATTTTATTTACTTTTTTCTTTTCTTTTTTTTTTTTTTTTTTTTTACAGCCAGTTGTCAAGCTTCAGAACAACCGAGGAAATAATAAATACTCATACACCAGGTAATCTTCCAGTTCAGCACACAGTTAAATACATCATTTGTATGTTTGTAAAATGTACAAAATGCTGGTATTTATCTCTTTTGTTTTCATCAGTAACTCGGACGACAACCTGCTGAAGAACATAGAACTTTTTGACAAACTAGTGTTACGATTTAACGGCCGCGTGCTCTTCGTGAAAGACGTGCTCGGAGATGAGATTTGCTGCTGGTCTTTTTACGGTGAAGGGCGCAAAATTGCTGAAGTCTGCTGCACCTCCATTGTCTACGCCACCGAGAAGAAGCAAACCAAGGTAAATATATAATGCTACGATATCTGTGGTATTAGATTTGCGATGATTAAAGTTTAAAATATCATATTTTTTGCAAATTTACAAAAAGATTGAAATATGCTGACAAGGTTGTGCTAGAATACATGTATTTCAGAGCCCTGTACGCCGCGCAGACTGCAACACTAAAGAAGGACTAAACCAGGAGGACTAAACCGGACATAAAACCAGGACTAAACCAGGTCCAAAACATGTCTAAACCAGGTCTAAACCAGGTCTAAATCTGGTCTAAAAACAGGCCTGAACCAGGCCTAAACCAGGCCTGAACCAGGCCTAAACCAGGCCTAAACCAGGCCTAAACCAGGCCTAAACCAGGCCTAAACCAGGTCTAAACCAGGTCTAAAACAAGTCTAAAACAGGTCTAAAACAGTATTTAGCCAGGACTTAACCATGCCCCCCAACCCGTCCTGTCCTCGAAATATTGTCCAATGTAAAAGCAGTCCGTGGAGCAAAAAAGGCTGGGGGATCACTGCTTCAGAGCATGTTTATACAGATCTGAACTACAGGGTTAGCAGCTTTTAAGCAGAATAAGGATATTTTGTTTGTTTGTGGAGGAAATTATGATGATATTAAAAGTTGCAGGAGTTGCAATTTCAATCTTGTACCTCTACTGTAATCATGTAGTTTCATAATTTATAGAATCTCCCCTGTATAAAACAAATTACCCTGTCTTTTACTGAAAAAAAAACTTATTGTACCTACAAATATGGTCTGAAACGAATGGGGTTCTTGTATTAGTTTGCCAGTTCATTTCAGTCTTCTCTCGTATAATTGTTAAAGGTGCATTGTGTAACTTTTCTGGTGGAGGGTCTGTTAAATGCTGGCATTAAACCTTTCTATCTTTATGAAGAGCAAACCAGACCAAGTTACTGGTCAGATCTGTAAAGAGGCGACCCTCTCTCACAGTCAGAATGCTTGTTTTTCCAGGTATTTTTGAGCAATAAAACCACCTGTAATAAAATAAATGTAAGGTAGGGCTGTTTATTGTCATATTGGGGAACATTCAAAGCAGACATATCCAAAAAAAACAAGACACAGTGGACCTTTAATGCTTCTGAAGTTGTTTACAATGTACACAACAGGTTTCTACTTTTTAAATACATATTGCAAATCGAATTAATGTTGCAATATTTGTCAGAAAAATCTCAATTACATTTTCTTCCTAAACTGATCTGCTTTATCTAAACAACATTTTCATTTCAGGTTGAGTTCCCTGAGGCCCGAATCTTCGAAGAAACCCTAAACATCCTGATCTACGAGAACAGCTGGAGTTCTGGCGGGGTTCATCTTTTGGATTCGAGAGGGCCTTCGCTCGGTGCCGGACACTCGGAGGAGGAGGGGGCCACGGGGGGAGACAGGAGAGTCCGGCGCATTCACGTAAGACGGCACATCATGCACGACGAGAGGGGGCACGGCCAGCAGACTGTGTACAAGGACTAGTGGAAGAATGCCACACTGAATGTACCAATGGTGTGAATGTTTGATGAATGAGAGAAAGAGAGAGAGGCTGCTAATCAGAGCAATAGTATAGGTTTTTTTTTGTTGTTTTTCATTGGTGATTTTAACTCTGTGAATATGGAGGAAGGTGTTGGTTGTTCTTAAAAATGCATGTTTACATGAATCAACGCCTGTCACGGTAACAGATTGTGAAATGCGATAACAAAAATATTACGTAAACGATCATTTTGAAGACCAATTTATGCTACTGATACAACAAGCTTCAAATCTGCACTATGTAACTTTTCTATTAGATTTTTTGCCACCTGCTTGTCGCTATGGAGATGGATACGTTTAATGCCATACTGTGGGTAATTCCAGGTAAAAGCATCTCCAAAACAAGCAGGTGACAGAACCCTAAGTTACCTTAAATCACATTAAAAGCTTTTTATTTTAATTTTTATTTGTATTTGGGAACAACACACGCAAACATATATTAATTTAGATTTTAAAACAAAAGGTTCAGCAATAAATAAATGGTACATTTAAGCACAAAAAGTTGATGTTAGTATCTATAATGAGAGATTTTATTTAAACCAGCTCACATGTTATGGTACTACAAAGTAAATGTATTTTAAAAATCCCGACTAAATGATGGTACATAGGCTAAATATAAAAAATAATATGGTTCATTTTTCATTGAACTATTGATAAAGTATTTACTGTGACAGGCTGGCGATGCAAATATGTACAGGACTCAAATAGAAAAGTATACTTGTAACATAAACTGGCTCATATACTGGCTACTGAGGAGGTTTGGTCTACTGACATTTCAACCCGTTTTATAAAGTGTTCATAACATAGAATTGAAGCCTTCTAATTTGCTTTCATTTTAAACACTGGAAATGTGGTTGTTGCTATCAGCTCTTCGAGATGTTTATACTGAATTAATTTATATCCCTAATTTATTTGTTTGATATTTAACTTTTGTACAATATGCAAAATGTGTGTTAACATGTGAAAAATGCACTTAATTTTGTTATTGTAAATGTTTTTCTGTTTTTTTTTTTCCTGGGTTTATCCTGAGCCATAACTTTTTCAACAATGTCTTCTTACACAAATCGTCTCCAAGATTATCACTCAAATTATCTTACTGTGATGTTAAAAGAAACTATTTTATTTAATTTTTTTCAAGATCTTAATTAATTACATGTAACTGTTTTCAGAAAGTCACCTTGAAACATTGCACTAATTGAACTTCCGTCCAATTTGTGGTTGTCAAAAGTTGATTAATAAATTATTTGACAAAAAAAAAGTTTATGCCTTTTTTTAAACTCATAAACCATTTCTTGTTTCAGGTTGTCGAAAGCTGATTAAAAAGTTGTTAGAAAAAAATTTTTATTATTATTTTCTTACTCATTGAGGTCAAATTGACAGCTCTGAATAATAAATAATAACTGAATGAAGTAAATATTGTAATTAAAAAAATATTTGACAAAATGCCTTATTTTTTTAAAACCAATTTATATTTCAGGTTGTCAAAAATGTATTTAAAAAGTATTTGATTGAAAAAAAAAAAACTCTTTTTAGTAATAAACCAGCCAATTCATAAATAGAAATTGGAACTGAAAATTGCAATTATTCTGGTTAAATTTTGCAGAATGAGTGTGTTTTTATAATTTAGATTTAATTTTTTTTAAAGATTTTACTTTTCTGCATGTGTTGGGCGTGTCGACGTCACTTCCTACGCACGACGTGCCCCGGCAGAGACGCGCCAAATAAACAAACGTGCCTCAAAATGACGGTGACCGAGGAGGAGTCCCAAAACATTCGTAAATTTGTGTGTTCCCAGCTCCGGGGTGAACCAGATCTCAGGTAGGACCTTCAATAAATGCATTTAGGTCCAATCGACAGCCTTGAATAATATTAATGTTACGAGATAAATAATATAACAGTACAGTAATTTTACACAGCCTAAAACAATTACTTCCCTTACGCAACATCGAAATGGCTAAACTTCGTAACCATTTTCTGCGTAGTAATCTTATCTAACCTCTCCATTTTAATATACTTAATTTATTTTTGCAGTACTTTGACTATAGGAGTGTTAAAGCAGCGGTATTTGGCCCATGTTTCCTCTGATTCCTTGAGCTCGGAGGCTAAGCAGTTGCTGAAGGAGATAGTGAAGGAGGAGCTGGCCAAAATGCAGGTATGTCAGGTCATCTAATGGAAATTTGTACTAAACTTTGAACTAGGTTAAAATAAAAATCAAGTTGACAGTCAAAATGGACATGTGTAAATTCTGGTATTTCCAAATTTCTTTCAGTAATGATGTAAATGTATATAAAATGTTTGCATTGTGAAGTACAAGTAACAAAACACACCCTCACCTGTAGTCCTACTTAATTTTAATATTTGACAAAGTATTCCTCAAATAAGATGGGCAGTACTCTGTCACACTTACTTTAGCAAAATAATTGTACTTCACTGAGCAGATTTAACACATCGGTATTCTTACTTGAGTAAACGTTTTGATTACTTTTCCCACTGTGAATAAGTCTACAAGTAACAATTCTTTGTTTGTTGCACATGAATGTTTCTTCCTTCCGATTACTTAAATTTTAAATCAGTTCTTATTTCCATACCGTTACTGTTACTTGAGTTGTTTATTTTTTAACTCCTTCGCTTGTTTAATATGATTTTGTAGGTACTGTACTTTAACTACAATTTAGGGCTACACTGCACTCCTGTTAAAGAGTATAGCCCAAGGATAGAATTTATAGCTAATGACCTCCCATCTCTGTGCCTATATCATTGTTACTGACAGCTTGTTTTAAATCTGATTATATTTATAGGACAATGAAAACAGCCCTGAGAAGAGTGAGACCAAGACTGCCTCTAAAAGGAAAAGGGAACATGGGAGTGAGGAGAGTGAAAGTGAAGCAGATGATACATCCAGAGCCAAGAAATCACGTCAACAGTCACGATCCTCATCTGGTATATTTTTTTATACTCATATATAATGATGATTAATTTAAAAGTTTGTAAGATTTTGATTAAAAATTCTATAAAAATGACCTAACTATGCCCCCAGGTATGAGGTAATTATGTTCAAATCAACAGCATCTGCTAATGACATTTGTAAAGCTGGCCAAGTTGTTTGTTATATTTTGGTGTTTTGGTTCTCAAGACTATTATCCAATCAGGAACACAAATGAGCCTCACACAAGTCTCTCATTTGGGTTGCCAGTCTCAGTGCTGAAATCCAGTTGGTTTAAACCTAAAATGCCTCTCTCTGATCTGAACGAATCCTATCTAAAACCTAAAGTTTATTGCACAATTTGTACACTTAGTAATTCAATGTACATTACAGAATAAGAAAGAAAAAATAAAATAGCATTTTAAATAATTTTAAAGAAGAAGAGAAGAGTAACAAATAAAATCCTTTCAGTCATATGCAGAGCAATATACAACCTGGATTTGAATATCGTCAGAGTTAAGTCACTGGCAGCCCAGGATCAGTTGTGATTGTTCTACCTCTTTAAACTGTAAGAGTACAGACTACCTTTGTATACATTATCTGTAAATGTAAATATATGTTTTGTTTTTTTAGAATCTGAAGATATAAACAGCAATGCAGCCAGTGACAGTTCTGAGGATGATTCTAAGAAAGAAAAGGCTACTGTAAAACAAAAGAAAAAAAAGACGGTGAGCAGTAAGGATTCTGATGATGAAGAGCCAACTGAATCCCCAAAGAAGAAAAACAGTGCAAAATCAAAAAGAAAGAAACCTGACGGGAAAAAGAAAGGATCAGGTAAACAACAGCATGTCAGCAGTGATGAGGAGGAAGAACATAATGGCCACCAAAACAAGAACTCAAACAAAAAATCAAAAGTTACAGAAAAGGTTGCATGCAGTGATGAAAGCGATGACCAAATGGAAGCTGAAACTGCGAAGGAAAAAGGTTTAAAAAATGAAAGCAGTGACGACTCAGAGAAACGGGAAAGTAATTCATCTGATTCGGAGAGCGAAAAGAAAACTACGCAAAGTACAAAGATCAGTAAAGAACAAGATGACGTAAGCAGCAATAGTTCTGAAGATGAGGAAGAAAAACAAAGCAAAAGAGCAAAACCTCAAAGCGACAGTGAAGATGGCTCTGGCTCCGATCATTCTGTTAAAAAGGATAAAAAAGATAAATCGTCAGGTGAAAGTAATAAAGGTATGTATGAACAACAGTCAGTAAAAAAAAAAAAAAACACTTTAAAATTGTGTATTGATTTTGGTTTGTGTTATAAGAGAATGGATCGAGGAAAGTTGAGGAGCCAGACTCTGATTCCTCTTCACTCCCCTCTTTGGAAGACGAAACTGACAATAAAAGAAAAAAAGGGAAAGCCTGAGGTGGCCAAGAAAAAGGGCGAAAAGAAGGGAGAGAAAAAAGAGAAGAGATCAACAGGTGAAAAGGTAAATCATTATTTTAATGTCTAGATCAGTGTTTCCCAAACTTTTTTTCTGGGGACCCATATTTTAAAAGTCACAAACCTTCGTGACCCAACTCTGTAGACTATTCGTGAATCACAAAATAAATGATTATTATTGAACATTAATGAGGATATTTTATTTTTGACTGAGTGATTGTGTCTCTCTGAACAATTAGTAGTACTCAAGTTTTCAAGTTTTAAAGAGTAAGGGAGGAGAAGAAGTGAGGAGCGGGGAGGGGTGCGTGTAGATGTATGTATATGTATATTGCAGACCTACATGCAGATCGTGACAAAGCAACCCCAAAAAAATCTCTTGCGATCCAGTCTTTGGGAAACAATGGTGTAGACGTGTCAAACTCATTCAAATTTGGCCCGCGAGATCATATCAGCTATGTATTAGAGCTGGCCTGTCAGCTACAGATCGGCTATAGACACATTATTTATTTAAAATTTTGTTATTTTATATTATGCTTGTTCTGGATTCAATGTTTAAGTAAAACTATTATCTCGAAAGAAGAGAAAACATGCAGATGTTGCTGAGATTTTTCAATAAATATTTATTTTGGCCCATGACTTGGTCCCACTTTTTAATTTGACCCTCTGTGAATTTGAGTTTGACACTCCTGATCTAGATGGTTTAAAATGCTGTACCTGATTTTTGCTGAACTAGATCATGTTCATTGGTTTGCAGTGGTCCATCCTAATTATTCACCACAATGAGTTTTAAGCACTTTTCGCAACTTTCAGAGACCAGAGCTAGAATACTAACACACACTTCCTGATTATCAGACAATAAAATGCTTTGTAAATAGGGAAAAAAAAAAACGGTACAGTGCCTTTTAATTGTTGCTATAAAAGTGTAGCTATAAATATTATCATTGTTTCTTCATTGTATCTCTTTAGGAGGAGCACAAATCTGTGGTTAGGCTCAAACGCTACATCGGCCTGTGTGGTGTCAGAAGGAATTATAAGAAAATGCTTGAAAACTGCCGCTCTGTTCGATCCATGGTGGAGAGATTAAACAAAGAGCTGGAAGATCTTGGAGTAAAAGGTTAGTATGAACATAAAACTGAATCCAAATATATCTAAATTGAACACATTTTATTTCATGTAATGGTTATGTTTATAGGCAAGCCTACGATAGAAAAGTGTAAAAAGGTTCGAAAGAAAAGGGAGAGGGCCCAGGAACTGTCCGAGCTTGATACCAGCAACATAATAACATCACAAGGTATTTAACTACTGTGTTTGTGTCTGTACTGTGAACATAGGTAGGCTTTTGAAATAATAACTATTTTCTGTCCCAGGTCGACCCAAACGACGCGCTACTTTACCCTGGCATGAACAGAAAGAGCCTCCAACTTCTTCTTTTCAGCGCACACTGGACTCTGGGTCTGACAGTGACCAGCAACAGTCGCACAAAGGTTCTAGAAAAACAGACTGGAATAACCTCCAAGGAATTATTAGTGACGACGGAGAGAGCGACTAAAAGGAACAATACACAAACTAATAAAATATTGTATTGGTAATGTTTAAATATGTATACTTTTGTATATTTTCTATGTTACAATGTTTTTAAGACCACTTTGTCATTTAAATAAACTGTTTTTGTGTTTCATGTAGGTCCGCATGTTTTGTATTGATATTTTTTTGCATTGTTGTATTGATACTAGGGTGATGGTCGGACATGGTGGGACTGACTCTGAAAATGTTAACTTACTGGTGGTATTCAGAGCCAGATTCCCTGTTCATTATATTATAGTTTATTATAGTTAGTGAAATATCTAGAATCAAAATCCACAAATGTTGAACCTGATCACCAGCTGGTGCTTTGACTCTAGAACTTTTCATATTTCAAATAAAATAATATAATATTCATTTTAGCTGAATTGTGTTAAATAACATTGGCCTATAGAATGTTATGATGTTATCTGAAGACAGCTGAAGAGTAATGAGTTGTAAAAGTTCACAGAAGTATTAATTTTATGTAGGAAAATGTGTTTATTTTTGGGACACTGAAATAAGTTGGATGAAGGAAATGGGCCTAAGTGACTCTGCAGGACAACCAAAAGAGGGACAGTCAGGTTGTCACCTAAATAACTTCACTGTAACTGTATTATTATTTTTAATAGATCCTTGAACTGTACACACTGCTGAGTTTTATTCCCGGAACTATTGTCCGTCGCATACACGGAATTATTTACAGACGGACGAGTCCGACTGGAGACGTGTCCTCCAAAACACTTCGCAGGTCTGTTTTTTCCATTTTATTTCTTGAATCAATTAAAAATAAGCCTTTACTTGTTGGTATGAATTAGACTCAGTTTTGTTGTGGATTGTGTATAGTTTGAGGTTTTATTATGCATACCTTTGTGGAAAAATGCTTATGACCTATGTACCACCTTCGTAATAACCACTAGTAATAACGCGTGTTTACATTTTTTTCATGTGTTAAAAATATAACTTTGCGTATTTATTATTGCATAATCTTTTGTTATATATCCTTGGTTGTTACACTTTAATAACCTGCTTTTTATCTACAGAAATGGATGATGACTGCTCCACAACAGAGGCCTTTGCTGAGTTGAAGTCCAGATCACTGAGAGTTTCAGATGTCGCTCAGATCGCAGCTGGCACTGGTCTCGCTGTTTATGCCATGTGGGTGGGAATACTGCAGCCTGGCTTCAGAAGAGTCCCCTTAAAATTACAAGTATGATCCTTTAAAACTTACAACTCGTAATCCTCCTGTTGCTTTTGTATTTCTTTACAGCAAATGTTATTTTAAAGATGCACTTTATAACTTTTCTGATCGTGTCATGGAGATGTTAAACATGTGATGTTCCACAGAATAGCATTAAACATATTAGGCCTTTCTGTGTGGAGTTTGCATGTTCTCTCTGTGGGTTTCCTCCAGATACTCTGGTTTCCCACATCAACCCAAAACAATGTACTCTACGTAGGTAAAAAAAAATAAAAATCCTTCGGCTAAGGCAGTCCTGACCAAGCATATGCAACAAGATCTTGGAGATGGTCCCTGGATGCCCATGTGCTGCCCACTGCTCTCGAAGGATGGGTGAAATGCAGAGGACCATTTCCCTACTGTAGGGGTATCAAACATACGGCCCGGGGGCCAGATCCGGCCCTCCAAGACCTTTAATCCTGCCCTCGACTGATTTTCTTCTAAAATATTTTAATTATATTTTCTATTAAGATATTAGTAATTTTCTGCTCCGCTTAGCACAGCAGCATCTCCAGCGCCTCTGTGCGTGACCCCTCCCACCAGAGCAGCACAAATGAAGACTTGCGTCTTTTCAAACACTCTTAAAAGATAATCATTTTGACTGTTGACCGTGACACCCTCATCAGCAAAATGTCAAAAATAAGAAAAGTGGACACCGAGTGCAGGATTTTCCAAGAAAAATTGACTTATTTCTATTTGCATACAAGTTAATGTTAAAACATTGTGTGTGACATTGCATTTTTCGTAAAGTTTCAGGTTGTTCGTAATATTATAATATTTTGTAAAAGAAAGTTCATTAATTAAAAAAGATTTCTGTAATAGATTTGCATTTCTATGCACAAATATTTGAACTTTTTGCTATTTTTGGAATATATATGTCATTATTTTTTTCCCAGCCCCCGGACCAAAATGAGTTTTACACCCCTGCCCTACAGGGACAATAAATTCTACAAAGTACTACAAAAGAAAATATCAGTCTTGCATTTATTCAATCAGAGCTGTTTTTATTCCTCTAGACTTCTTTGGAAGACAAGCATTCTCACTGTGAGTGGTTTCATCTCTCCACAGATCTGAGCTGTAACTTTGCCTGCATACTCCCATGTAGATAATGCCTAACAATAACATCTCCATGGAGACAAGCAGGTAGCATAAGCTCTACCAGAAAAGTCACATTGTATAACTTTAATATCTTTCAGGTGCCGTACATACCAGCGAGCAGATCTCAAGTACGTAACGTAATGACTCTACTGAAAGGTCGAAAAGGAGGCATAGTGGATTTAGGATCTGGAGACGGACGCATTGTAAGTTTAAGGAAGCAAGCACACTCCAAACTACTTCTGCTGTAAGGTTTTCTGCTTATATTTGCCAATGTTTGTCTGTATTTTGAAGGTGTTGGAAGCCCATCGTCACGGTTTCACTCCCGCTGTCGGCTATGAGCTCAACCCCTGGCTTATTTATTTGTCCCGCTTTAACGCGTGGAGATCAGGTCATCACAGAAAAGTTTCATATAGAAGAGAAGATCTATGGAAGGTAATTGTAGCACCTTTCTTAACCCAATTATTAATTATTACACATTTATAAGCTCACTGTTATCCTTATTTTTATTTTATGCAGGTGGATCTTTCAGAATGCAAAAATATTACAGTGTTTTTGGCCCCTAGTGTGGTGGGTGATATTCAGTGTTGTCAAATTAGTTGGTAATATAAAGGTATTTACTATTTGTTATTATTTTGTTTCTTATTTTCTAGCTTTCGTTATTGCAAAAGAAGCTGCTGGCGGAGCTTCCTGATGACGCGCTGGTGATAGCTGGTCGTTTTCCATTTCCAGACTGGACTCCATGCAGAACAGAGGGGCTTGGTGTGGACAGAGCCTGGGCTTATAACATAGAAGTTCAAAGAAATGTTACCAAGAATGCAGACAATGACAGTGTAACCAACGAAGAGGAGTCAACGTAAACAAAGTGTATTTATGGATGAACTATTCTACCTCAATCCTCAGGTGGACATTGGGATCATTTTCCCTTCAGTGATAGACATCCTGACACTGGATGCAGTATCACTAAACTAGATCTTATATATTATTTATTTTCTCGAGTGCCTGTTGTAAAACTTAAATGGTGTGTTTTCACAGTCCCCCTTTGTGTGCGTACGTGTTATGAAGGACTTTTTAAATCACAGTTTTACTAACCATGGAACATTTCAGACTTTTGCAGCTGATGGTGCTATTATTTTTAATGTATTGGTTGTATTATTTTGATTTGTTTTAAGAGATTTTGTAATGAAAAAGAGTTGAAATGTTACAGGCATATAACATTTCAAACTGAATATACATAGTAAAATTGTGTAACGTTTTGCATTTGTGTGTGCTTTTTAGACAAACTTTAGTGATCCACAATGGAAATTATTTGGACACAGTAGCTCACTCATCACAATATAATATAATGTAATCTTAAAAACAAAGAGAAAAGATATAAATGGTCATAATAAAATAACATATTTTTTTAATAACAGCTACTAGGTGCACCCAGTAACTTTTTGTTGCTTGTTGCTTGTCTCAGCTTTACCTGGAATGTTCCACTGTGTGGCATCAAGGTCATCTTCATGGAGACAAGTAGATGACGCCACCCGGCCAAGGTACAATTTAGATAAGTGGAGAGGGGACCCCACTCACTGTAAGAATGCATGGTTTTCAAGATTATTTTGGCATTAACACCTGCAATGGAATAGTAAAGATAAGCTGTATTGTAAAACATTCCAGCAAAGAAATAATCATCATGGAGAAAAGCAGGTGACTGACCTTCCATTAGAAAAGTTACAGAGGGTGACTAAACGTCTGTATTTACCCAGGACACACCCAGTTTTGAGCTCCGTGTCCCCTATCCCACCAGAAATATCCAAAATCATTGATTTGTCCCAGTATTTGACAACAAAAGAGGGGCACAAATTGTCAGTTGTTTATCTAAAATACAGAAAACCGTGCTTTAAAATGAGCATAATGGAAAAAATGCACCAACGTAAATCCCTCAGAGTAATTATTTATACCAACCACCCCAATCTTTTGAAAACCTGGTCAGTCTATACATAGTGTGTGCTTTTAAGAACATACTTTTTTTTACACAATTATAAGAAATCTTGACAATGAGAAGTGGATTTGTATTATTAATTTAGATTTGTATTATTGTGCATGACTGAAACTTGAATCTGGTGCATAGCCTAAACAGAAAAATACAGTAGTACAAATAAATCCTTAGTTGGGCTAATTTGTCTTCATTAAATTGTCTTATTTTTATCCCTGACCTCGTGCATTTTGATCTTAAATCTTGCGTTTCGCTTTTGCCCTTGTAGTTTGTCAGACCTAACCGGATGCTGACTGTTTTTTAGTCTTATCTCACTTGACTACTGCACAGCGGGGCGGTTGCATTGGCTGATTTCTACAGCAAAAGAGGAAGTTGCGAAGGAAGCCCCGTTGTAAACCCGCAACAAGCTAACATTAGCAGGGCAGAATACAGAGCCGCCCTGTGCACCGAAAAGAGGAATAACAGCAGCCAACGCGTACAGTATAGATCTCGATTTCACGCCATGGTGTATTTATAAGTTGTATCTGCATTTCGTTGGCGTGGAAACGATATTGCACGGAAAAACGAGGCGTCGTGATAGTCCGAACGAAGCATGCCTGCGTCTGACAGCTAGCAGAAAGGAAATGTTGCCAGAAACGCTAGCGGAGTAGTTAGCAATGGTGTCGAAAAATTGGCTTCAAACCACAATTACAGAGCAAGATTCGGGTTAGTTTGCGCTGTAGAGGATTACGATTGCAGGAAGTGTTAATCAATAGCGTTAAAGTCAATTTTAAGAGCATAGGAGTAGTGCAACAACAACAATTCAACATCCATGGTGGGGTGTTGGGTCTGCGCTTGAACGCATCGTGCAGGAGTGCCATAAAATGCTGTAATCCAATCTCGACGTCGTTTAACACCGCTAAGGTCGTGAGAGATCGTCGAGGGATATTGATCAAAAGCAGAATGATACGTCTGTGTAGTTTTATTAGCCTCCACCAGCATCTTCACAGCTAACGACAGCTAACTGCGGAGCTGCCTGGGCAAAACTCAAATGCTGGCGTCGATCGGGGATTAATCGAAGACTGAAAACCTAAAGAAATCATCTGTGAAATGGTAATCTGGTGTTTATTTTCACTTCCTTGTCTCTTAGGTAATGATCAGTGTTGAAACGAGGCTCTGATCTTGAACGGGAACACGTTGCATGGAGACATTGTGGCTCCTTGGAACAGTTTTTTATCAAAAATCCTGTTGTTTATTTGGGTGCATTTGGTGTATAACGGTGTGCAGGACACGTTAGCCAGGTAAAGTGCAACGCCCATTCAGCAAGGCATTTTTGTACGGAGCGTGAGGCCTCTGCAAGTCCTGGCTTATTTGAAGAATTTAGACCCGCCTGCATGCTACTACTCTTGTCAAATCACAGTTGGCCATCTATGCTTTCCCCAGTGTCAACAACTTTCACAACTAGCTAGAAATGTTCTCCTTAAAGGGTCTGTGTTACACTATTTTCTGATCTGTGTTATAATGTTGTTTCCTCATCAGAAACATACCTGCAGTTTCGTTTTGTTTCATTCACACATGTTCAGCACTGACATCCTGCATATTTAAGGTGAGTTTTCTATCAAATTGAAAGTTCCTTGTGAAGTCACGTGGTTACACAAAGATGGAAGTGCTCCACTGTGTTTTTAAACTCCATACAAGGGGTGACCAGATGCCCCTAATTACCCAGGGCAGTCCGAGTTTTGAGCCCTGAGTCCCTTGTCCCAGCAGATTTATCCAAAACCATTGATATGTCCCAGTTTTATACAAGAAATGTCATAGGTGTCCCTATTTTTGATCAGGTTCATAGCCACCAACAGTAAAAAGAGATTTGTTTCAGTAAAATATAGAAAAGCTGCTTAAAAATGACCAAAACACAAAGAAAATATGACCATACTGACACGTTAGTCATGAAAGGGCCAAGTGCATAACAATTTTCCTTAATTATGCACTCGTTTCACAATTTAATTATTACCAGCCATCACAAAGCAGGGGTTTTAATTTTGTAAATCTGGTCACGCTATCCCTACACTTTACTGGAATCATTTGGATGATTTCAGACCTGGAATTGATGGACTCGACCAAACTAAAGCTAAAAGGAGCAGTTAACTTTAAAAAATATGGGTTCAACATCAAAAGGTGGAATAAAGCATTTTGATCTTGGGAGATGTAGACAGACTAAAGCTTAACTGAAACATGTGTGAATAAAACAAAATACAATTCCTAGTATGTTTTTGAGAGAAATGGATGAGTGGTTGTCTGGTTATAGATGGGAACCTGTGGGCAAGACATTTCTCATCTACTCTAAAACATGCTATTTTGAATTTTGGAGATGTAGACAGACTAAAGGACTACTGAAACTTGTATGAATAAAACAAAATACAATTCCTGGTATGTTTTTGAGGATGTAACAACATTATAGCATGGCTTAAACCTCACAAGAGTCAATTCTGCAAAATATAGGACCTTTGATGCCCTTGGATTGTTCTAATAAAAAAACAAAACAAAAAAAGTAGTAACTCATATAATCTCATAATTTTCAGTTTGTAATGCCAGCCCACTGATAATGCAGTTCACAGTAGGTGTAATTAAATGGCACAGGTAGTCATTATTGTTGGCTGATATCAACATTCACAACTAGAAATGCTGTTACTGCACTTGGAGTGTAAAAATATCTAAGCAGTAATTAGTTTAACCTTATGATTTTCAGTCTGTAAGGTCAGTCCATTGACAATACAGCCCATGAAGTGAGATTCAGTGGTATAGGATGTCATTATAGTTGGCTGACATCACGTTTTGCTACTAGAAGTGTGGTTACTGCATTTGGAATGTAGAAATCCCAAGCAATAATTAATAACCCATTAGTTTTCAGTCTATAAGATCAGTCTTTGACAATGCAGTTTATATTAGGTGTTATTAAATGACACAGATGCTCACTATAGTCGACTGATAGATGGGCTTGTCACAGTAATTATTATATAGTATATTATGTGAAAGCTGAAACTGTATTTTTTTTTAATCACTATCTATTAGCCATAGCCATATGATAAGCTTTAAACCATAAAGGGTTGAATAAATAATTATTACAGATGCAAACTAAGTACTAAAGTGGTTGATTCTGCTGATTTGTTTATTGCAGCCCATGTTTTTTTTAGCAGTATTGTAGATTTGGATAGTTTTTGTGTTTTAAATCTGCTCTTGGGTTTTTATTTACTTTTAATTTGTTATCGTTTCAGGCCTACTGAGAGCAGCTTTCAAAACTGGAAGTGGTGTTCCTGCTGTTACTTGGATTGCAAAGAATCAAAGCAATAATTGATTTAACCCAAAAATAGTACAGTTTTTAATGTCAGTCTTTGCCAGTGCAGTCCTCCAAGTGTAATTAAATGGCTGAGTTTGTCACGATTGCTGCTGATATCAACTTTCACAACACGAAATTTTGTTTTTACTACACTTGGAGTGCAGTTACCTTACAATTAACTGCAATCCAACAATAGTTAAAGACCGCAGTCTGTCAGTATTGTTGTTTTGATATGTAGGGTTGTCCAAAATATTCCAGTCAAAGATGCGGTTTTAATTGCCGCAATTATCTAATCATTAAAACTGCAATCAAAACTCTTGCTGCATTTGTAGGCCTGTCACGATAACAGATTTTGAAGTATGATGTAATGCTGAAGTAAATATAGATGATACATGATAATACTGAAACCAAAACTTTAAAGCAGAATCATTCACAAAAAATATTCTAAATGTACAGTCAGTAGAGTCATTGAAGTTCATAATTTAACCTTTTTATAGCTCAAATCTCATCGTGGTACAGAAGATTTACCAAATATTTCCAACTACAGTAGAGAAAAAGAAGAAAAAGTCCGACGCTTAAAAATTATTCTTCCATCTGTCATGTACCGAGCGGTAAGTAGATGTAGTATTTATTGTTACAGGCCTATGTACCTGTAGTTTAGACCTCGACAAACAGGTTCGGAATTGCATGGGATTCTTTTATTTGTTTATCCGTTCAGGTTTCAGTTTTCTCTCAAATGTTAATGCTTCAGGAGTTGTGTACTCTGAATGCAACTTTTCAAACATTATACTGTAAATAGGCCTGTCACAGTAATTACTACATCGACTTATCGTTCTATACGTTGTTGTGGAAAAAATGTTGGATCTTTTGATGATGAATAATTAATCCAGTTGTGAAGCCTGATGAGTTTTTGAAATACAGACAAAGGTTTATTCTTGTTATAGCAGATATGGGCCCCCCAAGTCACTCCTTTCCATCTCCCCCCAGAGCGTCTGAGCTCTGAGTATTTATACAGAAATACAAGTTACATACATCAAAGCAGAGTAGCTTTTTCTGTTAATCAACTTAATTTCCATTGAAGACAGTTATGAAAGGAAAGTTTCTTGTGGGATGGGGGCCATATGTGTAGTAGTAGCAGCAGGATGTGTATGCTGAGCCTTTACTCATGCTTATGAATGGTCTGGTCTCAGATAGAAATCACATTCACTTGCACAAAGATTGAGAAAAATTTTTCCACAATATACATTTCTATCACAACATGACGGAACATTACGTTTTGTGACTCAATCTTTATCATCAGTGGCGGAGTTTTTTTTTATTTTTTATATATATTTATTGTCTGGTTTTCTCCATTGATCTTGAGACACGCACGTCTCTGTTTATTTGAATTATGATGGATTGTTAACTTAGTCTTATTAGTTTGGTCGCTTAACCAGATCTGAAAGTAGTTTTATTTTTTGCTGATATGTCTCATGCACTGATCTAAATGTTAACCGTTTTCTTCATATTCTTTTAGGCGTCAGAGGAAGCATCACTGCACGCCCTCGAAAACCTCATGACAGAGTTTTTCACAGTTGTACGACCAATGAGCGAAAGAGAGAAATAGGTGAGTGGTTGTCTGGTTATAGAGGGGAACCTGTGGGCGTGACATTTCGCATTTACTCTAGAACCTACTTTCAATTGCACATTTACTGCAAAATTGTTTTAGGGCAGCAGAAAAAAAAATGTATACCTATTTTTGTAATTGCACTAGTTAAAAATATTGTGCAATAATATAGTTTTTCCCACGTTTTATATAGAGACTAGTGGATATTTGAATCATATTATGTAGTACCGTTAGTAATATATAATAATAATTGGCATTTGTTGTCTCTACTGTTCAAAAAGCAAGTCTGTGTACTCTCTCAGTTGTCCAGGTATGTTCTATTTCCATGGATCAAAAAGGAACTGATTACAGATTAAATATACTGTAGTTAACTTCATGAAAAAGTAACAACCCAAATGTATTTTTTGTATTACCATTTTTTTATTCAACATATTTTAGACTGTTTTTAGATATGGGGACAAAATTATACTAGTCTTCACTACAGACAGTGAAATACAGAGTAACTAAAAAGTAAGTTTGGGCTACATAAAAACAGAAATGTCAAATAGTAATCAGTCTGTGTTACAATGAAAAACCTTACAAAGAGTTTTTTTAAAAAAAAAAAGGTTAAATTTAAAACTCAAGAATAAACCATCTCAGTAAAATATGACATTTTTAAATTTTTGTTTAAGTCAATAATGCATTTTTTGTACAATATTACCTAAAAATGAGCTGAAACAAACAAATAGAAGAATAAAATACTATGTACTGTTTCCATCGAGGTTTGACAAAATTATAGAAAATCAGATACCATATTTCGATACTAGAAACTAAATACTCATTTGAACAAGAATCAATACTAAAAAGTCAGTATCAGCAGGACAGAAATTAACCTTTCCTGAATAGCTTTAGAATGATTTTGAGCTTTATTAGAACAAGTATAAGAGCACATCGACTAATTTACGCCCATCGACCACCATGGAATCTACCTGGACCACTGAGGGATTACACAGATATAAGGCCAGGTGATAATATAAAAGAAATACTACGATTTCATGTTGAAAAAATTTTAGACGGTACTACTAGCATCTATAATGAGGCATAAAAGTTACTACGTACTACAACATGATAGCAGAAATATCCCCACTAGTGCAAAGACACATTACACACAGTAAAGACTCCAAATCAGCCCAAAAAGTATCATTGTAAGTCTATGTAGTAATTATTGTGATAGGACTAGCAGTAAACCCTATTACATATAAAGTTACCCACTTCCTGTGCACTGTCATCTCCATCGCTTCTCTCTTTGTTCAGAGGAGCTGCTGAATAACTTTGCGCAGCAGACCGGAGCATGGCGCCACTGCCTCTTCTTCCTCTCCCACACGCGCAACGAGTACGTCATGATGTACAGCCTCACAGTATTTGAAGTAAGTGCCTCACTATTGTGTCCCTTATTTACTATTATGTCATAATTAGAGCCCGACCGATATATCGGCTGGCCAATATTATCGGCCAATATGGGCACCTGGAGACATATCGGCTATCTGCCGATATACTTGCTGATATGGGCCGATATTTCACGTGGGCATGTTATACCTCGTTATAAATCTTAGACTCTCTACATTATGTTAATTTAATCCAATTTACAGACAGATAAATGTACTAATATGTGGCTCCGCATCAGTATTTATCTGCGGTGTCATTTTCTGTGTCCGTACTGTCCCTAAACACACCACCAGAGTGACGTCACTTCACTCGTGTGTGTTTGTTTACCCCCGCAGTGGTGCGCAACACTGAGATTATTTTCTTTTTCGGACAATCGGTTTGAGTCTGGATTAAAAGGACATTTATTAGTGCAGACTTGTGATGTGAGGAGGAGCCTGTGTGAGCGGTGAGTGTTGGAAATACATCGACTTTGAAGCTAGTTTAGGTTTTGTTAGCGGTTAGCTGCTGTAGCTTCCGCACATAAACAGGCTGTTTTCTATTGGTCTATTGTAAAGTGACTACATTGGCCGTATATTTGTTACTGGAGCTGCATTGTTATGTAAATGAGCTGTGAATAGATGTGTGAATGATCCACATTTATACATATAATTAACTACCGCGGTGCGCAGCATTTACGGCTAAAGGCTAATAGCGATAGTTTACTAGCTAGGAGTTATGGTTCGGTCGCGATCGAAGCGGCTCTTAGATCCGGCTCTTTGAAGCGAACAACGGGAGCATGTTTCTTATTGGCAGCCGTGTTTTCTCTTTTTCTCACTTTTTCTCTTCATGCCGCATGTAGACCCGTAGTTTGACAGCAGCAGCGGCTGAAAACGAAACTTTCAGAAATCTGCGTGTGCATAGGATAAAAAAGTGCATATTTGGCTGCAGTTCAGCATAAAATGAATAAACCAGGACTAATCTTGGGCTCGAGTGCAGGAGAGAGATAGAAACCGAGTCCCGACACTCAGTCCTGGTTCAGTTCTGGTTTAGTCCTGCTTGCAACAAAACAATCTCAAGAGTCGCTTGGGAGCCGAAAGAGCCAGCTGCTTTAGTGAGCCGAGCCAAAAGAGCCGGTTCTCCGAAAACAAAAAACTAAAATTGGAATACCCATCACTAGTAGCTAGAATGTGATGCAAAAATGCCATTAGGCCAATCTGCTGTATGTAAATATGATGTAAAGAGTCAAAATAACAATAAATGTTGCCTAAATAAACCCAATTTAGAATCCACTAGAGCCAAACCTAAGTTTTTTTTAATCAATTCAAGATTTACAGTGAATTTTTACATCACTAAATATATCGGTGATTATATCGGCTATCGGCAGCTCCAACTCCCATTATATCGGTTTCATATCGGCCACAACAAAATCCATATCGGTCGGGCTCTAGTCATAATTAATATAAAACAATCATAATGAAACAAGAAGTCAAAATAGATGCTGTTTTATTTCAGAGGCAAAACATTCAATGATTTTTACAGATGGGTAAATCCTACATTAGACTAGGGCTGGGCGATATGGAGCAAAAAATATCTTAATATGTTTTGCTATATCTCAATATACGATATTTATCTTGATATCTGTACAGGAAAAATAACCCCACAAAAAATATTGCAAAACAAATATGCCAAATTCCACAAGGTCTTTTATTGAAGTGCAAAGAGGTAGGCAAAGTGCTTCTGCAGCATAAAAAAAATCCCTGTATACAAAAATAATAATTTAACTGTAAACAAAGAAATAATACTTTTTGCCTTCTTTTCATTCAAAAATAAAATGGCTCAGCTTAAGCTCATTTTTGCATTAACTCGTTAACCGTATGATAATCATAACCATGACCTTCTTTAGCAGAGGAAGCATGGGAGGTTCCTTATTTGAATAGATCCATGTTCCTAACCAGCGGTAAGGAGCTATGGGGTATTCCAAATACTATTGTACAAGTTCGACGCTGCAGCAGATTATAAATTTAAATCTTCTGCATATATAAATTTAACATTACTAAACATATAAACCATAACTACAAAAGAGCCACATTAGCCCGTTTGGTATTATAATGTGTTAAATGCAGTTTTGCACAGTTCTTAATGTTTTAAAGAAACAAAACTTAAAACCACATGGCTAATTTACATAAACTAAAAGCACTGAAAAAAGAGCTCGCTCCTTGTGCCAGGCGAGCAAGGCAGTTGGGGCAAGCACAGAGAAGGCAAACAAGCGAAGTGGCAAAATCAGAATTAAATATAAGCATTATAACAATATATACGATATGTCAGAATCCATTTCGTGTTTAAAAAATATCTTGATATATTTTAAATATCGGAATATCGCCCACCCCTACTTGAGACTTATATAGCATTTTTTGACACTCAAAGATGCATTACAGATAATAAGCAGACAGTACAAACTGTGGAAAATGGGTGTGAAACTCATGATTTGAAGTGGTGTATTGAATCTGAGTTTCAGAGGGTGAAGGCTCTGTCCCGTAAGGTCCGGTGCTTTGTCCTGGAGGGAAGAGGTCGGTGAGAAAGGGAGACGACAGATCACAGAGGGGCTTGATGTGATGAGGGGGACCTTGTATGGGGAGCCAGTGGAGTGGTTTGAGGACAGGGGTGGGAGGAGGAGCGTGCCAGTTGTGCACATAGAACAAAAACAACTTATAACAAAACGGCGCCTAACTGAAAAGCCTGGACTAAGAAAGGAAAAGCCTTACCTAACTTATCTAAAAGGCTCTGATATGATTAAACAACCAGGGTGGCAACAGCTGATAAATGTAGTCCGTGTATAAACAAACATCGTACATGTTGTGAAGTACTGTATAGGGCACCCGCTCACCTAAAACAACCTCTCAACCAAAATGACTGCGCTATCATACTCTAGTTATGACAGGAGAGAGAGAGAACGAGAGCTAGCAGAACATCGCTTCTTTTGAAAGTTCCTCTCCTTACTCTGATTGGGTGCCAGGGTGCCAATCAGCCAATCTCCAACCAGCTCCCGCCCACACTATCTTCACACGGAGAACAGAGGAGAGGCAGAAACAGCGCACAGAATGAAACCGTGCTCACCTTTTCAGTAGTTATTGACTCACAAATGAGGTGTAAGAAGATGGAAGATGGGCTAGAATTTTGTTGCTGTAGTAATTGTGGCAGCCATCTTGTGAGTGTGGGAAGAGCAAGATTGTAATGGAAAATAATAATTATAAAAATGTAAAAATAGGACCAGAAGACTAATGGTTTTAACTGAACATATGATATATAGGGGTGTGAAAAAAATATCAATATATGGTATAGTTCAATGTGATGATACAGTATCTATATCATGAGCTGCTGTATCACTTTATCGCCAGGACTTTTTGGTATATTTTACTAAATTATTTTGTTACAGCGCTACAGTTTTTGTTGCTTGTTGTTTATGCAACACATTTGACATTTTCACTGTTTTGATGTGCAAAGTTCATATGAAACACACACATTTTAATCAAGTGGTTTAACAAAGACTTTTAGTATCACAGCCACGATTTAGCCTTTAATTTTTATTAAATCATATCAAATCGATTTGGAATATATATTGTATCGAATCGAAAATGCACTGTATCGAGATATGTATCGTATCGTGGCCTGTGTTTCGAGGTATGTATCGTATCAGCAACTTCTAATTGTTTATCTGTAGTTCTAATAATGCAGGGACCACTGTATAATTTTTTTTTTACACATATTATTAAAACTATTTATTACCTAAAATGATTTGGGATTTTTTTTCCCTCCCAGGATGTTTTCATATTAGTTTCCTAGAACATGGGTAATAGATAAAAGTATTTGAGAGAAAATTTGAATTTAAAAAGTCCAACTTCCTATTGGTTTGCATGAGTTCTTGGAATTGTACGCTCACAACATGTTTACTGGAACTAGATGTTGTTTATTCCAGGTTCCTGTGGCAATGATCTCTTAAACCTTTATTATACTTTATTTATAGACACAATCCAAGTATATTTGGTAGATTTTTGCTTCGACCATGTGACAGTAATTACAGGTATACAGTATTTACATTTACGCACCTGACATTTACAGTGTATTGTTTATTTGATGTTCATTCTGCAGAATTTGGTGAACAGGATGTGGATTGGGGTCGCCTCTCAAGACAAGATGGAGATCCGCAGCTGCCTGCCCAAACTACTGCTCGCTCAGCACAAAAACGTCCCCTATTTCATTAGGAATAAACTCTGTAAGGTCATAGTGGATATCGGTCGACAGGACTGGCCAATGTTCTACCATGACTTTTTCACAAGTACACTGCAGGTGGGTCATACTAACTTGTTCTGTTGTACTTTTTGAATATTAGAAGCTCAGAACATTTCTATTTTTATCTTCCAGCTAATCCAGACCCCAGCGTTGGCTCAGTTAGGGTTAATTATGCTCAAAACCACGTCAGAGGAACTTGCCTGTCCTCGGGAAGACCTCAGCGTGGCTAGAAAAGAGGAGTTGCGTAAACTGTTGATGGAGCAGGTGCCAACTGTGCTTGGACTGTTAACAGGTAACAGTGAAATTTTTTTTCTCTAATTTGAGTTCTGAAATGTTTGGAAATTAGCACAGTGATCAAACCTGGTGAGAATCCTGTATAAGCGGATAAATCTAAATTAAAATGGCGTCTGTATGTTGAACCCTATGGGAATTTTGAGGCTGCGGTATGGTATATTAGATGAACCACAAACTATTATCATTGCCACACTTTCCACCAAACCGGAAGTCAGCCATTGTGGATTATCGTCAGAGTGGATTTTACTCGTAGCCTATTTTTACAAATTGCCTCAAATCTGGTCCATTCTCCACAAGGGATGTGCAAAAATTTTAAAATATAAATGTATTATATCGTTTAATGTGATGATGATACAGTATCGATATTTGGACTGCTGTATCGATATACTGGCAAGAGTATTTTTTGGTATATTTTACAAAATTATTTTGTTACAGTGCTACAGTTTTAGAGGAAGGAAACTCGTTTATGCAGCACATTTGACATATTCACTGTTTTGATGATTAAAGTGGGTGTGTTTCATATCAACTTTACACAAGAAGTGGTTTAACAAAGACTTGTAGTATCACAGCCATGACTTAGCCATTATTTTTTATTGAACTGCATCAAATCGATTTGAAATATATCAAATCATATCAAATCAAAAGTGCACTGTATCGAGATAAGCATCATATTGTAGCCTATTTATTGAGGTACGTATCATATCGGCAATTTTTTAATAATACCCAGCCCTACTCCATACCACCTAGAGACAAGGGGAATCTAAAATTGGGAATCTTAACAGCCTGCTTCCAGTTTGTGCCACCAATCCTTCTACCCACCACCACTCACCCAGACCACATCCATGTTATAAAAGTTGGATGAATTGTCTTGCCTAAGGACACAGGGAGAGTATGCACTTATTTGAACAGGGGAATTGATCCTTTGTGGTGGATAAGTGTTATAACTACTGAGCCACCCCATGTTCTTATCTCCATCAGTGCGGTAACATTTTAATGTGTTTAATTTAAAGGTATCCTTGAGACCTACTGGGACAAGCACAGCATCATCGCGTCAACTCCACCTCCATCACCAACCTCAGGGGAAAGTGGTAGGTCTCTTAAGACGCTCTCTACAGTTCATTATCACCCTCTATTTTTACATATTTCTGTCTGTGTTTCTAGTGGAATTGCTTGGGAACTTATTTCAGGGAAGCCAATACTCCAAGTTGCTCTGCCAGCCCATGGCAGCCCTGGACAGCGAGAGCCACCAGCTCTGTTGCCTGGTGTTAGAATGTCTGGCTCATCTTTTCAGCTGGATCCCACTGTCCACAAGCATCACTCCCACTCTCCTCGCCTCCATTTTTCACTTTGCGCGTTTTGGCTGCGACCTCCGAACCAAAGCCAAAATGAGCTCCTTCATCTCCAACTCCTCTTCATCAAACGGACAGCCCCATCCCATCACCACAGCCAACGGCGGAGGCAGGAACGGGCAGCAGACGGAGATGACTAAAGTGGAGCGCGCACGCCTCGGGGTGCTCGCCATGACCTGTGTCAATGAACTGGTGTCAAAGAACTGTGTGCCAATGCATTTCGAGGAGTATCTTTTGAGGATGTTCCAGCAAACGTTCTTCCTCTTGCAAAGACTGACGCGTGAAAACAACGCCCACACTGTCAAGAGTAGACTCCAAGAACTAGACGAGAGGTTCGTATTATTATCTCTTGGTCTTTGCGAGTGGATTTTGTTTAGACATTTTCTTGTACTTGTGCAGTTGTTTACTTTAATTTGCAGTCAGACGTTGCCGGGAAGTGCGAGGTGTCTCAATGCCGTCATTGTTCAGATGGCTGATATTTCTGCTCTGTTTCTGTGTTGCTATGTCACTTGACTATTAAGGGAGTTTGAATGTTGTCTTGCTGCTGGGTTTTATGGAGAGCTCTGCCATTAATCATGTTACATTGTTTCTGTACATTTCAAAATTGGTGCCCTACTTTTCAAACAAAAAAAAAGTTATTGCTATGAACATGGGCATGTTCACATTTCAGGTGAAAGGTCCTCAAAGGAATCTTTAAAATCAGGGAGGAATCATTTGCCTGAAACACATAAATAGTAAATATGGAAGGCTGTGTATGGCCGTGTCTCATTTTTCTTTCCTTTCTTCCTTCTCCTTGATTCCTCTGCTCGATTCTGCAGGAAATGGGTGAGGAAGTCCCACCCACAGAGGAGGCACAGGAAGGAGAAAGGATATAAACTCCTCACTGAGACCAATAAAGTTTGATTATTTGATCTGATGTTTGCCTCCTGAAGCCTCCCTTAGGTTTACTCTCTCCTTCTGTAGTTTTCTTCGGGACACCACTTAATATGACACATTTGATTGACAGCTAAAAAATTGAGGATTTAGGAGAGGAAGCAAGGAGAAGAAAGAAAGGAAAAAGAATTGAGACGCAACCTATATCTGTAATACGACTGGGAATCGCAGGGTCCCTCACAATTCATGATACATGGCTCACAACATAGTATCGCGATATAGCATTGACGATACATGCAATAATCAATATATTGTACACGGTATTGTGTGATACATTGCTATTTATTAGGAACCAAATACATTACTGCAACAATATTTCTTTGTTAAACCATTGTTTGTGCAAAGTCAATATGGAATAACATCTATTTTAATAATCAAAACAGTCAATATGTAAACAAGTTTCCTATCAATAAATTAGCAAGAAAATAGTAGTCACAAAAAAAAAGAGACCAAAAAATACTCTTGGCGATATAATGAAACAGCAGCCCATGATATTGGGGTTATTAGGATATTTTACAGTAATTTCACTCACTTTGTTTATGTTGGTCACTTTATTTAGATGTTAATCAAGAGCATGGACTACTTCTTAAAATGCAGGTCAGGCAGCAGGTCGGGTGCAATATTTTCAAATATTTTTTTGCGGTTGGAGTTGCAGGTGGGTTAGTTGAAAACGTTGGTCAGGTAGGGGTCATTCATATATGGACCCGCACATCACTGGTTGCAGGTGTCACGGTGCCCCCTCTAGGAAACACCATTGATTAAGCCTTGATTTATACTTGGTGTAATGCAGATGTTTGTGTTGCAATGTTCACTATATATTTATCTAGTACATTTGAAAAAATATATTGGCTGTGTTACTATTTTTGGTATAAGCTTGCAAGTCACCAATTAAAGCTTGGCGAGCCACAAATGAGTGTTCCGGCTCTAAGGTACTGTGATATCGTTACATTCCAACATTTATAAACGTTAACATAAAAAGAATTTGAAAACGGCCTAAACAAGAAATCCAACGAAAAATAAAGTAACGTTCTTGTCTACTAAATGATTACATTTGTATTTCTTTTTCAGTTACTTGGAGAAGTTCACAGACTTCCTTCGCCTGTTCGTCAGTGTTCATCTGAGGCGGATCGAGTCTAGTCCACAGTTTCCCATTGTGGAGTTTCTCGGCCTGCTTTTCAAATACACCTTTAACCAGGTAGATATCACACCAGCCAAAATGTATATTTATTTGTTTTATTTTATTCATCTAATTTTACATTTTTTCTTTGTAGCCCACACATGAAGGATACTTTGCCTGTCTGGATATATGGAGTGTATTTTTAGATTATTTAACAACAAAGATCAAAAGCAGACTGGCAGACAGAGAAAGTGTGCTGAATAGGTGAGTGATTAAAAAAAAAAGCAACAACTTTCTTGGAAAGGAGTGTGCCAATTTCATGTCTTCCAGGAAATCTTGTTGCTTTGCCTGAAATGTTCCACAGTATATAAACAATAAACTTATCTATATTGTGCTGATTGAATATAGAGGAAAAAGAAAACACATACCCTTAATGCAAGTGAGGTCCACAGATCTGACCTTTAACTCACCTGGTCTAGTCACCACCTTGTCGCCGTGGAGATACAGTAAATAAGTTTAGGACAGATTATCTAGCATTATACAGTAAACAACAATCTAAACAGCAAAATATTTTACGATTGGTCTAATAAAATAAATGATAGCACCTTTATTTTGGTGACCGACCTTACACAAGAAAAGTTACACAGTGCATCTTTAAAGAGGTCATATTGCGCTATTTTCTGATCTATGTTATAATGTTACTTCCTCATCAAAAACGCACCTGGAGTTCCACTTTATATAATACAAGAAGTGCTCCACTGTGTTTTTAACCTCCATATACCTTCACTTTAATCATTGGTCTGAAATAATCCAAATCTCTGAACTACAGCTTCATGACATCACGAGGTGGAACAGAGCATTTTGAGCTTTGGGGATGTAGACAGACTAATAAAAATAAAAAATAAAACGGTTACTAAAACATGTGTGAAACAAAATATAACTCCAGATATGTTTTTGATGAGGTAGCAACAATAAGACAGTGGTCCCCAACCTTTTTTTACGCCACGGATCGTTTTTATATTCAACAATATTTCGCACGGCATGGTTAAGACCTGGCTAAATCCTCTATTAGTCCTGTTTTAGTCCTAGTTTTAGACCTGTTTAGGCCCTGTTTTTAGACCTGTTTTTAGATCTGCTTTAGTCCTGGTTTTAGTCCTGGTTTTAGTCCTGGTTTTAGTCCTGGTTTAGACCTGGTTTTAGTTCTGGTTTAGATCTGAGTTTAGATCCGGGTTTAGTTCTGGTTTTAATCCTGGTTTTAATCCTGGTTTTAATCCTGGTTTTAATCCTGGTTTTAGTCCTGGTTTTAGTCCTGGTTTTAGTCCTGGTTTTAGTCCTGGTTTTAGTCCTGGTTTAGACCTGGTTTAGTGGTTGGACAGTCCACGTTGCGTACGGCGGGGGGTCCACGTGCTGTATGGAGTGTTAAAATGAACTAAACTATTGTCTTTATGTTATTTTTTTTTAACTATATTACCCTTGTTTTCAGTTACAAAGACGCGTTGGTTCTACTTTTACGGGAAGTGTTGAATCGCATACAGTTCAGGTATAACCAGGCACAGTTAGAAGAGCTGGATGACGAGACGCTGGACGATGATGTAAGAAATTCATCACCTTCAGTCAGTTTTCATTTTCGTTTTCGCTCCACACGCTTAACTGAATGTCTTTGTTTGGTAACCGTAGCAACAGACTGAGTGGCAAAAATACCTGCGTCAGAGTTTGGAGGTTGTTGCCAAGGTGATGGAGCTGCTCCCGTCACACGCTTTTACTACATTGGTAAGATAATTTTACTACTACTACTACTACTATTACTATTACTATTACTATTACTATTATTACTACTACAACTACTATTATTACTACTGCTATTACTATTATTTCTACTGCTATTTCAACTACTGTTATTACTACTACTGCTACCATTAGTACTACTACTAGTACCATTGCTACTTCTGCAACTACTACGACTACTACAACTACTACTATTACTACTATTAGTACTACTACTACAACTTCTACCATTACTACTATTGTTACTGCCACTATTACTATTATTACTATTACTACTACTATTACTACTGCTATTACTATTATTTCTACTGCTATTTTGACTACTGGTATTACTACTACTTCTACTATTACTACTATGACAGCTACAACTATTATTACTACTACTAAAACTACTACTACTACCATTACTACTACTCTTACCACCTCGGTCACTATTATCACTACTACTCTTATTACTACGATGACTACTACTACTACTACTACTGCTATTATTACTACTATTATTACTACTGTTATTACCACTACTTACTACTTCAGCTGGCTGTTATCTCACTAAATGTGTTCTTTTTTGTTTCCTTCTTCAGTTTCCTGTTCTTCAAGAAAATCTAGATGTGTATTTGGGTTTGCAGCAGTTTATTGTAACCACTGGTACAAGTAAGTTAGTTATTTAATGTTCTATGTTTGTAAAACTTTAGCCATAAATAGACTAAAATAAAAGCATGTTTTAGTTTCGTTTTTTTTGTGTGGAAAGTTGGTGTGAAAGTACGTGCTTCTTTAAAGGGGTGATCTATATATGACCTTATGTGAGAAAACCATTTTGAGGAACTTCCAATCTCCCATGTAAATCTATGAATGCAAGAGTCTTACATTAAACAAAATGCCAACAGAGTGCAATCTAGTGGTGTCAAAATTAGGGTTGGGTATCATTAAGAAGTTGTCGATATGATGCATACCTCAATACTTAGGCCACAATACAGTACATATCTTAGTACAGTGAGCTTTTAATTCGATACCATTTAAAAAATAAAAAATAAAGACTAAATCATGGCTGCGATACTAAAAGTCTTTGTTAAACTACTTCTTGTGCAAAGTTAATATGAAATCCTCAGAAACAGTGAAAATATCAAATGTGTCAAATAAATTAGTTTCCTTCCTCTAAACAAGCTACAAAACTGTAGCTCTGTAACAAAATAATTTATTAAAATATACCAAAAACTACTCTTGGTGATATAGCGATACAGCAGCCCACAATGTCGATACTGTATCATCACATTAAACTATACAATATATCGGTATTTCAATATTTTTGCAGACCCCTAGAGACAATACTAAAACTTCAAGCTCAATTTTAGTACAACTGTTTTTTATATTACCATGTCACCTTATATCTCTGTGTCTGGCCTTCTCAGTGGTCCAGGTAGGTTCTATAGTGGTCCATGGGCGTATACTAGTCTTGTGATCTTATACTTGTTCTGATACAGCTCAGGATCACTCTAAACCTATTCAGGAAAGGTTCATTTATGTCCTGTGAATGTGAATTTTCTTGGTATCCATGGTTCAAATTAGTATTAAAACTCAAATCAGAAGTAGTTTTAGTATTGACTAGTGTCTGATTTTCGATACTTTTTACAACCCTAGCGCAACCTGACCAAAAAAAAAAAGTTTTAAAAATTGTTTATTGTATTTTTCCTTGCCTAAATGATCAAATAAATAAATAGCTGACTGTCCTTGTGCTCTTGTGCTGCTCCAGGTCGCAGGTTGAACATCAGTGCAGAGAATGACTGCCGGCGCCTGCACTGTTCTCTCAGGGACCTCAGCTCTCTGCTCCAGGCCGTGGGGCGTCTGGCTGAACACTTCATCGGAGAGGTGTTTGCTGCCCGATTCAATGACGCTCTAGCTGTAGTGGAGAGGTCTGTAGTTGAGATATTTTTTCAACTAAAATTGTATCTTTTTTATTGCCAGAATAAACTAGCTCTATTTATACTGCATTTGCATTTGACTTGCAGCTGCAACAAATACGCTCTGTTATAATAATAGACTACACAGGCAGACAGACTATACAAACACATGGTAGAAGACGTTTTATAACAAAGACTGGCATTGAATCAAAAATGGAAAAAAATAAACAAAATTCACAAAGGTCACAAAATCTGACCTTTATCAGTTATGCACAAAACTCGACTACCAGCCCTGATTTGAATATTGCTAAGGTGTGTGATCTGTTTAAAATGTCAGTCTAATCATTTGCTCTGAAATATTTTTGTCTTCTCTGATCCAGGTTGGTTGAAGTGACCTGCTATGGTTCTCAAACGAGCCTTTATGACCTGGAGACTGCTGTGCCTTCTGTGTTAAAACCAGACCTCACTGATGTGTGAGTAGAAAATCAATTTCAAGCGGTGTTAAATTTGTCAAGAATTTTTATTTAGTTTTAGTCAAGATGAAGCCAAATGGTTATTTTTAGTTTTAGTCTAATTTAATTTGAGAAAAAAAATCGACCACTTTCGTTGACTAAATGCATAGTTTTAGTCAATTGGTAAATATTTTTATTTTATTTCAAATATGATAAGTTGTTTAGCATTGCTCCTTGGGACATGCGGTTTGGGGCTCTGGGATTCAAAAGTGAACTTGGATCTAGTCTCCTCTCATCCTGTTATTCATTCATTACTTAATAAAAATATCACTACTTTTAGTATTGATATTTGACATGGTTTTGGTCAGTATGATTGCTTGTTATTTAGTTTTAGTCTGCAAAAATACAACATGATCTGAAAATATTACAAAAACTTTGACGTGCCAAAATAAACATTGACAGATGGAATGCTGCTAGCTGTTAACTTGAACTTTATTGTCTGCACAGTAACCACACTGAACCTGACATCACCTCACACTGTCCATGCAAAGGCGTTTTATTTGATATGATCTTTGCATTTGTCATTTGCTTGTTGCAGACACGCACAGGCCCTGGCTGCTTTGCAAGCCTACTCCCATTGGCTCGCCCAGTTTTACAGTGAGGTCCACGGCCAAAACCAGAGCCAGTTCATCAACCTCATCACGTCTGCTGTAGAGGCCTGTAGCCCTCTCATTACAGCTAAGGTATCCCCTATTATGTTACATCATGGCTTATTATTAGATTGGAGTCTAATGCGGGTTACTGGAAGCATTACTAACAATATGACTATCCATGGATTTAAGAATGATGAAAAATAAGGATGGTTGCCATAGCGAATAATGATTAAAAACAAAATATTACATCTTTTAAATGGGATCAAGTTCTCAATAATATTATAATTGCCCACTAGTTTAAAAGAACATAAATTATGTAGATTAAAAAGCAGATACAGCAGACTTGGAGAATGACAAAATCCTGAATTACTATTATTACTTACAGCAAAAACATCAAATATAAAAGATTAGTTGAAGCATTACAACATATTACAACAATATTTTTATTATAATATGACTTTACTTTAGTAGTGCTATAACTTTATCTCAACGACTATTTTACTCTCATAAAATTCTGTAAAACCTTGAGGCATTTTGATCTTAAGGAATCATCTAACTGTGACGGTACATTTTGCAGGTACCTGAAAAGCTGCTTCTGTCTGCATGCCATCTGATGGTGTCCCTGACCTCTACAGTACGGCCAGTATTTCTGGTGACTCTGCCCACTGTCCAGAACATCTTCAATCTCATCACAGACAACCAGGCCCCCCGACTGCCTCAGGAGGTCAGTATCACCTGCAGTGTTTCCTCGGGTCCTCATAGTTGAATGTCATGTGACTGGGGATTTATTACGATGTCATTTATTGCAGTTGTACTTAAATGTTAGGCCAGCTTGGTATAATTTAGGCCTAGTTCATTTTGTATTGTAGTGATTAAACATTAAACTTGAAAAACTTGATTTAATTCGTTTTGACAGTGAACTGGGCCCTTTAATACAAACAGGTTGTGGCTGTAGTTGGCACATTAGCTTCTTTTCGCTCTGTTAAAGACAATAAACCACAGAGTAAAAGGGATTAGAAGGAGAGCTAATGTTCCGTTTGTCTCTCTTCTGTCTCATCGCAGTCTCACGTGAGTCTCCAGCACTTTGTGTGTGTATGTGTGTGTTTGTGCACTCCTTCTCATGCAGAGTGGTCAAGAGAGAGAGGGAGAAAGAGACAGCGACAGCAGTTGTACGCAATGACTCAGAAACCACAACACCATCAACAGCTTTAATGAAGTCACAATCTAAAATGTGTCACAAAATAGGCTTAAGACACCAACTTCTTATTTTCTGTTTACTAACCATGTGAAACAAGTCTTGACTCTGCTGAAACAGGAACAGGGGAATTTCAAGTGGGGCATTATACCGTGTAGGTCAGAATTCAGCAAATACCATATTTTTTCGGACTGTAAGGCGCAATTAAAAACCCTTAATTGTCTCAAAACTCGACAGTGTGCCTTATGTACTAATTCTGGTTGTGCTTATTGACTTCGAACTGATTTTCACATATATTCCACTGAGTTGTGTCCTTTAGTCCGACAGAAGCTGACCGCATCAGGACACAAGGAGCGAGCTGTTTTTTCAGCGCTATAGTTTATGCAAAATAGCCATGTGGTTTTTAATTTCGCTTCTGAAAAAATGTAAACAAATGTGCGCCAAGATGCATTAAACACATTATTACTCATTGTATATTTGAGTCCTCCCCGTAGGAAATTAAAAAAAACTAAAAAAAAAATGCTCAAATTATCCACCCACATTCAGAATACACATTCACCAAGACAGGGAGGCAACGCCGCGCAAATTATGCCATGATCTGCCAATGGATCGTGGATGCCGGGGCTAAGGGATCAGTCTCAAGTGTCGTCCGTTTGTTTAGCTTAATGCGCCTTATAATCCAATGCAATTTATGTATGAAAATAGATGAGAGAATTCAACATTATTGATATTGTGCCTTATAATCCGGTGCGCCTTTTATAGTCAGAAAAATACGGTAAATAAACGAAAGCACTGCCCCCGTGTGTTTCTCTGGTAAACTTCTTAACATCATCTGATTCACTGGTTCCTCTTTCTCCAGGCCCACATGTTGGTGTGCCGAGCTCTGTCCAACATGTTCCTCCTGCCATGGCCAAACTTGCCCGAGAGCGAGCAACAGTGGCAGTCACGCTCCAGTAACCACGCCAGCCTGATCGCCGCCCTCACCAGAGAGTACCGAATCTTACGAGGCACTGTGAATGTTACCCCACCCCAACCCGCTCTAGATAATGGTCAGTATTTTACACATGGGCTGGGTTCACATGACAACACAACATTCAGCTTTCTAAACAGCAATTTGAAGGGGGTGTACCTGATTTTTTTTTGTCATGTATTTGAGCTAAATTTGCCTTGCACCAGTACAGATTTATTGTATAAGCAGCTCTTGAGGTCAGAATAAGTCAGTTGCTCACTATCTGCATCAGACTACAAAGAGTTTTATTGTACAATAATCAGGAAGTTTGCAGTCAGTATGCTGGTTTGTTGGCATTAGCGCCTACGAAAGTTGTGAAAAGCATTTATAAACTCATCGTGGAGAAATATCAGGATGCCCAAAATACATACAGTAAGTGAGGAATAATTCTGGACCACTGCAAAATGAAACAGTTCTGTTTTTCACATTTTTAAGATGGTCCAGTCAGGTACAGCGCCTTTTTAGATGCAAATGTTTTGACCAGGTTTATGGCGAATATCAGTGTAATTACCGGACCTATCCTCATAAAACAAAAACTGACACAAAGTTCTAGGGGTGTAAGAAAAAATTGATTTAGTGATATATCGTGATACTTCATTGCACAATTCTCAAATCGATTCAAAATGCACCCAAATTGTTTTTTAACTAATATTTTTCACTAAAATTTCATTATTTACATTCACTGTTCTGATGATTTTAGCATTTTTGTAAATTATATTTCATACAAGTGTGTTCTTGTGAAGGTGCAGTTGACTGTATTAATAGATTTAATTATTGATACATCACAATATATCATCCCATGTTTTAGTATTGGGATATATCGGGATATATTGAATCACATTATATGTTTTGTATCGTCAGACCCAACGCTACATAGTTCAGAAATAAACAAATACAACTTTTTGACTATAACTTCAAAATGTTGCCTTATTCAATCTTAAAAATGTGTTTGTTATCAGTTAAAAAGACTTTGAGCCACAAGATTACAATGCCAAACTCAAGGATCTAATCTCATCTATCAACTTTTTCAAATTTTCTGCTATTTGAGTTATTTATTTCAAGGCCTCTGCCCTCCATCTGAAGTTATAGCATCAAGATTCAAAGTTGTTGTGGTCTACTTAAGGTTCTGTCCAAAATCTTGAGTACTAGTGTTTACTTTTGTCTTGCAGTGAAAGCAGTGATACAACAGACCCTACCTGTGCTGAGGGACATAGTGGACAGTATTTCTGGAGAATCCACCAAATCTCGCCAAATCTGCTACCAGAGTCTGCAGGAGTCTGTCCAAGTGTCACTCAGCCTTTTCCCAATTTTCATACAACAACCAGGTCCCCCTCTTTCTCTCTAAAATCTAAGTTTAAGATTTTACAGAATGAATGTGGCCTAATGCGCGTCTCTGCTCTCCTCAGATGTGACTGATGAAATGCTGGCCTTCTTCCTGACCCTGTTCCAGGCCCTCCGAGTCCAGATGGGGGTTCCCTTCACGGGGCAGATCATCCACACATTTCTTAGCATGTTTACCAGGTATTTCAAGCATAGAGTGACCAGACGTCCCTATTTACCCGGGACAGTCCCACTTCGGAGTCCTGTGTTCTCTGACCCAGCAGATTTATACACAGCAGATATATAAGATTTTGCTAGACGATTAATTGACCAAGAAATTAGTGCGACAAACGATAATATTGACATTTTGAGACTATTTTAACACAGGAACTGCAAGACAACTAAAAACAATAGGCCTAAATAAAATAGACTTGTTAACATATGAATAGCCTATTGTAGTCTGGCTTACAGCAACGACTTGTTAAAAAAATGTGCTTGAATAAACCATTGTTGAACCAAACACAACCAAAACAATAAATAAAATGGATTATTAAGTCTCTGTATCAAAATTGCCCTTAAAAGTTATGTTGGGCATTGACTTTCATTGGAATATTGTGGCCTCTCTCTGTGGCTGCTGCTGTTGCCTTGTCATTTTGGTCTTGAAGTGTTCGTATTAACCCGCTATCCTGTCTGGTATCATGTCGGAGTCTTGTGGGATTTCAGTGGATTTTGGGCTCTCTCGGGGGCTCGGTGAGTTGTTTCAGTCGAGTATGGGTGTATGAGCAATTTCTTCACTTTGTTTCTGCGCTCGCCTGCATTTGACGCATGTGGGCAGTTGAGACGTGTCCCACTCACTAGTGTTGATTTGGCATCATGACTTGGTTTGGCGATGAACTGTTTTGTTGCTGTGACGGCGGCGTTAGTGTTGCGGCTTCTTGTTAACCGCACAGACAGCAGCGCTTTCTGTACTCAGGCTGCGCACGGATCCGCTGTTGATAAACAAATAATCCGTCTATAGTCTACACTGACACGTTTGTTCAAGCGTCATTTTGCTAAGGAAACGAGGAGTCAGCAGAGAGCGATAGAAGCCTTTTGACATTCAGTCTCTTTCATAGAAGGCGAGAGAGATGAAGAAAACAAACAAGCCTGCAAATAGAAATTATCGCACCCAGAAAAGGAACTGGACTTGAAAAAGTTATCATACGATTAATAGGTTTATTGATTATCGTTACAGGCCTAGTGATATTTCCCAGTTTTATACAAAAAATATCTCAATTGTATCTATTTTTAACCAATTTGATCTAAACCAGGATTAACTAAACTAAGATTAAACCGGGACTACATCAGGTCTAAACCAGGACTAAAACTGGACTATCACAATTTTTGACGAATCTGATCCCCGTCAACAGGAGCATAAATTGTCATTTGTTTAGCCAAAATACAGAAAATCGTGTTGCAGAATGACCATAAAGTAAAAAAAAAATTCAGCAATGCACAATCTTACATGCTCTTTTCACAAATTTTATTTATACCAACTATCACAGCCTGGGTGTGTCCCAGTTTAGAATTTTGAAAATCTGGTCACCCTGTTCAAACATCTTTTTAATGGAGGTATTAAAGGGGATGTTTTTTTGTATGTCAGATTTGTCTTAACCCAGTGCAGTTTTAAAAGCATTTTTATAGTCCCGGAAGACTGGTGTGCTCTTAGCATGCTAGTTGTTAGTATTATTGTGACAGCAAACACTGGCCTCTGACATTTGTACAAAGAGATTATAAACCCATCGCATCTGCAAACTGTTTGAAAATGTGATAAATAGAGCTAGTTCATTTTTCCCCATGTCTTGCCCAGTCCAGATTTATTGTATAATCAGCTCTCAGGGTCAAAATGTCAGCTGCATCTGAAAATCGCGAAGTGCACATTAGCTCTAGTAAACAGTTTAAAATGCACTGGTTCTGTTTTTCATGTTTTTAAGACAGTAAAAATCATGTACTGTGCCTTTTACATATTATGTACACAGTTGTAAATGTGTTGTGTTGTGTTGTGTTCAGAGAGCAGCTGGCAGCGAGTATCCTGCAGGATGGCAGTGCCGGGTGCAGGGTAGTCCAGAAGTTTCTAAAGATTCTGCAAGTGGTGGTTCAAGAACATGGTCAGGCCTTCAAACCGTTCCTGCCCAGTATCCTCTCTCTCTGCATGGAGCAAGTGTACCCAGTGGTGGCAGAGGTACGGCATTTTAGGTCTAATTTAAATTAATTTTTATGCCATTTCTTGTGTTTTGTTGTAATCTTTTTGTATTTGTTGAGCACATTGTGTATGAAATGCATAGTATAAATAAATATGCCTTGCCTAGTGCTTATAAAACACTACGTTTGTTATATTATTTTTTTATATTCGACTGTAATATTCAGCCGTCAGTATTTTGGTGCTTTTTACAAAATTCTGAAAGCATTAACAATTTTTTTTGCTTGTTTAGGGAAAGGCAGGTTTTTATGCAATAGATTTAATGTATTTTGATGCTAAAAAAGGGTGTCTGGCTTGTGCAGGTAGTGGTTTAACAAAGAAATATTGTTGATTTAAAATGAATGTGATTCTTTGAAATTCTTCCCAATTTATTGAATATATCGCAAAATTGTAATATTAATATGATCGTCATGTGAGCTATGGATAGGGCTGCTATTATTACAATTATTTTGGTCAATATTGAAACACAATTATTCAAACGATAATTTTTTTTAGTTGCACAATGCATTTATTCAGCATTAATCTCGAAAAAAAAAAAACAACAACACTTTGTTACTGATAATTTACTTTCAAATAAAATAAATATAGGCTACAACTATGTACCTTAGAGCAGTTTTGCGATGTATAAAACATAAAATTAATAAAATATACTTTGAACATGAAATAAGGCATAGAAAAATATAAATGTAGCTAAAATAAACTATATATCCAGCTGTTCTACAATCTCTATATTTAAAAAAAATGAAATAAATATACTTATTCATATAAAAAATATTCCAAAATAAACTTTAAGCTTTATCATTTCAACTCAATTACATGAGTTTGGAGATCATTTGACACACAACTTGAAATTGCGATCAAAATTCAGTTAATTGCACAGCCTTAGCTATGTATCATGCATTTTATAAAGTTGTGACTTGCCTTTTCAAAAACCATCTGCAACCATATTTTCAGGCAAATTAAATTACTATAGATTAATCTACTGTAAAATGGCTGTATACATTAAAAAAAAAAAAGTTTGCTCAAGACTAAAAATGTGAAAGGCTTGGTATAAATGTGTGCAAATTGTATTTTTTAGAAGTACTGATCTAATTTTTCTGTGTTGTTTTTTGGGGGGGGGTTTGTAGCGTTCTTCACCTGATGTCAAGGCAGAGATGTTTGAATTACTTTACCAAATACTTCACCAAAACTGGAGATACTTCTTTAAAACTTCAGTCTTAACAACAGTCCAAAAAGGAGCCTCAGAGGATGTCATGGAGAACGAGGCTCAGTTCACCGCTGCCATGCAGGTCTGTGTCAACTCTTGTACTTAAAAGAGACATATGGCGCTTGTGTCTGCTATTAACCTATTTACACCCGTGGATCATTGTTATATTGGACATTTTTAAATGGAGAATAAAGTTTGTACAGAGCATTAGGGGCGTTTAGCGGTGGCAGTGAAAATGGGAGTTGACTTGAAAATAAGCGATTAAAGATTACTCAAGCATGCATGAATCACTCCAAATAAAACAACTATAAGATGGTTAAAAGCTCTGAAAAGTAAATTTTGCATAATGGGTCCACTTTAAAAATGTATTTGTTTTTCAGTTTAGATTTCTGACTTTTTTTTCTTCATGTTTTGGCAGGCGTTTGGGCAGTCCTTCCTGCAGCCCGACATCCACATTTTTAAACAGAATCTTTCTTATTTAGAGTCTCTAAACAGCAAGCACAAGCTGTATCACAGAGTAAGTTTTAGTTTTTTGCACAGACATGTTTTCAACAAAATACGACCAATCTTAACAGTTTCCCCTCTGTGTTCTTCAGAAGCTTTTTAGGACCTCCATGCTGTTCCACTTCATCAATGTGCTGCTGCAGGTCCTTCTGCACAAAAGTCATGACCTTCTTCAGGAGGAAATCACACTGGCCATCTACAACATGGCCTCAGTGGACTTCGATGCCTTCTACTCGGCCTTCATGCCAGAGTTTCTCAACGGTTGTCAGGGAGTGGACAGCAACCAGCGAGCCGTTCTTGCCCGTAACTTTAAGCTTGAGCGGGTGAGAATTCAAATACTTGTAGTGGTTAATGAGTGTGCCCCGTAACAATAAACTAATGATTTCCTTGTTTTGACTTGTTGTAGGATCTTCCCTCGTTCACTCAAAGTGTGCAGCGGTTGGTGAACGACCTTCGCTACTACAGACTCTGTAATAGTAGCTTGCCCACAGGCACCATCAAGCTATAGCACATAGATGAAGCACTCCACGTGAATAGTATTTTTAAAGACTGCTTGTGCTGACCACTTTGCCCCACGCTCCAAACTCGCTTTACTGGACCTACTCAGAGTGGTAGGGAGGACTGAACACAGGGTTTGGAGTTGCTGCTGATAGTCTGAGTTCTACTGTAGAAGGAGGTGTTGTTGTGAACCATGTGTTGCCAATGAGGATTTGGCAGAAGCGTAAACCTGGTCTGCCATGGACCTGGAACCTCTGAGCCAGGCCTTCTTTCCCACGCCTCTGCACCATGCGAGGAGGGACTGAGCACTTTCAACTCATTCTGAGTTTTTAAAATGTCTGCTTTTATTCATTTTGCCTTCAAATGTCTAATCTCCGAAGGAGACCACTGTCAACTTAAGATCTTTCATATCATTCCATGAAAATGAAAAGAAACTGCTTAATTAATAAAGTTCTTTTTTAGTAAAATTAAGTATGTTGTCGTTTTTGGCTTCAAATGTTTTAAGAGGGTGGCCAGCGGGGTAGATTTTATTCATTTATTCATTTAATAAGCTCCATTTCTCAAAATGTAACATCTTTCACCCAGGTTGAAAACAGTTTATGTTTAAATATGTTTACATACATTTTAGGCGCTCTAAATTCACTTTATTTTGTACCTTATTGAAATCAGAATAAAATCAATGTTTGGTAGAACTTGGGATTGATTTGAAACATAACAGGTCAAAGCAAACACAACTTTTGCTCAGTAAACAGTCGGGCCCATCACGGGGGCCAGGCGGATGGTGACTCGTGAGTTTTGATTGAGTGGAGTTGACTCGTGTTTGTAGTGACGGACCACGCGCACGAAGATGAGCGTCTTCCAGCGGTGCGTTTTCCAAAGGCTTCTTCAGCAGGTGTCCTCAGGAGCGAGCGCGGCGACCGGACTGGCACCGGCGTCCACCCAGAGCGCGCTTTGGAGAGGGCGCGTAACGACTGGAGCAGGTCACAGGAATAAATCAAGTAAGGCTTGCTCTGTAGGATCAAAATAAGACTAAACTGGACTAGACTATAATACTAAAAAAAGCCAAGTCTATATTTGGACTAACTGAACTCAGACCAGAACGCCACAAAGTACTTTTATTATTATATATATTTTTTTTTATTTTACCTTTATATATCTATTTTATAATATCGTAATGTGTGAGCTACATAGTGGCCAAGAAATTTCCCTTGTTAAATCCAGTTAAGTCTAATTACATTAAGTTACAGTTTTGTTTTATGAATAATTGGCAAAACTCTTGTTATGTATTGATTTTTTCCCCCATGAATTTAATAGGTCATCAGTACAAGTTTTGCCTGCGCACCTTGAGGTCACGAACTAAAAGTAGGTTAGAGGCAGGCGCTTTGGGGACAGTAAAGTAAAGTACGCAGGACACACGTAAATGTCGCTTTGGTCACATGACGCGTTTATTGATTGCTCGCGGTCATTCATTAGGTTAATTTAGCAGCGTTCTCCTTTACAGTAACACTTTTCAGTAGTTACACTAAAATAGTTGCTTAATAGTTTTAATTTAGTGGACACTGTTTTGTTAATCCTTGTCGATTGTTTCCAGGTGGCCCGTGCGTAAAGGAGAGGACGTTCATAGCGGTAAAACCAGATGGAGTTCAGAGGCGTCTTATCGGACAAATTATCCATCGTTTTGAGAGACGAGGATTCAAGCTCGTTGGAATGAAACTGTTGCAGGTACTAATAAAACTTTCTTCAAAAATGTGTTTAGGCAATGTGAGACTAGCGTGGGTCAAAGCATTACAAAATTCCTCCCTTCATTCATCTTCTATTGAGCGCTATAAACCATGCGCATAAAACATAAGAAAATACCATTAAACTGAATTATTGCCACAATTTTTCTGAATTTTAATGAATACTTGCTAATGAAGAATATGATTTTGGAACTACTGTGTTCAAGTAATTTCTGAGCCTGAGAATGAAAAATGTTCCCCAACAAAAATCTACCAGACCATGAGCTAAAATTATCATTGAAGTGTGGCCCAAGTCTCTCTAGTTTCTACTTTAACATGAGTCAAAGGGAGACTGGATAGGCACTAAAAAGAAGTTCCAAGGACTGAAAAAAGATCCCTACAGCCCAAAATATCTAATGAAATTCTATTAAATTTGTACAGGTTTCCAAGGACCTCCTGTCTGAGCACTACTGCCAGCTGACCAAGAAGCCCTTTTACCCAGATCTGGTGGACTACATGACCTCAGGACCCGTGGTTGCAATGGTGACTGTTTACATAATATAGTAATTTTAGTACTCAGTTTTGTTATTTACCTAAGCAAAAAAACTCAAGTAAATGTATCACATGGAAAAAATCTGCTCATTAAGCTTCAAATGTTGTGATTTTGATAAAGATTTGTACTGAATTCTGTTCAACAGAAACAACTGAATCAAGTTTTGTTCAATATGTTCCTTGTTTTACTCAAACAAGGAACATATTTAAAAAAATAAACCCTGCAGGCTTTTCTGTAGGTCTCATGCAATCATAAAAAATACTATGTTTACTTTTCAATCCTGTTCAAAAATGTAGTGGACTAAAACGTTCAGATACTTGCTCTCAAATGTAGTAAAGTAAAAGTAAAAAGTATCTGCTTTAAAATCTACCTAAGTAAAGTACAGATACCTAAAATGTATACTTTTTACTCATTACTTTTCCATATAAGGTAAAAAAAAAAAAAAAAGTCCCTTTCCATAATTGAAGGATTTTATACATTTTACTTAACTTTAGGTGCTTTACAATCGATAGTAAACATTGTACCTTTTAAACTGCCTATCCTCCACATTTTACATTTATTATAATTTAATTTTAGTCCAGGTTGTTGGGAAAAGGATTCCAAAAGGTCCAATAAAATTTTTAAACAATGAGATTTAGGGTCATTTGTGTTGTCAGCATACATTGATATTTTTGTTTCTATGTTGTTACTAATAAGTCCTTCAATATTTTTATTCAGTCTAACTTTAATAGCTGATATTTCCATTGCAAAAATAAATAAATATAGTGACAATGGACATCCTTGTTTTAGGGGTACTGACTCTCAGATGTGTCCATTATTAATAATTATACAATTTGTTTAGAGAGCCACCAAAGTTAAAATTAGATTTTTTCCTATAAAATCTAGATTTATTTGATGCCTGTTCTAGAGCTGCAACAAAAATGAGTCCCTTTTTATTCTCTGTATTATAATTTTCAGTTATTTCCAGCAGCTGTCTAATGTTATTACCAATATTTCTATCGTGTAAGAAGCCAGATTGAGCTTGGTGAATGATGTTTGGTAAAATCTAATGTACTTTATTACTTTTACTTCATTTCCACCACTGCCTAGTTTACAGTACCAAGTAGGAGCCAGGACTCTTATGCTTTGGTAACATTAATTAGTCATATTAGTTTTCTTTTAGGCAGTCAGCTCCTTTGTGTCAGTATTATTTTGTATTGATATGCTGTTGTGATCTGTGCTCAGGTGTGGGAGGGGCCCGACATTGTGAAGACCTCTAGGATGATGGTGGGACACACAAACCCAGCAGAGGCCCACGCCGGAACCATCCGAGCAGATTTCAGCTTTCATATCAGCAGGTGAATTAACATTTTTCATATTAAAATGAATTTGCTTTTTGGAGCTTTTAAACATGGTTAAACCTAAGACCACTGTGCGTATGAGAGATGGAAATACTATTGATTTCACTAACCTCACATGGCCTTTGTTCAGACCATAGAGTGTAACGAAGTGAACAAAGGGAGTGTTGAAACTCATGATGTTAGTTTTTATTGGAGCAAATTTGAAGCCAGGTCCATATCAGGAATAGGAATTTATTTATGGACAAAATAGTGAAAATGACGTAAAGTGGGTTAATACAAACATTTTAAGACCAAAATGACGAGAATCACTGCTGTAGTTACAGAGAGAGGGGTGACAAATTTTCGAGTTGATGGAGCCTGAAGCTAGCCAGGCTGGCACCACGTAGTGCCTCCGCTCAATTTTATTTCTCTTCAGTGACTAGGTCAGGAATCAAAATACATTAGACGGTTCTCAAAAACCCCGGAAGTGCGAGTTCGGGCACTAGCCAATTAGTGAAGAGCCATATATCTAGTGTTGTCAACGATTCCCGAGATCGAGGATTTAAAGCCGGAATAAAGAGAATGTTTGATGTATTTCATCAAGTGGAAAGATGTTATTGCCCTTCTTCCTACAGGATTTGGGAAAAGCTTAATATTCTACTTAGCCCTTTTAGTGGCGCATTACATATGTCACAACCAAATAGCAGCGATTGGTTAAATGATAAAAAGTACCCTCCTGTCGTCGAGCAAACAAATTCTAACACTGCGAGTTAGACGGTTTCTATGAAGTGAAACCAGCTGATGAATCAGGCTTGAAGTGCCCCTATGCTCAGTTTCTATTTGAAACACAGCGACTCGTGACATAGCTATGTTCATTTATATATACAGTCTGGTTCAGACTCACCTGTGCTCTCTGGTCTTCTTCTGTCAGGCCAAAGTTGAGCTCAGTCTAAATATACAGGGTTTGTGTGTTAAACGTGTGTGAATAAGACAAACCTCAACTCCAGGTATGCTTGAGATGAGGAAACAACATTACAACAGAGATCAGAAAGTAGTGTAATATGTATGCTTTAATCATAATTACTGGTACTACATTATAATGACCAATAATGACCTTAGCCCAAATAAAGCACAAATAGAAGAAAAAATTCAGGCTTATTAACTACTTAAGAGTGGTTTTAAACTGTTACCTATTCATTATATATATTTATAGGAACGTGGTCCATGCTAGTGACTCAACGGAGGGCGCACAGAGAGAGATCCAGCTGTGGTTCGATGGAAAAGACCTGCTGAACTGGGACTGCATAGACCAGAGTGTTACTAGTGAACTGTGAGGGACCGTAACCCTAACGAACGCAGAGAGGAACCATGATTCTACCTCTTCTCCTGCTGCTCTATCTGTTTTTGATCAGATAATTTGTAACTTAATTGTCAAAATAATTTATATGAGCCAAAGAGAACGTTTTTTTAATGTGTTTATTAAATATATTCAGTACATGTGCACTTCCTGTGCTGGTGCTTCATTACTGGGCTTCAGGTGAAATCACAACATTGTATTGTATTTCTCTATATTGTATGTATTACTAAGATTAAAGCACATATGACAGTTTGGACTACTTATTTCACAGTTAAAGTAAATATATTTAAGATTTACTAAACAAATCTTGCCTAATTTTTTCCTCTTTTTAAAAATTTTGATGAAGTATATAGTTTTATGTCATTGTAGGACATGGACAGAGGATATGACATAATGTAAACAAAGGCTTGTCTAGATTACGCAATAGTTATGATAAGAATAATGAAAACCGACGCCCACACTTTGTTTTTTGAAATAAAATCAGTTCAATTACATAGATAGTTATTCTGTTTTTGTAACTACTATTACTTCTTACTTCCTACTTTTCTTTTGACTTAATTGATATAAAACTATGATAAATATTTACCACAGGTATTATCCCACCAAACCAAGTCATAACTGGAAAAGAAGGAAAAACAGTCATATGCACTAATATGCAGTTTTATGTGTGGTTGGATTATATAGCAGGATTACAGCACAGTAAGTAATTTGTTTCTTATGTCAATCTTTAAAGGGACAGTTTGGAATTTTGGACATAGTGGCTCATTTCCTAGTTAGCCAGAGTGTTTTCCATCCAGTCCTTGTATTTGCAGAGGTTGTTGGTGCTAGGCTAGTGCATGTCAATGGCCATGGTTATTCTGCTAGTAAAAACAGTCTTACCCACTCCACAAAACACCCGAAGCAAATCTATTATTACGCCAGACTGTCGATGTAAATGTCTCTGTTGATATAATAATGACTGAAATAAATCTAACCTTGCATCACATGAATTGTCGCATGTTGAGGGACTATTTTCTCATATATCAGTCCGCCGCTGCCAAGCTTTCTATCAGGAAGTACAACTCGCTGCTGCTGCTCAGACATAAATCTTTCAAATGCAAGGTTGGTTTTATTTCTAAAATTATTCTATCAACACAGACATTCACATCGACAGTCTGGTGTAATAATACATGTGCTTCAGGGGCTTTGTGGAGTGGGTAAGACTGTTTTTAGTAGCAGGATAACTATGGCCATTGACATGTGCTAGCCTAGCACCAGCGACCTCTGCAAATCCAAGGACTGGATGGAATATTTAAAAAAGTGTCTCCACACGTCACTCTGGCTCTCACTCACTAGGAAATGAGGCCCTATGTCCAAAAAAAATGTAAAAAATGTACTGTACAACACATTCCAATATGTCCAACTTTAATAGACATTACTGTTTCTGAATACACCAATAAAATGTAAATACCAAAAACGTATGTTTGATTTATTATGGACTTATTAGTAATACGTTAAAAACTTGGACGTTTTTGATTTAGCTGGAACCAAAAATCCATACTAAGATTATGACATCAAGCCAACTCCGTTTATTTATTTTGGCTCCATCTCTTCACTTTCACAGTATGTTAACAGCTCATTTGTGGATTCTCCATCACACCAGGCCTTCGTCTTCAGAGCCAATCTTCAACTTTTGTTTTTCCATGGCGGCTTCTAGTTCAGAGGCTTTGCGCACATCCTAAATACAGATAAAACGTAATTAATTAAAAGGAACAATTAAAACTTTGGCATGCCAGTTTAAGATGTGATTAATTGAAGCAAAATTTGTCAATAGGAACACATACAGTAGCCTATATTACCGTATTTTCCGCACTATAGGGCGCACTCTTAAGCTTCCAACCCCATCATAAAACGACTGCACACCCTAGCGACCTAGACACGAATCCACTCGGGTGTCCCAGCACGACTTCAGTAAACTACAAAGCCGCACCACCCGCAGCGCACGCAAACACACACGGAGCAGACAGTGACCACGCAGCAAAAAACACCCGCAGCCACACCCATCACTCCACGCGGACAAGGAACGGAACGGAGGAATGAACCGAAAAAGCAAGTGCAATGTGCCACTTCTAGAAACAACTGAACAACTGAGTCACTGTGAACACGCCAACAATCCAGCGGTCCCAGACAGCACCCTCCCTACACGCCACAACTGAACAAAACTGAGAGTCATCGTGAACACGCCAAACAAACTCCGACTGAGCCATTTAACTGTGTTTCATTTAAAGTCCGGTGCGGTTTATTTGTGAAAAAAAGGTCACAGTGCGCCTTATAATCCAGAACGCCCTATAGTGCGGAAAATACAGTACAGATATACCTATTTAAATATTACTCTAATAATACAAGTAGATGTAACACTGTTAAATTATAACTTAAAGGTATATATGTTACCTTTATATTACACAAAATTGACTCTTGTGAGCTTTAAGCCATGTTATAATGATTTTACCTCCTAAAAAACATGACTGAGAGTTGTGTTTTGTTTCATTCACACATGTTAACGTAACCCTTTATTATTAATCTGACAATATCGTATCGTGAGACTTGAATATCATTACATCCCTACTAACAAATCATTTTAAAGTCTTGTGAATTGGTTTCAAAAGTAGGTCATTTCTAAAGACTTCTAAAATGCAAATCTCTTACACAAAGGCAAGAGGCAGATATTGTTAACAGCACTTAGAATAGATTAAATTACTTCAAGCCTTTTTAGAAATATAGTAGAGTAGAAAGTACTCTCAGATGTAGTGAGTCTAAGTATAAGTACAACACAGAGATCCTGACTTGCTTGAATACAGTACTAGAGTAAATCTACTTAGTTACAGACCAACTCCAACTCAAATGATTCTAAATTATGACCATATTTTTCTCTTCATTGCTGTATGACATAGGTACATTTGCGCAAGTGGGTGCAGTGTGTAGTCAGAGATAAGTAACACCTCACCTCCAGCAGGGCCTTCTGAACCATGACCTGGCTGTAGACTCTCGCCCCCTCTTGTGGCGACACTGTGCACAGCTCCCCCTTATTCAGAGAGAACAGCTGCGCTCCGTTCAGAACGCCCAGGCTATTCACTGTCCTGGATGGAGGAGGAAACAAGGTGCAGATTGATTATTGATGCACTATTTGGTTTGTTTATTACAAGCTTTCATGTTTTGCATCAGTTCAGTGGCCGTGTCAGTAGCAGTGAGTCTACCTATGACATGGATACAGAAAATTCTATCCAAAATACAGAGACAAGAAACATTTTTATGACAAATTAAACATTGATTTAACAAAATAAATGTTTTATTTGTCTAATCATAAATATTATGTAATTTAGACAGGTGTTGGTCACTGTTAACATAAGTAATCTCTTTACCTGTGTCATATCTACTCTGTATCCAACAAGAAACACAAATTTCAAACCTCACAGGAATTATACAAAACTAGGCTATTTTTGGTAAAATAAAAAAAATAAAAAAAAATTTGATGAAATATGTTTTAGTGAAAAAGTATTTAAATCTGTTGTATGCACTTTTCCAGTTTCTGATTGGAAGAGTCAAATAAATAAACTCAAGCCAAATCAGCAGAGGTGGAGACCAATTCATGACTTGGACTCGAGTCAGACTTGAGTCACTATTTTTATGATTTGAGACTTGACTTGATAAAATGGACAAAGACTTGGGACTCGACTTGGTCTTGAAGGTCAATGACTTGGGACTTGACTCAGACTTGAGGCCTGTGACTTGAGAAGACTTGATGCTTCTCCTAAAAAAATATATGTTTTTAGAAAATACTTTTCTCTTTACAGTTGACAAATGTGGTGCTGAATTTTACAGAAACAAACTGGAACATTCCCCCTCCCACTTCTCTGTTTGGTACTTTGGATGTAACTGAAGTACTGTGATATGGTGTCCTCAAATGTACTATACATATATATATATATATATATATACAGTACAATACAGTAAAACAGAGGGAAGTACATAGAACATGATCCTTCTATCTCAGTGCAGACTACATGACAAAATAACTTAAATCTGAATTCTTTCTGTTCTGACCGTAATGATTCACACTAAGATCTTGTCAAAACATTTAAAAAAGAAAAAAAACAAAAAACATTTCTACAACTATATAAATACTTGACTTGAACTTATGGGCCAGTGACTCGAGACCCGACTTGGACTTGGCTGCCCTCCTCAAGTCCGAGTCAAGTCCCAAGTCATTGACCTTCAAGTCCAAGTCGAGTCCCAAGTCTTAGTCCATTTTATCAAGTCAAGTCCTAAAAATAGTGACTCAAGTCTGACTCGAGTCCAAGTCACGACTTGCAAGTCCCCACCTCTGGTCACAACTCACGATACTAAAATGTATGTATCGATTAGTATATGACTTTCAGTACTTTTGACGACTCTACCACTGACACCAGATGTAAACACCATTTGAATATCTGTACATCGCAGTAGCTTTGTCCACCTACTGTTCACTGAAGCCTTTACTGGAGAGCCAGGCCTTCACCTCTGGGCAGGGGAGTGATAGTTCAGAGGGGAGGAAGTGTCTGCAGCTTTACTGACCACTGGGGGACGTGTGGATCCTCTCCTACCAGCCAGTCTCTCCAGGAGCTCATCGTTCACTATTAACACTGCACAATAGATAACACATAAGAACAAGCCAGGGTATAAAAGGTCAACATAACATAAAAGATTTAAGTTAAAAGTGCACTACATAACTTCTCTGGTGGAGTGTCTGTCACATTTTTGTCTGTCTCCATGGAGATGTTACTGCTTTGGCAATAAACTTTTCTAACTAGAATTCAAAATATACTAGCATGCTCAAAATATATTGACATTTTTCCAAAGATCTGCCATGTAACTCTGGCCCTTCAACAGACATTTCAGGGCCAAGAAGGTTTTCATGGGCCCCCATCTAATCTCATCTTTTTGAACAAACTATAATGCGTAAAAAAGGAAATAGAAGAGTGTTATGTGATTGTATGTATGTTCACAAACATATAGCACAGTATTTTATATCCCAGATAAATACAGTTTGTGATCATTTTTACAAAAGTGAAAAGTTAATTTGTCAATTTTACTTCAACTTAAGATAAATCTGTGGGTCTTGCTATGAATTTTAAAAGTTAATTTGGCCTTGGCAGAGATTTCTTTGTGTATTTACACTAACATGAAAGATTCTCCAAATGACCATGATCTAACTGACAAGACACACAGTCAAGAGACTTATAACATCTGAAACGTGATATATTGCTTCAGAGAAATATTGCAATTAACAATAACATTAAATCTACTTTATGTCAATGACACAAAACAGGATAACCTTTTTATTAATATACTACAATATGATTAAAAACCTTAGCTGCAACATATAAATGACAGAATAAACCAATAATTAGCCATATAAATGATTTATTCAACTCTCTACTGCTCAAATCTTGCATTATTGCATAAAAATGACAAAAATCTCCCAACTATAGCAAGGAAAGCGATAAATATTGAGCTCCATCATATATTGTTCCAGCTTTCATATAATGAACAATAAGTCAATATAGTAATTATTGTGTCAGGCCAAGTAAAGTCACCAAATACTTGTTTAAATAGAGATTTAATAATATGCAAAAAAACATATTTTTCATATAGTCTGAAAATTTGAAAAAAATGTTTTTGTTTTTGAACTGAATTTGGAATTGGAAGAATCAGGATTGTTGCTAAGGATGGCAAGTGTAAAACAATACCTCTGTTATATTGAAAAAAAATCTAAGTAATGAATGGCACAGTGTATGTGTTAAGGTGTTAGCATCATGGTCTGTTTTTGTGCTTTCTTTGTGCTATTTTTATGCTTTTTGTATGCAGCTTGTACAGCACTTTGTAAACCTTGTTTTTAAAAGTGCTTTATAAATAATGATTAGTTATTGTTATTATTAAGGTACAAGCAAACATTTTACCCCACTATAAGATCAATGTATTCAAATACTAAACAAACCTGCATTCTTGTAATTAAGAAGCATTGCAATATGATAAATCTCCAGTAGAGGGCGTTATGCTGTTAGATTTGTGGGTTCAGTATGCGTTTGTGAATTTTCTGTTGAATTTACCTCTGCTGCTGTCTTCTGCCTGCATGGACATTGGAGTGGGCAGTACCATACTGTGAGGTCGGGCTGGTGGGTTTTCAGAGGTAGGACTATTTTCTACTGCAGTACTGGGGGCATAGGAGTAGTACTTGGAGCGGGGGACCAGGGCTGTCTAAAAAGTAAAAAATAAACAAACTTTTTAATGAACTTAAAAATAAAATACAAATCATATGTAGATCTTTTAAAATGTCATGTTATCAGATCAGAAATTCTATTTTCATTTATTAACTGACACCAGAGCAAAATACAAATGATTTTAAGTTTTAAACAAATTAGAAGCAACTGATTTTAATTTCCAGTGTAGAAATGAAATACTATTGTCTAGCCTCAAATTTGTATTTCACTTTCACAAAAAGCAAAATTTGTGATAAAGTATGTCATATATATATAGATAGATATAGATATAGGTAGACAGATATACATATACATATACATATAGACAGATAGATAGACTTTATATGGATTATATATGATTGGTTATTTGCTGAAACTTATTTAATTTTTTATATTTTATTCTATTCTTTCTAGTCTAACCCCAGTTTCTCTGTTGAAATCACATTTTATTTCTCTTCACTTTTGCCTCCAGTTGAAATGTTGAATGTATTTATTTCTTTTTATTTATTCTTTTACCTTAGTCTCCCTCCGCACCACAGTCACATCATTTTCAGTCTTGTTCAGTTCAGACAGTGGCTCCAGGATGTTATGAGGAACAAAGCCGATCTGGTCAAAGCGATTACGACACTTCCACCAGCGCTTGGATGACTCGAGTACCTGCAGGAAAAGTATTTGTAAGAAGAGAAGTGTCATAGTAGTATTTTATTTTATTTTTTTAATGGGTGTACCTCTAATGTCTCCCCCTGCAGGACAGAAAGCTCACTGCTGTTACGCGCCACAAAGTCGTAACTGCAGCAGTACAAGCGCTCCCCCTCTGGCAACCCATTTCCATCTCTGAAAAAAACAAATCAGAAGTTTTATTAGGCAGATTAAAGAGCAAAAGGAGACAAGCAGAGGAGACCAATAAGCCAGATCTGTGGAGAGGCGACCCCACTCACAGTAGGAGTCCATGTTTTGCTAGGTATTTTTGAGCTATAAAAACACCTGCAATTGAACACATGCAAAATATAATCTACATCTGAATGATGATATCATTATAATGTTGTTTTGTCATCAGAAATATTCCCGGAGTTGTTTTGTTTCATTCACACATTTAACACAAATCCTGTATAGTCCAATGAGGTTCATTTGGTCTTTTGATCATTTATATTATTGGGTAATTTTTTCAGACCAAGAGATTGTTTTCATACCTGACAGTTTTGACTGCTCAGTAGCGGTCTTCCTCAGAGTGATCACGTGATGTTGCTGTGACGTTTCCAGTCAGATGATTTATACAGGTTTTGGCGCTGTCTTCCTACTGGTGGAGGAAGGATGACAGCGCCATCTGCAGTCCAACTTCGTTTGGACAGTATCCTAGGTGTGTGAGAGTAAATAAGCCCCCTTGTCCCAGTTTATAGTCCCTTGGGCACGTTTCTAAGGAAATCGGAATTCAGTACAGTAAAGGTATGAAAACAAACTCTTGGTCTGAAAAAAATAACCTAATAATATAAATTATCAGAAGACCAAATGAACCTCATTGGACTAAACAGGATTTGTGTTAAATGTGTGAATGAAACAAAACAACTCCGGGAAAACATTACAATAATAACATAATTCAAAGGTAGATGTATATTTCACATGTGTTCAATTGCAGGTATTTTTAAAGCTCAAAAACTGTGAGTGGGGTCGCCTCTCCACAGATCTGGCTTACTGGTTTCCTCTGCTTGTTTCCAAAGAGATAAATACTAGGGATGTAACAATATCCAAATCTCGCAGTACGACATTAACATGATATGCATCTCATGGTACGATATTTAGGAGGCTGATATAACTGTAGATTGGACACTTTTTTGCTTTTAAATTACCTTGACAAGATTTTGGAGTGAATTATTTCCATCATAATCCTAAGAAAACACTGTGCCATCTTGGAATATAATATTGCAGTATAGGAAGTGCTGCTCCACTGTGTTTTTAAACTCCATACACATACATAGTCATTTGAATAATTTCAGCCAATCTCTACTGAGCAAAAGATAGAAAGTAGCTGTTAACTTGAAAACTACAGCTTCATGACAGACATAACGAGACAGACTAACAGACAGACTAATAATAAAGGATTACCCAAACAATGAGTAAGAGACTTAAACATGGCTTGACAAGAGTCAATTTTGCGTAATGTGTTGAAAATCTTCTGACTAATTTGTTAACACTGGTTCCAAAATAAGCAAACATGTTCTCTGTACAGGTTCCACTACCCTCGTGTACTGATTAATGACATGACTGGTTTACTGTAAGTTATTTCCTTGCACTCGGAAAGTCCCAGCTGAAATATTTCCTGTACTTTTAGTAGTTTTATGTAGTGTAGATGGAATTTAAACTCTTCCTATCTCTGTCCCTGTCAAGATATAAAGTAAACATGTACAAAAATCTATACACTTCAAATCTTAATAACACAATAATGATGTAAAGGTTTGCTTTGGGTTGCCAGATTCTACAACTTAGTATTTATGTCGGGAGTGTAAAAAAATATTAATGTAGGCAGCACTTAAAAAGAGCAAGGGATCATGGTCCTTGTAATTCAACAGTCTAGATTGTTGCATTAACGTGAGAGGAATGGAGTTTTAAATGTTTAATATTGTGTGTAAAGCAGAATGAGCTTCCTGGTTTGGGTTGCCAGATTTGACAGCTTACTCACAATTTTTTTTAAAGCAAATGGCCATCCCAATTTGTGCTGTGATTGATTTTTTGTACTTATTGCACTATAAAATGTAATCTTTTAGCAATTTTGGTCAAGGGTGCAAGTATAGTGCTTTTTTAATTGGATCCCCATTACTAAATTAACAACAGGTACTCTTTCTGTACACGTTAGTGCCAGATAAGACTGTCAAAAGTATCGAAAAATAGAAAGATAGTAGAGAGTGTTTTTATTAGCAGAATCAGTATTCAGTCTATTCCATAGTATCGAAATTGCAGTTTTTGCTGATTTTAAGGATGGATTCTTGCTAATTTTCCTTCCTAACTCATAAGTTTGAATTAAAGCCCTACAGTATATTACAGTAAATACATTTTTCTGTTCAAATCCCTCACGTTTGATCAGTCTCTGTGGCCAGCTCCTTGGCTCTCTGGGCCAGTAGACTCTCCATGAGCGCATCCTCCTTGTGCTGGGACTCTATGGGGTCCTCCACAGGCTGACCGGTCGAGTCAAACTCTCCAGGCTGCCACCCGTCCAGAAACTCAGGGCTGTACGGAGCAACGGACACACCCAGATGAGACCTGTCAGGGCAAAACCAGAGTCAGAAGACAAGCTAAGTTAGATTTAGACTTACTTAGACTTAGACAAACTTCATTGATTCACAAGGGAAATTTCTTGGACACAGTAGCTCACACATCACAAATAATACAATAACAAAGAGAAAATATATAAATGGTAATAATAAACTCTAAATAAGCAAAAACAGCAAGTGACTGGTCTCAAAACAAGTAAAAATAAAATAGAATTCAGTAAGGAATTAAGGAAAACAGTAATTATATGAATGACAGGATATCGGTTTATTTGTTACACAAAGGTGAGTTGTTGTACAGTTGTAGGGAGTATTATCTCTTACATAAAGGTGAGTTGATGTATGGAGTATGGTATGAATGTAGTCCTGTATCTCTCACTTTTTGAGAGCTGTAGGAGCTGGTCGAGAATGAGCTCCTTAGGTGAAAGCACAATATACACACTATTTTTAACTGTAAAGGGTTTGAAGTGTTTTTGTTATTTGTTATTGCTACAAACGTATTTAGGTAATAATAGTCTGCGGTCTGGTGCACCGTGGAGTTTAAGCTGGACTAAAAACAACAGCTGCTATGTTAAAAGTAGCAATGCATCTTAGTTAAGGCAATCTGAAACCTGAAACGAACACTTAAAGAAAGGTGGAACAGAACTTACACTGATATTTAGTTTTAGTTTTTTTTTTTGTCTTTGTGCAGTATTTTATTTACATTACCTTACTACTCTTTTTTTTGTCTACGTAAATGGGCTGTGAGCTATTGTGGTCCTATATCTCGCCTTGTGGATCGATAAAGTTTACCTAAAAGCCTAAGCACTGACCGGGCTGATGTCCAGTTGTGTCCCAGAGAAGTCCACAGCTCCCTCTCGTCTGCAGTGAGCTGGTCCTGGAGCAGAGACACGGCTCCAGTGGTCAGGGCCGGACTGACCACAGAAGCCCCCAGCTCTGGTCCAGTGGTCTTCACCATCTGTCACACAAACTCTGCTCAGTATGGCTAAGAGTATGGCTTGTGTAACTGAAATGTATTTGTAGTACCAGTCTAAGAGGTACAAATATGTGATGCAGGAGATCCGGAGCGCTGGGTTCTGATATTGTGGTCTTCAGTCGATCCTGCAGATGTAATAAAATATAAAATACAGTTGGGGAGAGGCCCACTGTACAGTGTGGTATAAAACAACATGTTACTAATGCACATTTTGTAAAATACAAATTAAATGTTTTATTTTTTTGATTTTATTTTTTTTATCATAGATATGTAAACTTAAAGTCCTAAAATAATTAAAACATTTTCACGTAGGGTGTAGTGAAATAAAGCAAAGGACCATGTTAGTGCAATATATTGTTGCATTAACTTGAGAGGAATGGGGTTTTAAATGTTCTATATATTGTGGCGCTTATATCAAAATTTGGCCAGAATGTTTCAGTCGATGATACAACTGTGAAATAAAAAAATAAATTCTAAATGCTACATTTTATGAAAAAGCACTGAAAATTTCAATGGGATAGATAATTTCCAAATAATTGCACCATGGGGACAAATACTTATTTGAAAATAACTGAATACTGTAAATTGACCCCTAAAAATTATATATTTGTTTAGTGAGCATGTACTACAGGTCTTACAAACTGATTTGTTCCATCTCAGTTCCCATTCAGTTCCAAAATCCCAAATGGGCTAAGGATGTCAGGTCATACCCACACTTAGAGAATTACAAAATGTGGTACAAATTAGACAATGAGGATTATTGGAAACAATTTCACAGTTGTATCACCAACTGAACAAATATTGCACTAATCACTATTGCTGTATAAATATATTAAATAAACAAAAATAATGCAATAAAATAATCTCACCAGTAGGCTGAAGGAGTACTTAAACTTCTGATAGATGTCCACAAATTCATCTTCTTTTGGAGGACAGGCCTTCATGGTCAACAGGTCATCTGCACAAAAAGATGTATCATTTCAGCACTGCATAAAATAAAGTATGTTTTTACTCAGGATACATTATAATGACTAAAAGCTAAAAATGATTTTTCATGTGGAGAAACTATAAATACATTTACATGTGTTGAAATCAACACCTTACCCTCCTTCTCCACCTTCTTTTTGCTCCTCCTCTTCTTCTTCCTCTGGTTGAGAACGCTTTGAGCCTCTGCTGTTTGCTGTAGCCGCAGCATGAATCGCTCAATATCGTCAAAACAGTGGTTCAGGATTTCCTATAATACAGTTCATACATTATTCATATGAACCATTATTTATTATTTATTATTTATTTCAGTAGGTTGTATTTATGACATTCTAAAATTCAGAAAAAGTTGTTAAACCTCGTTCCACAAACTTCCCACACTGAAGTCGTACTGTCATGCTTGAATAAAGGCACCACTTTTTAAAGCCATATCTATTTCATGCTGACACAGAAGAATTTTTTTTGACAGTTTTTGTTTTATTATGTGGATAGAAACAGAGATATTAACCATAAACCAGGTTAAAACTGCATTTTGACAGCAAGGAGGCACCTTATTTTTGAAGGTTTTCTGGTGTCTGCTTGTTCCCATGGAGATGTTATTATTTTGCCTGAAATGATGGATGGATGTTCCACAGTATGGCAATGTCTTAACAATGCACGGCAAAATGAATTGTCACGATATTCACAAGTTCACAAACTCACAAGAATCCATCGCGGCATTGAGGATTGATAATGTGTAGAACTCAATTCAGAGTGGCATACATACAGTCTATATATATTTACACAATTACGGGAATTTTTAAAAGTTATACAGTGCACATTTAAACTATGGGTAAAGAAAGTTGAGATGTCACATGAACCCAACCCAAACTATAAATACGTACAACTTCTTTTTCGGAGTTCACTGACGATTGTCCATTGTTGTTGGTCGATCTGGGGTCCATCTCTAGACAGCAGCACATGAGCCGTTAGACTTGTATACACAATAACACAGGAGCTGCTGATTCATGGATAACTTCTTGTTGAAAGCAGGCAGGACACATGTAATACCTTTAGCAGGGTCCGGGAATGCTGGCAGGATGCTGGGCAGGGACTGGTCATCTGGGCTCAGCATGACGCGAACCCCCGAAGGTTTCCTGGGAACCACCGGTGGAGGGACAGACATCTATACAAAATGTAAAGAGAATGTTTTAAATGTTGTCTACAAGTATATGACTAAATTTCTGGACTTGTGGGTAGTGTTGTCAAAAGTATCTAAAAATCAGATATTAATCGATACTAAAACTAGTATCGCAAGTATATTCACGGGACAGAAATGAACCTTTCCCCAATAGCTTTAGAAAGAGCACATAGATTAGTATACGCCCATGGACCACATTGAACCTACCTGGACCACTGAGAGATTACATAGATGTAAGGCCACATATAAAAGAAAGTACTATGATTTAATACTGAAAATCACATTCTATTGTCTAAATAAAGAAGAGTTGACCAGGTTTTGTATTCACCCTGTGTGTCTGTGTGTGTGTCTGTCCACCCGCGATAATTCCACCACTTATGAACCGACTGTCACCAAATTTGGTACGGGGTCAAGCTCCCATGCCCGATGTCGCAAAAAAAAAGTTTGGTGATGATCTGAGGTAATTTGAGGTCACACGGGTCAATTGAAAGGTCACGCCAATATAAAGGACAGGCAATTTCGGCAATTTCTGAACCATCTGCGGGCTAAAATATTCACCCAGTCATCACACAAGTTGGCACACACATAACCGGGATATGGGCTGGGCTCCTCATAAGCTGATTCCGTGGTGATGAACTGCCCCCATCGATGCCTCATGGGGGACCAGGTTGCTATTTCTGATTGCGCTTGTTTTTTAATATTTTCACCGTAGTATCATAATCAGTATTGAGTATCGAGTCTATTCCTTAGAATCAAAATCAAGTTTGAAATTTTTGTAATATGACAACATTATTTGTGGGTTTACAGTCTAGTCACTTGTGAATTTACAGTCTAGTCACTTGTGAATTTACATTCTAGCCACTTACTCTTCAAAATTTTAACCTCAAGACTAACCACAAGACAGTCATGTTCAAAAGTGCACTGCATAATTTGTGGTGTGCTTGTCTCCATGGAGATTTTAAAACATTGACTGGAATGTTTCACAGTACAGCCTTCAAATTATCTATCTCTCATTTATTCAGTTACATTTTTTTGTTTTGTTTCTGAAATGCTTTTAAAAACATGCATGAATTAACCCTTGTTTTATACAGTATGGCTACTAGATTTGTTACAATTGAATGTTCGCAGATCGCAATTATTAAAGTTTTAAGCCATGTTATAATGTTATTACCTCATCTCAGCTCCTTTAACCTTTAGCTCAGTAGAGATTGGCAATTCCAGAGCTGAAATTATCCAAATGATTCACGTGAAGGTGTATGGCATTTAAAAACACAGTGGAGCACTTCCTGTAATTGGTGGTTTCATCGTGCTCATGTCACACTCTCAGTTTTTTCCTTCTGATTACATTGTACTTTGCCATGAAATATCAAGAAAGTAAATTCCCAAAAATGGACCCTGATCATTTCTATTACTGACTAGACCCAAGACCCTGTTATATTACAACAAACTAGGGGTGTAAACAATAACGGAAATATCGTGATATCGTATCGTCAAAAGTCTCAAAATAATATCGTGGGCTGTCACAATATATCAAATTACAAGTTCCTTTGCTTAAATGCATGGTTTTATAGTAGCAACAGCTTATAAATATCAGGAACTACATATGCCATGATTCAGTTCAGCACAGACAACACGAAGTAATATGTATTTTACTTGAATTCTTGGGATTAATATGGAAATAATTCACACCAAAACCTTGTCCAGGTATTTTAAAAGCAAAAAAGTGTCCCATCTACAATTATATTATCCTCTTCAAAATATCATAATAAATATCGTACTGTGAGATGCTTATTGTGGTAATAACGTACGTAACAATCTGTATTAAATAATATTGGCATAGAGAATTTGAAACCCAACAATACCACATGACATCACAAGTTGTCCCGGTATGTTTGTGATGACGCAAATGCACATAACTAAATATCCTTTAAAAACCTGCTTATCCTGTGGTTTAGACTTCTACAAACATGTTGTGAAAAGCATGTGACTCTTGTATTAGTTTATCAGTTCATATTTCAGTCTTCAGTCTCAAATGTTAGTGCTCTTGGATGCGTCTAAAGGTGCATTGCGTAACTTTTCTGCTTGTCTCCATGGCGATGTGATTGCTTTGCCTCCATGGTGTGACATTAAACTTATACATCTACTCATTACATGTGTTTCTATCGCTAAAAAATACAATTATTCCTTCAGTGCATAGGGGAAACTCTCCATAGATCTGAATTGTAGTATTGTGTAGTGCTGTTAGAGGTCTACGTGGAACATTTTCAATCCCACTCCAGCGCCACCTAGTGCCTCCGCTCAATTTCATCTCTCCAGCGGCTAGGTCAGGAATTGGAATACACTAGACGGGTCACATAAACCTCGGAAGTGTGAGTTCGGGCACCAGCCAATCGGCGAAAAGCTATACATTCTGTGTTGGCAACGATTCCCAAGATCGAGGATTTAAAGCTGGAACAAAGAGAATGTTTGGTGAATTTTATCAAGGGGAAAGACGTTATTGCACTTCTTCCTACGGGATTTGGGAAAAGCTTAATATACCAGTTAGCCCCGTTAGCAGCGAATTAAATACATCATGACCAAATAGCAGCGATTGGTTAAATAAAAAAAGCACCCGCCTACCGTCAAGCGAATGAATTCTAATGCTGCGAGGTCAGACGGTTTCTACTAAATGAAACCAGCTGATGAATCAAGCTAACCTGCACCCGCAAAGAATTGTAATTTTCATTCTCGCTCTTGTCCACATCTGTGATAATTTGTCTCGCTCCTGCCTGCAAATCCTGCAAGCTGGGGACATTCGCTGGGGATGGAGAAGCAGAAAGGAATTGTCTAAAATGTGCTTGAGATTAGAACACATCCACACATTTAGGCTGCTTAAAATGTTTTTCATTCATGCCAAATAAAATGTCCAGCACAAACTATGTATGATAGGCAAACATTCATCATTTGTATATTTTACTTCACACTTATTTTTAGTTTGCAGTCCAGCTCCCGCAATGAGCTTTAGAATGTGCAGGTGCAGGGCTCGAAGTGCTGTAACTTGCTTGTCTCCTTTGTGATAGATAGGTTTAATCTATATTGTGGAACATTCCAGACAAAGCAGTAACATCTCCATGGAGACAGGCAGGTAGCAGACCCTCTACCAAAAAGGTTTTGACAGTGCAACTTTAAAATATGAATGTTGAATATAATCTGAATGTTAAAATCTCAAATTAAAAACTGCAAATCGGTATTTTTTTCCGATTAATCACTTACATTCCACACACAATTTTCTAAACTAACTTTATGATTGACAACCTTTCTGCTCTCCAGTTTGATTGTGTCATTGTTTCGATTTATGTCCCAGCATTCCACAGGCTGCGCTCAAGAATGCCAGGTATCCGGAAAGAATACGTTTTACTTTGTGCTCAGCTTGGTGACAGGTCCACGCTACAGGAAAAACCACTATCACTTAATGTGTGGTATGCGCCTGACACAATACCCCAAACCTGACTGAAACTGTGCAGGTTCCTGTGAAAGTGTCAAACTCTGTACTGATTCTCTGCAAAACTATAAACTTACAGGTCCAACATTACACAAAATTGACTCTTCTGAGATTTAATCCATGTTATAGTGTTGTGACCTCATCAAAAACACACCCAGAGTTGTGTTTTGTTTCATTCAAGCATGTTTGAGTAATTCTTTATTATTAGTCTGTCTACATCTCCAAAGCTCTAAATGGTCTGTTCCACCTTGTGATGTCATGAAGCGGTAGTTTTCAAGTTGACATCTACCTTTTAGCTTTTGTTCAGTAGAGATTGGCAGTTCCAGGGTTGACCTTCCACAGGTTTTTCTTGAAAACAGCTAAGTGCCTCTCCTCCAACGCACGTGCCCCCAGTCAGGTGTACAGAGTCTACACAGAAAAAAGGGCTGAAATTGTCCAAATGTTTCTAGTGAAGGCGTATTACCACATGACATCACAAGGTGGAACAGAGGGTTTTCCATTTAAGAGAAGAACTCAGTCTAAATCTTCAGGGTTTGTGTGTTAAATGTGTGTGAATGAAACAAAACACAGCTCCAGGTCTGTTTGTGCTGAGGAAACATTATAATATAGAACAAAAATAGGCCCTTTAACAAAATTATTTCATTTTGGCTATTGTACCTTTTAAAATAATAAACAATAAACTCCTTAGAATACACATGTGTGACCTTTAAAGTTGCACCATGTAACTGCACTGGCGTAGAGTCTGTCATCTGCTTGTAACCACAGAGATATTATTACTCTACTCAGAATGGCATTAAACCTTTCCAGCTCACATTACCAGTGGTATTATTGCTTAAAATACTTTGAAAATCTCCACAAATCTGACCTGTAACTTGGCCTGCTGCCCTACCTTCTTGCCTCACTTTCTTGACTGATAGAAACATGTATTGCCATGTCACATTATGTCAAAGCAATAACATTTCCATGGAGACAAGCAGCTGGTGTTGCCTCATCAGAAAAGCTCCACAGTGCACCTTTAACATCACATTCAAAAACATTTCAAAACTTTTGCCAACTTAGACTTGAAATAATGAAATAAAGAATAGTTAATTGCAAGTGAATATTTTTAACATGTCAACTAGAAGCATTAATATTCGAGAGAAAACTTAAATTAAACTTACATTGAACTGCTTAATCAATGCAAGAAACACAAGCATTTGTCGAGGTCTAATTTACAAGATGTCAATCAATCAATTTACAAGATATTTTGTTGTCTACAAGCAGACATTACATTACCTATATGAATCATTCAAATTATAACTGCATCCTATTACCCTATTATGCAAAATTGACTCTTGTGAGCTTTAAATTGTTATAATGTTGTTGCCTGGAGTTGTGTTTTGTCTGTGTAATCCTGCATTCCTTATTTTTTTTAATTTAGTTTTTCTCCAAAGCTCAAAATGCACTGCTCCACCTTAAGATGTCATGAAGAGCTAATTTTGAATTTAACAGCTACTTTTTACCTTTTGTTTTGTCGAGACCAGCAGTTCCTGTGACTGAAGTTATCCAAATGATTCTAGTGAAGGCGTATGGAGTTTAAAAACACAGTGGAGCACTCACTGTATTACCACATGGCATCACAAGAGCAGAGGGTTTTCTGTCTGAGAGAAAATTTGAGTGTTAAACATGCATGAATTAAATAAACCACAACTCCAGGTATGTTTGTGATGATGAAACAACATAACAGATCAGAAAATAATGTAATATGGGTCCAAAATCCCACATACACACACAAAACTCACACATATTCGATTCTAATAAATATATTCTCAACATTTAGTTCATCAGCAAAGCAAAAAAACTAACAACAGCATTTTGTTTTTTTACATTTTGAGTTTGAATCATGCCCTTCCAGAAATAATCCTCTACTTACCCTGACTTGGAAGTGATACAACAACTAGCACGGCCATGCAAAAATAACTATTCGTCAAAACTGAAAAGTACATAAGACAGTCCAGACTCATTCACATACACACGCCCATATAACCAATCCAATAACAAATATATGGCTCATACATCACTGTACCTGTGCAGGGCAGGGTGCAGATCCTACGTTTAGAAATCTTGAGTACTGCTTAGCTTATCCTGTTTACAAGAGGCCAGCCTACCTCCTACAGAGATATGCAAGAACCAGAAAAACAAGTCGGGTACTCTACGGCTGGTTCTCCTGCCCCTTTCACTATCTGATACTACAAATCCCTCCTTCCAATTCTTCACTGTGTACATCTTAAAATCATGTGTTGCTTGAGATTTTTAAAATGTGGTGTTGTTTTGAGATTTCAAATGTGATTAAAATAGAGATTTTTTTCATGGCCGATGCCGATGTTTGTAATCCAGATAAATCAGCAGCCGATAAGGTCTGCCGATATTTTTGGGTCGATATGTAGAGCTGATTTAGATCCTTTTCCCCACTTCAAAGAAATCCACAAACCTGTTTTACTACAAAGTGGATAAGAGAGCAGTTTAGTCATGTTTTACGCAGTGTCTCTTCGGATTAACGTCATTCAATAAAGTGTGATGCCTATTCTTTATTCATTACTCTGGTTCGCCCTAAATATCAGCTTCTGGAAGAGATTTAAAGATGCATACTGAAACTTTTCTGGTTTAGGGTCAGCTGCAAGGCTGGTTTTCATAATAAGTATTTTCTTGCTTTCCTTGAATGTTTCACAGCATTCAGCTTTTCTATCTCCATGGAGACAAGAACGCCACTAAGGGTGTGCAAAAATATCAGTAACTGTAAATCCGCTACAGTTTTGTTGCTTGTTCAAAGAAAGAAAACTTGTTTATGCAACACATTTGACATTTTCACTGTTGTGGTGATTAAAATGTTTGTGTTTCATATAAACTTTGCATAAGAAGTGGTTTAACAAAGACTTCACAGCCATGATTTAGTCTTTATTTTTTATTGACCCATATTAAATTAATTTGAAATATATTGTATCAAACTGAAAGATCACTGTATCGAGATATACATCGTATAGTGGCCTATGTAACGAAGTATGTATCGTATCAGCAACTTCTTAATGATACCCAAAAACTAAATACTAGATGCTAAATGCCACCAGGCCAAGTTATTGGTCAGATCTGTGGAGAGGCAAGCTCGCCCTTTTTCAGTGTATTTTTGAGCAATAAAAACACATTGAACTGAATAAATATTTGAAAGATAAAATTCAATACCATAGTGTGGAACATTTCTGGGAACCCTAATAACACAGCACAGTAATAAGCACAGTAGTAACAAAACCCCAAACAGAAAAGTTGCACAGTGCACCTTTAAGGCCGATTTGCTAAAAAGTGCAAGTATCGGCCCAATTGAAAAAACTAAAACGTGGCTGTTTGCTGCAGGCGTTCCAATCAGTAAGAACAGTCAAATGGGGCTCTTGGAAAAAGGATCACAACTTTAGACAGAATAAAATCCAGGCACTCCATGCAATGTTGCATGAGGAAAATATAAATATATCAAATGTAAACAATATAAAATAATATAAAATATATATCGGACCAATATATTGACCAACAAATTGCACAATTTAGGACAAAAAAATTGTAATTTAAATTTAATTAAATTTAATTGCATTTTTTTTTAGAATTTCCAATTAGCAATTTATATTTTCAAATCAGGATTCAGTTCACATGATATGAAGTACTAAATTAATACAAGAATACCATGCATTTCTGAACATCTTTGCAGAGGTTTAAACAAAAACAGGATATTTTTGGACTGTTTAAATAATACAGTATTTGTGATTTTATAATTGTGGCCATTCAGTATTTCAAATTCGATTCAAAATTCAAATTAAACCGTAATGAATTGAGCAGTCAACAAAATGCCACTGTTGCTATAAAAGGTAAAAGCTATTGTAATGCTAATGTGAAGGTGAGCAAATGGACTTTAAAAACACTGAAGAGCACTTCCTAGGTGATAGTTCTGTTACTATAAATATTTTTTTAAATACATGACAGATGGAACAATCATTTTTGAGAGTCAGTATTTATTGTGGATGCTTTTTCTTTGTACTAGTGAGGAACTTTCTGTAATTTGTTGTACTTTTCTGAAGATTTCAGTTGAAGAAGACTGAATAAATAACTTGACTCATTAAGTGTTTGATTGATTTATTGCAGCTCATTTACAATACTGTACATAAAGAATAATTTTTTTAGGGGTAAAATCATGTGGTGTGTCAGTGTCATAATGGCATTCAGTATTATTGTTTATTGTCGTCATATTTTCTTCACCAATATATCATACTTCAAAATTTGTTATCGTGAGAGGCCTACTGGCTGATGGATTACCCTTCATGACATCATTATATCAAGTAGCACAGAGCATTGAACTATTTAGAAGAAAATATACTGCCGGTATGTTCTTGATCATTATAATGCTTAAAATTTATACAACAAAATCTGTTTATAAAATGGGCCCTTTAAACTTGCCTGCTTCCTGTGACATATGTTTTGATGAGTGCCTCTGGAGACACTCAGAGACACATGCCTTTGCTGTAAAGTAATGTATGTTATCTTTAAGTAAGTGTACAGCCCCACAGGCACACGGAAAAGCAAGTTTGGCTTTTCTTACTGAGCTAGAAATGCCTTAATGGAAACTTAAATGTATTTGATTGTTAAGACATTTTAAAGGTGCACTTTTGTAACACTTCTGGTAGATGGTACAGTGCCCGCCGCTCTCTCAGGGCAAATCTGTGGATAAAAACACCTGTAATTGCTAAGTGCATATAATCAGCTTTTTATCCATCCATTTTCTTCTGCTTATCTGAGGATGAGTCGTGGGGGCAGCAGTGTAAACAGGGACTCCTAGACTTTCGTTTCCCCAGACACTTCCTCCAAGTGAGAATCCAAGGCGTTCCCAGGCCAGCTGAGAGACAAAGTCCTTCCAGCCTGTAGTATTCCCCAGGTTCTCCTCCCATTGGGACATGAACACCTCCCCAGGAAGGAGCCCAGGAGGCATCCAGCACAGATGCCCAAGCCTCAGCTGCTCCTCTTGTATGGAGGAGCAGTGGCTCTACTCCGAGCTCCTCCCATGTGACTAAGCTCCTCACCCTATCTCTAAGGGAACGCCCAGTCATCCTGCAGAGGAAACTAATTTCAACAGCTTGTATTCATGATCTTGTCCTTTCAGTTATTACCCAAAGCTCACATGACCATAGGTTAGAGTAGGAACAAAGATCTAAACCAGGACTAAACCAAGACCACACCAGGGACCATAGATGAGAGTAGGAACGTAGATTGATTGGTAAATGGAGAGCTTTGCCTTTTGCCTCAGCTACTTCTTCACCACAATGCTCCAATACAGAAACCGCATCACTGTATATGCTGCACCGATCCATCTGTCATTCTCACACTCCATCCTTCCTTCGCTCGAGAACAAGACCTCGAGAGGAAGGAACTCTCCACCCACCCTCTTTTTATTTCCATTTTTGTTAATTTACAGTCACAATTTTAAGACATGCACATTTTCTTCATACGATTATATTTGACATGATTGTGAATAAATATGCAAAATATTAAATGCAATAAACTAAATGTGACTTTTTCCAGTTTGCACATCTATTAACGATAATCTACGGGCCTTCTTTATAGAGCAACACAAATAAACTTGCCAAGAGGATACGAATTCAACGTGCGTAAAATGGATCGGGTCATATTACCGTAACTGAACAGCCGCTGGAAGACGCATTTTTGCAAAGAGGTGAATAGCGCCATCTGCTGGTTACAGACTAGTCGCACCATTGCATTCAATCTTTCCTGTTGACATTAGACGCGCGCGACAGCTCAGCAAATCAGTCAAGCAAGCGGACATAATCAACAGGGGATTTACAGTGTTGTTATAAAGTTTAATTTAACCCTGGTTGGGAAAAGTTTTACGTACTGGTAACAAATATCCTGTGACCATATGTTTCTAGAATATCAATTAATCTACAGAGGAGGGCGACAAAGTTAAAAATAGCCTAAAACACACGAAATTTTATTTTATAGTGTAATTTTATCTGTATGAATAATCAAGATTCGTTTCGCTTATTTCTTGTCCTCTGTGCTGTGCGGCTTATTTACGCACGCGAAATCAATGCGCCTATTGTTCTAAAATGACAAAAATGTATATTGTAATTAAATCAGCAGAGTGGAAATTCTTGAGAAAAGTCGTATACATAATCCACATATTGCTTATTTCTGTGCGCTAACTGTTTCTGGATAGCGTACAAGTCTCCACATTACGCAGTGTTTTTGGACATGTGCAGTACAGTGTGTTCACATGTCCAACCCCACTCGCCCTTTTTGGGGAGTCAGGTCATCCCCCTCCCCGCGCTCATTGGTCTTCCCCGTTACTGTATACGATCTGCTGTCTCAGCTCACGCTCAACGACGCACTTTGTTTGAGTTGACTGACACGGGCAAGTCAACAGAAGATTGACCAAACGTATGGAGAACGAATAAAAAAAGCTGAGCGATTTTTTTATGCAAACTGGACAAGGAGACGTGGCGAGTTGAGAGAGTGACGGCGAGGACTTGTTGGAAACTCTACTCCGCCGTGGGACCAGTGGTAACTAAGTATGTCCACACACAACACTAGTTCTATTATAGACTACCAGCACCAGACCAGCACACTCACCGCTCAGTCACTCAGGGTTTAGCTGTGTCAACTTAACATGTGGGGATTAGTGTACCTACAAGTTACCATTTGCTCAAACAGAGTTATCTACGCGCTGCAGATGTTTTTCCTCACACGTGCCATCAGATAGTGCGCTTTAAAGCCAACATTAAATAGGCAAAGCACGTGGGCTGTAATTGTTCTATGCGTAACTTTTGGCAAATTACTGCACATGCGTCTACGGAGACATTTGAGCTTTTTTTTTTTAGTAAGCAAGGCTAGTGTGATTTAAAGGCGCGTTTTCTAGCTTTTCTGATGGAGGGTAGGCCACCTGCTTGTTTCCATGGAGATGTAGAATGCTTCACAGTATGGCATTAATCGATCTCGATGAACACTGCATCACCAGATCAAGTTATGTACAGTATTTTAGCAATTAAACACCTGTAATGGAATAAATGCGAGGTATTTAAATGCCATACTGTGGAACATTCAATGTAAAGCAATGACATCTCCATAGTGGATCAACCACACAAGAAAAGTTACATTTTTCACCTTTAATTTTAAGTTAGAGTAAGGTAAACATAAGGAAAAAAAACATAAATCTTAACATGATGAGGCTTTGTATGTTTAGTTTATTTCTTCTTTTTTTTTTTTTTTTATAAAAGGTGCACTGTGTAGCATTTCTAGTGGGGGGTCCGCCCCCTGCTTATCTCCATGGAAATGTTATTGTTTTGTCTTGAATGTTCCACAGTATAGATCAGACATGTCAAACTCAGGCCCGGGGGCCAAATTTGGCCTGCGATATAATTATATTTGGACCACAAGATCATATCAAACAGGTATTAGAACTGGCCCGCCGGCTACAGATAGGCTTTAGGGACATTATTTAGTTAAAATGTTGTTATTATTTTGTATTCTGCTTGTTCTGGATTCAGTGTTTAAGCAAAAATATTATTAAACATGTAATTTAATAAGAAAAGGTTTAACATTACATATCTCAAAAGAAGAGAAAACATGCAGATGTTGTTGAAATTTTTCAATAAATATTTAGTTTGGCCCACAACTTAGTCCCAGTTTTTAATTTCGGCCCTCAGTGAATTTGAGTTTGACACCCCTGGTATAGGTTAAACCTATCTATCACGAGACAGGTAGGTGACAGCACTACGCTACATTACAGTTCTGTGGAGTGTCGCCCCTATTCAAGGAAGAATTGTATGTGTTTTTGGGTGATAGAAACACCCGTAATGAATAAACGCTAGATGGATATATTCAGTGTCATACCAGGCAAAGCAATAACATCTCCACGGAGACGGGAAAGTTACGCGGTGCAGCTTTAAACTCAGTGTGTGGATATCAGTTACTCCTGTGTGTTAGGGTTACGCAACAACGTGTGGTGTCTGTGAAGGCTAGAGTAACATGTGAACGCATGTGTCTACCTGCTCTCTGTTGGCTCATGTCCCTTTTGGATACGTTTATATGGTCTGTAAATCGCTCACGCTGTTTAAAGAATACAAACGTCTTTAACAGATGTGCCTATCCTTTACTCTTATTACATTATTGTGTTATGATTTCTGTGCGGATCTGGTAGTGCTCACTCTCTGTGTAATGATTTACGATCTAGAATGCCTTGTTACACTGTTGCTACTGTATCCGTCTCCAAAAATGACCAGGATGGATTACTCCTCCTTTATGGGCGCACACAGATTGGACATGTCCCACACTTGACCAGCGTTAGCAGCTGGGTCCTGTCAGAGCCCTGTGAGCTTAAAGGATTGGAAAATTATAATGCAGAGATAGCATGGGACTATAAACTGTATAGTCATTATAAGGGTTTAAAAAAAGAACTCCAGTCAGCATAGTGCCTAGTTACTTTTACTCAAGTACATTTAATCACATCTTTTTCATATGCCATACTGATAATTATAGAGTAAAATATGTTAAAGGGTAACTCTAAAAGGGACAAAAACATTATTAAAGGTTCAATTTTACGCTATTTTCTGATCTGTTACAATGTTGTTTCCTCATCACATGCCTGTACTTGTGTTTTGTTTTGTTTCTTTCACACATGTTTAACACGCATATTTAGCGTGAGTTCTTCTCTCAAACAGAAAACACTCCACCTTGTGATGTCATGCGGTAATACAGGAATTGCTCCACTGCCCATACACCTTTGCTAGAATCATCTGGATGATTTGGAATTGCCCATCTCTACTGAACTAAAGGTTAAAGGTAGCTGTTAACGTGAAAACTACAGCTTCATGACAACTTAAGGTGAAGCAGAGCATTTTGAGCTTTGGAGATGTAAACTAATAATTAAAAAAAAGGTTATTGAAACATGTGTGAATTAAATAAAACACAATTCTATGTATGTTTTTGAGCAGGTAACAACATTATAATATGGCTTAAAGCTCACGAGTCAATTTTGCATTTAAATTATTTGAACATTTGTGTTTCTTGCACTACTCTTTACATGCATTATTCTTTGGTAAAGGTTGATTCTGTCTTAAATTTTTAACTGTTTACTAACAATTCATTCAGTCAGTCATTCAGTCAGACTGGATTTGAAACTAGCAACACAAATGACAGACTAATGAGGTTCATTCTGTCGTCTGATTGAATAATCATGTTGAGGCCCAAACACCAAATTGTAACATAAACAACTTGGCCACCATGTCCACAGTTTCTGTAATTAAGGACAAATCAGCATTACAGTTGTTGCCTTTGAGAGCTATATTTGATTTGAACAACAATGCAGAAAGGTCGTGTTTAGAGCTGGGTATCATTAAAAAGTTGCCGATACGATACATACCTCGATACATAGGCCATAATACGATATGTATCTCAATATGGGGCACTTTCGGTTCGATATGATTACTTTTCAAATTGATTCGATACGGTTCAATAAAAAACTCATTGCTGTGATACTAAGTCTTTGTTAAACCACTTCTTGTGCCAAGTTAATATAAACACGGCTATTTTAATCATAGAAAGAGTAAAAATGTCAAATGTGTTAATTAAATGTTTCCTTTCTCTAAACAAGCAACAAAACTGTAGTGCTGTAACAAAATAATTTAGTAAAATACACAGAAAAATACTCTTGGGATATAGCTCGATACAGCAGCCCACGATATCAGTACTGTATCGTCACATTAAACGATACGATATATCCATATTTCGATATTTTTACACGCCCCTAGTCTTGTTTATGGAATTTTAAAACTTACATACAGGTCCTTGGATTATAAATTAGTTTGAGTCATTTCTTGAACCGCTACTTTGTACTTCTACTATAGTATATAGTAGTTCCGGTATATATAACACTATCACTACACAACATATGTCCCCTCTACACATTATCTGTACTTATATATGTAATGGCTAAGTAAGTTAAAGTTGTGTGCAGGCATGCTGGAAGATTGCCAAAGCGACCAAGCCTTTTTCAAACAACTCCATGACATTTAAAGTGAGCAGAGACTTTTCAGATACTGTGTACAAGAGGCACTCTTTGTCCTGATGGGGAGTGGGACCGGAGCATACAGGCACCTCACTGTCGTACCACCAAACATGTGTCACTAGAATTTATTGGTGTGTACTTTAAGGCTGTACAATATATCGCAAAAGTATCATTATTGCAAAATTGACTGGCGCTATAATAGATATCACTAAATATTCAATATATAACACCAAGTTCTCAATCTGCATCTATTTTTTTTTAGCTTTCTACCATGTTATAATGTTGTTCCCTTATCATTTTAGACATCATCCATGCATGTTTCAGTAATCTAGTGATCTAGTGTAAGATTCTGTCCAATGCCCCACCCACAAGCCTACATCATCCATGCTTTTACACTGCAATTCTCCATAAATATTGAAAAACATTACTCAAAACTGTATACAGCAGCTTCACAAACTTGTGCAGTAGTTTCATTAGCAGGATGCACACTGATTTTGTTGCGATAGCGCTCTGAAGGGGGAGCAAAGGGAAAGTGACAAAAGTGAAACCTACAAAACATGTTATCACATTGTTTTCAGCAAATATAGAATTTACTAAACAATAAAAGCTTACAGGATGATCTAAATATGTTATGTGTTAGCTCTTAGAAGTAAAATATGCCCTCTTTAATGATTTTCCTTGTTTAGTCTAAAATTGACCTTGATGTAGTCCTGGTCTGTTTCAATACTAGTAAATTAAAACATGTTTGTTTTTTGTTTGTTTTTTGGTATCACAGTTATAAACAATCATATCGCATATCACAAAATTTTCCATTATCATGCAGGCCTTGTGTACTTGTACTGTCATCATTGCAGTTTGTACTGTCATCATTGCATTTGTATTTTTAAAGTACTTTTCGGTGTAATTTTGGTCTTTTCTTGCTCACATGCTGTTTTCGACCTACACCCTGAACTAAACTGTACAGTTGCTTGTTTTTCCAAGTGTCCCTAGAGAGGACCCTGGCTAACCAATCTGAGGGAAATGTGATTTGGCTATTTGTAGCAGAAAAAAAAAAAGGTTGTGAGTGGAACTTTTTGAGACTCAAGGTACGTGCAGCCATTTATACTGGATTAAAACATTCCAATAAGGAACAAAATACCAAAACTTAAAGCGGCATCTGACCTCAAGCCTGGGTGAAAGAAGAGATTTGCATCAGGGAGAAAAAACGGCCAAAAACTGCACTGAGATCTTTGACTGAGACAGAAAGACGATTGAGAGGCACAGTGAAATGTTGCAGCAAAACCACAGCAGTTTAGAGCAGCAAAACTTGAATTTCCCTTGGGATCAAGAAAGTAACTCTCTCTCTTTGTCTCAAATTAGCAGTGTGATTGATTTGTAAGGGTTGGCAAAAGTACCAAAAATCAGATAACAATTAATACTAAAATTAGTTTTGAAATTAGATAAGCATTTTAACAAGTATTATATGGAGTAAGAAAGCTGTCAAAAATATTTGTGCGCATAGAACAG